TATAATAAAAAAAAAAAATTGAAATTAAAATTTCTCTCTTTAATTGTAAAATTTTTTTTCACAAATTAAAAATAAATTAAATTAACAATTAAACAAAAAAAATTAATCAATTAAATAATAAAGTAAAAATGAATTTTAAATGAAATAAAATAATTAATTAATTAAAATATAATTTAAAAATTGAAAATCGATTATTGTAAAAATATATTATATTATTTTATTGATTATATTATTAATTTTTTTATTACTATATTGATTACTTATTTATAATTTATTTATTATTTATTTATATTATTTATAATATTTATTAATTAACAATTTTTGATTATTTTATTTATTTATTTTAAATTGTTGTTGGGTTTACAAAATTTTTTTTTTGTTTTTATATTTTTTTTTTAATTTTAATTTCTTATTATTATAATTATTATTATTGGTTCTTGATTATTTTTTTCTATTTATTTTATTATTGTTATTAATATTTTTTTTTTTTTTTATCTAAAACTCCAACTAATTTCAAATGAAAAAAAAGGAAAAAAAATTGTTCAAGACAAAAATCTCACGAATATCAAAGTTCAATTATTATTATTATTATTATTATTATTATATTCAAATGAACACATAAAAGAGGCAAGTAGAACTCTAATTAGAGGATACTCGAGAAAATCGATTAAGACAGAAATAACTTTTTCCTTCTAAATTATATTTCACCGTTTTCAATTCACTTTTTTTTCAAGTTCTTACAAAAAAAAAAAAAAAAAAAATACATTTTTTTCTCTTTTATTTTTTGAGTCAAAATTATATACCTATTTTTTTCATTCGTATTTAAATGTAATATTATTAAATATTTTCTTTTTTTTTATTATACAAAAATAAAAATTAATTTCCTTTTTTTACTAAAACAAAAATTATTTTCTTTTTTTACTAAAATAAAAAATTCTTTTATTTTTGAATTTAAAAAAATTCTTTTTATTTTTTAATTAATTTAATAAAAAAAAAATAAATAAATTTAATTTAATTTTTAATTTGTTTTTAAATAAAAAAAATTTTTTCCTAAAAAAATATTATTTCTATATATATATATATATATATATATATATATATATATATATATATATATATATATATATATATATATATATTTAAGAGAAAAAAATGTACAAAAAAAATTCAAAAAAAAAAAAAAACAAAAAAATAGGAAAAATTGAAAAAAAAATCAAAAAATAATAAAAATCAAAGATAAGAATTATATATAGTGATATTAATAATGAATATTACGTTTTTTTTTCATTCTTAAGGTCATGGCACTTCGATTGACATTAACACACAACTGATCGTGACATATGACTATTATGACCTGATATTTATATATATATATACGATTTATTAGAATGTGTGTAAAAATTTTTTATAATCATTATTCTCTCATTTTTGTGTGATATGTTAGATGAATAAATTTATATGAGGAAAAATTAGATTAAAATCTAATCAATTATCTTTTTTTTTTTTTTAATAATAATTCTTTGGTACAAATAAAAAATAAATTAAGAAAAAAAAATTTATTTCAAAACCCGTGTACGCTCAAATAAATAATAATAATAATTATTTCTATTTTTTTATTTTCTAAAATGAAAATAAAAATAAATATAATATATTATTTATTTAATTAAATAATAATATATTTACTATAAAAAATATAATATAATAAATAATAATATAAAATATATTCAAAATATAAATAATTAAAATAGTAAAAAAAAAAAAAATAGAGAATTTTTTTATTTTCAAATTTTTCAGTGACTCCACCTAGATATCTACTTTACCGACTGAACAATAATTATGCGCGAAATTTTAAAATAAAATTTAATATATATAAAAATTTAAAACAAATTATTATGTATTAATTAATTAATTAATTAATGATTAATTTTAATCATCTTAGAAGAATTTTTAATCACTATTTTTTTTTAGATAATTTATTTTTTTTAATTTCAGTTAAACTAATTTGATAAAACAATATAAATTATAGGGTTTTTTTTTAAATTATTATTGCAACACTGTTTGCTTCTATATAAGATAATTTATATTAATTCTATTTGTAATTCAGTAATTTTTAAATTGAATTTTTTTTTTTTTTATTTCAAATGATGAATGTAAAAAATTAGTTTTTTAATGTAGAAAAAAATTAAAATTTAAAAATAAATTTAAAAAAGAAAAATTAAAAAAAATAAATTATAAAAAAAAAAAAATGAGAAAACACTGAAAATGAAAATTGTTCACTCAAGAATTTAGAGTCTCTTGGAAAATATCATTATCTGATAATGAAAGGGACTTTCAAGTTATTTTTAGATGAATACAGCGAGCGAGCCAGAGAGAGAGAGAGAGATAGAGAGGGGGGGGGAATTATAGTTCCAAGAATGAAGAAGCAATTCGTGACTTTTAAAATATTAAAATTTTCATTTTGCAAAAAAATTTATTAAAGAATAATTTACATTTTTTTTTCTTTTTGTGTGCCAAAGACATTGTTTCATTTTTAATATATAAAAAAAAAATTCCAAATTTTCAAAATCTATTTATTTATTTAAATAATAAAATAAATAATATAATATAAAAATAACATATAATAATTATTATATTATTATTATATTTTATTATTATAATTATACTGATTAATATAATAATAATAATAATAATAATAATAAATTTTTTTAAATAATTTTTAAAAAAAATTGTTCTCGTTTTAGAAAAATTAATTTTTTTTTTTATTTAAATTAATTAAACTATGAAAAAATTATTTTTTGTGAAAATATAAATTAATAAATAAATAAATATTCAAATTAGGAAAAATATTTTTTTTTGAGGGAAAAGAAAATATAAATATTCGAATAATTTTTCTTTTTTTCTAAAAGTAAGAAAACAAAATTTGTCACGTGAGAATAGCCTGACTTTGTATCCAATCAATTCATCATCATCTCTCTTTTTTTTTTCTCTCTGAATTGAATTTGACCGAAACGAAGCTTAGACCTTGACCTCTCTCTCTCTCTCTTTTTTTTTTCTTTCTGTCTCTCATTGACGACAATAGAAAAAAAAATAAATAAATAAATAAAAATTCAATTTTACTCGATTCTTAGGGTACCAAAATCAAATTTTTTATTATGGAAAAAAAATATATATATATATATATATATAGTAGTGCATTTAACAAAATGTATATTGTATATTTTGTTGCGCAAACGAATTTGCATTTGCGGTGTCATCACAGAAACCACATTACCAAGAACTTATCGAAATTTTTTTTTTTTTTTATTTTTCACGAAACTGCTTTTTTACTAAAAAAAAAAAATTGCTAAAAGAAAAATTTCAAAATGAAAAAAAATTTTTTTTTAAAAATAATTAACAAAATAAATAATAATTATAATAAAACATTTAATAATCATAACAAAATAATTAATAATTATAATAAAATATTTAATAATTATAAAAATATTTTATAATTATAAAAAAAAATTTAATAATTATAATAAAATATTAAAAAAAAAAAAATTAATAAAATAATTAATTAGGTAATTAATAACAATTATTTATTTATTTGAAGCATAAACGAATTTCAAATAAACCCTTTGTATAAATAAATAAATAATAAAATAGTTAATAAAATAATTAAAAATAATTAATTAATGAAAAACAATAAAGAAAATATTTTTAAAAAAATTAAATATTTATTATTATTATATTATTATTATATTATTATTATATTATTAATATATTAATAAAAATATTAAATAATATTATTATTATATTATTAATATTATTTTAACTAAATATTAATTAATTTACAATGTAATTTAAAACTAATAAATTAATAAAATATTTTAAAAATTATTAATTAATAACGCAATTTGAAATTAATTAATAAATATAATAATTTAAAAATCAAAAAAATTTAATAACAAAATTATATTTTATATTATATAAAATTATAATAAAAAATTATATATATATAATAAAAAAAATTATATCAATTTAGTAAATAAAATAATTATTTTTAATATTGGTGAAAAAAAAAAATTGTAAATTATAATTCGAAAATATTGTATAGAAATAAAATAATAATAATAATAAAAATAATTTCGAAATAAATTGAATTTGAAAATTTAGAAATGTTTTGATTAATAATAATACTAATAATAATAATAATAATAGCAAAAAAAAACAACAACAATAATTTGAATAATAAAATTTAATTCTAATTATTGTAACGAATTATTTCATTTAAATTTAATAACAGTATGAAAGAAAACTTTGACTAAATTTAATATATAAACAACACACACACACACACACATTGTCAAGAGATTAAACAGATTTAATTCTCTCTCCCCCACTTCCGGTTAGTAAAATTGTCATCAATTTATTTTCAACGAATTGTAAATTATTATCCCTTTTTTTTGGGGACAAAAGAAAAATTCAATATTATTACGAAAAAGGATAAAATTTGAAATAAAAAATTTGGCAAAAATCGATCAAATAAAAAAAACAATTACACTGAATTTTTATCAAATGTAATAAAAAGGTTTCATTTTCAAAAACTGAAATAAAAAATTAAAAAAAAAAAAAACCACCCTAACTCCAAAAAGAAAAAAAAAAAGAAAGTGAGGTTATGTTTTACGAAATTTCCCCCCGGCGATCGTTATATGAAATAGAAATTTTTCAAAAACGTTTTTTTCCTCCATCGGAGAATTGAAATTATTTAGTTAATTTTTTTCCTATATATGATAATTATAATATTGTAGATCGTGTAAATTATAATTTAGAATTTTAGATTTGAATGAATTTTTTTTTTCAAAACTAAATTATGTGAATTATAATAGAAAAAAAAAAAATCCTCACGAGAAAGAAATATTAATAAAGATGCAAAGTTGTTTTTTTTTTGAATGCTTTCATTACGATAAAATGAAAAAAAAATTTTTTTTGTAAAAGATTTGAATAAATAAAAAACTTACCGTTGCTTTTTTTTTTAATTGAAAAAAAATGTGATATCCGAGCAGGTATTTTTCGATTTTTCACTGAATTTTCTTTGTAACAACGACAACGACGATGAAAACGCGAGGGAGGAACGGAGGGGGGGACACAAAAATTACAACCACAACTAACGAATTCACAAGAGTTACTACTACTCGAGTCATCGAGAGATCGGAAGATTCGATAGTGGAGGGGGGAACTTTTTCCCTATAGCGCCATCTTTATTGGTTTGCGCGTATGCGCACTAATCCACGGCGGCAAATTAAAAATTCATTTTTTTTATTTATTTATTGCAAATATTATTTTATTTTATTAATAATTAATATTTAGTAAATAAAAATTAATTTTTTCATCAATAAATATGTATATAAAAAAAACACTTTATTCTGCATTTCCCAAAAATATTTTTAAATTCTTTTTCTTTTTAACTTTTTTAAAAAAAATGTTTTAAATACAATTTTTTTTCTTTTTAATTAAAAAATTTAAAAAAAAATTGTTTTAAATAGAAATTTAAAACTAAAAGTTACAAATAAAATTTTTCAAAAAAATTTTTTTTTTTAGAGAAAATTTTCTGTTTCTTCATCGTATTAAAAATATAGAAACAAAATTGGTAAAGTGAAAATATTTATTTAAATGAAAATATTCATTAAATTTGGTCCATTTTTTTTTCTTCTTTTTTTCTAATATACAATATTGGTAAATAAATTTTTTTTTTTATAATTTTCGATTATTTACACAATAATTTTCAATAATAAACAATAAAAAAAAAAAAAACATTACAATGATTAAAAATTATTTTCCATTTTTTTTTTTTTATCTACATTTTCATTTATACTAAAAAATTTACATCATTTTTTTTTTATTATAAAAAAAATATATATATATATTATTTTCATCTGTAAAGAAAAATTGTTGTTTCAAAAATTATTAAAAATTTTTTTTTTTTTTTTGTGGCTATTAAATTAAATAAAAATCAAAATTTTTTTCCCTAGGAGAAAAAAAAATAAAAGGAAAAATTTGTAAAATGAAAATATAAAAAAATGAAAAGAAAACAAGAAATTATTTCTATTCAACAAATTGCACGTGAAAATTACAAGCTAATAACAATTAAAAAATAAAATTAATTTAGTAGTATAATTAAAAAATAATTAAGTAATTGCTATTAAAAAAAAAATAATTAAGTATTAATTAAATTTATTAATTAATTATTATTAATTAATAAAAAAAAAGTAATCAATTAATTATTATTTAAAAAATAATCCAATAATTATTATTTAAAAAATAATTAAGTAATTATTTATAATAAATAATTAAATAATTAGCAAAATTGCAAAAAAAAAAAAAAACCAAAAAAAAAAGAACCTACAAAAATTTGTTTTTATTAAAACTAATAAAATTCTTTTATTTCTTAATATTTAATCATTGAGAAAAAAATTAATTATTAATTCTTAATTACTTAAGAGGTACAAAAAAAAATTTAATAAAACATAAAATCAGAAAAAAAACTGTAAATTTGCTAAACAAAAAATAATATTTAAATAAAATTTATATAAAATTATTTTATATAAAAAAAAAAGAAAATTAAAAATAAACAAATTTTTTAAAATTATTTTATCATTAAATTAAAAATTATTTAAAAGATTTTGCAAAAAAAAAAAAAAAAAAAATTACGCTCTTCCTTCTAATTTCGATATTACATCGTGGACATTTTCAATTACACTATAAATATATGGACGTTCCATTGGATTCGATTTTAACATCGAAAGTATTAAGTCTTTCATATCCTGTAAGGAAAAAAAAATTATTATTCTTTCTTTTTTAATAAAAAAAAAAAAAGAGTTAATTTTCTATTATTTTTTTTTCTTTTCTAATCAGTGAAAAAAAAAATTAATTTTATACTTCGTTATTTTCTAATTAAAAAAAAGAGTAAAATTTTCTTTGCAATTTAGAAAAAAAAAAAAAAAAAACAGTAATAATAATAACAACAACTTACTTCGTTGTAAGGTGAATTTTCTGGAAAATTAATATTCGCACTGATAACAGCGAGAGCGACACTATCACCTCTTTCATGGACAGAATCGAATGGCGATTTAAAATAACAAAGTGCATATAAAATGCAACCAAGTGACTGAAAAATAAAAAAATATTTAATAATAATTTCACATTAGTTTAGAAAGAAAATTATTTTAATTTTTCTCTTTTAATTAAAGAAAAAAAAAAAAAACAAATTTTTGTTATTAAAAAAATATTTTTGTCCCATTTATTTTTGCTATATAAATAAAATAATTAATTACATTTTGTTTAAAATAATTTTCAATTATTAAATTATTATTATTATTATTATATTATTTTACTATGTTGTTAGAACAAAAAAACAAATTTAAAAAATTAATTCATTTTTTAATAATAAATTTTAAAATATTTCGAAAAGAAATTAATTTTTTTTATTTTGATTTTAATTCAGTTATTTGAAAAAAAAAAAAACAATATTCTACAATTATTTTGCAAATAATAAATTATTTTAAATTCTCATCGAAAAAAAAAATGTTTTTATGGTTTTAAACAAATTAAAATTAAATTAATTAACAAATTAATTAAAATTAAAATTTTTGGAATATTTTCGCTATCATCAAAATATTAAATAACATATTAAAATATTTAATTATTAATTTAAAAAAAAACAAAAAATCGAATTTATTTTCATACCCAAATGTCCGTTCTTTCATCGACCATACAATAACTTTCAACATTGAATAATTCAGGAGCTCTATAAGGCATTGAACATCTTTCGGCTGCCAAATCTTGAAGTGTTTGCGCCTCTTGATTGCCACAAACTTTTACTCGTGCAGGCGCAACAGAACCTACAAAATGAATTTTTTTTTTTTTTCTTAAAAATTTGGAGAAGAAAAAAAATAAAATTCTTTAACTTAAATATAAAACTAATTAACTATAACTATAAATAAAAGAAAATACATTTCTTTCATCACTAATAAAATTAATTAAAAACGCATAAATAAAGAAATAAAAGAATTTTTTTTTCTCTTAATTATAAAAACCTAATAAAAAAAAAAAGTAAAATAAATTTTTGTTTACCCTCCTTAATAAAATTAATAAAATAAATTTTCTAAATAAATAAATAAATAAATAAAATAAATAAACAAAGAAAATAATTTTTTTCTCCTAATTAATAAAAAAAAAACTAACAAAAAGTAAAATACATTTTTTTCTTTCTAATAAAATAAATAAACAAAATAAAAGAATTTTTGTTTCCTAATTAAAAACCTAATAAAAAAGGTAAAATTATTTTTTGCCCAAATAAAATTAATTAAAAGCATAAATAAACAAATAAAAGAATTTTTTTTCTCTTAATTATAAAAACCTAATAAAAAAAAAAGTAAAATAAATTTTTTTTTACCCTCCTTAATAAACAAAGAAAATAATTTTTTTCTCCTAATTAATAAAAAAAAAACCTAAATTATTTAAATTTTTTTTTCCTAATTAATAAAAAAAACCTAATTATTTAAATTTTTTTCTCCTAATTAATAAAAAAAACCTAATTATTTTTTTCTCCTAATTAATAAAAAAAACCTAATTATTTTTTTCTTCTAATTAATTAAAAATCTAATAAAAAAAAAGTAAAATCAATTTTTTTCCCTACCTAATAAAATTAATAAAATGAATAATTTTTTTTTCTCCTAATTAATAAAAAAATAAATAAATTTTTTTTTCTTCCTAATAAAATTAATTACAAAATTATATAAAAAAAAAAAATAAATAAAATAAAATATAAATAAAATAAAAAAAATAATAATAATAAATATTCAAACCTAAATCCATAATAATTGGCGTCATTCCATCGCCAAGAAGAATATTTGCCGTTTTTAAATCACGATGCGCAAGTGCATCGGGTTTTATTTCATGAAAAACTTTAACTGCCTCGCATATTTGTAAAAACATATGCAATATTTCAAGTGGACTCATATAGTCATTATTTCTTGCTCTCCTCTCCAATTCATTTGCTAAACTTCCTTTCTAAAAAGAAAAAAAAAAAAAATTTTTTTATTTTATTTTCCTTATCCCCCAAAAAATTAAAACAATATTTTTACTATTTTTTTTTTAAAATAAGAAGAAAAAAAAACAAATCAAAAAAAAAAAACAATAAATTCTGATACGAAAAAAAAAATTCAAAGAAATTTTTTTCCAAAAGAATAATAAACAATTAAAAAAATAAGAAAGTAAAATAAAATAATAAATAACAATAAATAAACAATATTAAATAACAAAAAAAAAATTTCTTTCTCAATAATTCCATAAATAATAATTTTAATAATAATAATATTAATAATAAGTCTTATTATAATTATTTAAATAATAAATAATAATAATAATAATAATAATAATAATAAATAATACAGAATAATAAAAATAATAATAATAATATATAATACAGACTAATAAAAATAATAATAATAATATATAATACAGAATAATAAAAATAATAATAATATTAATAATAATAATTATTATTATTTAAATAATAAATAATAAAAATAAGAATAATAATTAATTATTGCAAAAGAATAATAAGAAAAAATTTTTGTGAACCTTTTATATACGAAAAAATATAAAAATAAATATGCGAAATTTTTTTTTTTGTTTTAATTGTTAATTAAAAAAAAAAAAATTTTTTTTTTGTTCTAATTGTTAATTAAAAAAAAAATTTTTTTTTAATAAATTTTAATAAAATTTAAAATTTAATAAACTTTAATAAAATACTTTAATAAAATTAAATAAATAATGACTATAATTATATGAAAAAAAAAAAAATTCTCTTTTCACCTACATGATAATAAGGAAGAACCAATAAAACTTCACTGGTAATATTTAAAACAGGATCGGCGCTTCCTTGTTGTGTTGAATCAATGCATTCAATAATATTTGGATGCTTCAATATTGTATGATATTCAATTTCTTTAAGTGCAAGCCGTTGATCATCAAAACCATGGCAAATAATTTTTTTAATCGCATATTTTTTATGGCTTAATGTATCTTCAGCCAATGATACTGTACTAAATCCTCTGCGAAAAAAATTTACAAATAAAAAAAAAAAAACACAAAAAAAATTCCTTTTACTCCAAAAAAAAAATTGTCAATTTTTTTTTTTGCATCGAAAGAAAATTTCCTTCCAATAAAGAAGAGAAACAATTTTTTTTTTCTTTTCGAAAAGAAATAATTTATAACATTTAGAGGTTATGTCGGAAAAAAAAAATAATTGAAAAATATAAATTTCTATATATTCGTATAATAATTAATTTTCCACTGAATATAATAATAAATTTCCTTCAATAAAGAGAAATTTTTTTTTTTTTTATCGAAAGAAAATTTAGAGGTTATGTCGGAAAAAATGTTTGAAAAAAAACATTTTCTATATATTTAAATAAACAATTAATTTCCTAATAAATTAAAAAATTCCTATACAAAAAAAGGTATATACAATTTTCTTTCCAAAATGGAAAATTAATTTAGAGGTTATGTCAGAATAATCGTTGAAAAAAAAACAAAAACACCAGATAAATAATAAAATTTTAATAAAAAAATAATTTTTTACAAATCAAAAGGATAAATTAAAAAAAAAAATTTCGATCTTTATTGACGATTTTTTGCATTCTACAAAATTTAATTTCTCATTTTAATAATATAATTTTTCTTTAAAGAAAAAATTGTGTTTATAAATTTTTTTATTTACATTCATAATTATCAAAAAAAAAAAGAAAAACTTACCCCTCAGCAAGATGTTCGCGAATTGTATATTTTCTTGCATTTATTGTACAAGTTTCTTTAGCACAAATGCAACCCATTTTAAAAATTAAACTCAAACCTAAGCTATTCATTTTTTTCGTCACAGATAATTATTAATTTTTTTTTTTTTTTTTAATGAAAAAAATTACGTTTTTATCTCATCTTTATAAAGAAAACAATCTGCTTTGATTATACATTGCGATAAGAGCAAAAAAAAAAATTCATAAACTTCACCAACATAACCTAGAAAAATTTTTTTGACAGCTCAGTTCCTCAGTTTTTGTTTCTAGTGCGCATGCGCTCAACATTAAGTCATGTTCACAGTGCTTTGGAAGAAAAATGTCAGGGTTGGAAACATCGTTTGCTTAAGTAAAACGGTGAAACATCTAAAATGTATCTTAGAATTTATTTATGGTGAAACCTTTCATATGTGACACGTTTGAAACTCTGATATGTGACACTCAATACAAAATATTCATTTTTTTTATTATAAATAATAATAATAATAATAATAATAATAATAATAATAATAATAATTAACACATTCTATTTAAATATGAAAAAGAATGATATATTAATTTTTTTTCCTATTCAAATATAATAGAAAATAAACAATGAAAACAGAAAAGCGGCTGTCGGAGGCGCTAGTCAAGATAAAACAATCATAAACATAACCTATAATTATTTGCTGTTCTTTCTTTAGAATGTTTAAAAAATAATAAACAATAAAAGAAAAAAAAATATTTGTTAAATTTAAATTTATTTGTTAAATTTGTTAAAATAAAATATATTTTTCTTTTGTAAATATATCAATTTAAGGAAAACAATCATAAACATAACCTGTAATTTTATATTTTTTTTCCTTGCTTCTTAACTCCCTTTCTTCATAGCGCGTGTAAAAATAAAAAATAGACGAAGAAAATAATCGTAAATATAATTATAATTTTTTTAATTGAGAAAAGTTCGAGGTGAAACAATCATAAACATAACCTATAATTTTTTTTTTATTTTCCCTTTCTGCAGAACGCGACAAAAATAATAAATAGACGAAGAAAATAAATCGTAAATATAATTAATTAAAAATTTAGAAATGTTAAATATGTAAAACAATCATAAACATAACCTATAATTATTTTTTTTCTTCTAACCTCTCTTTTTTAAGAGCTAAAATATAATAAATAGAAGAAGAAAATAAATAGTAAATATAATTATAATTCAAAAATTCCAAAAAATTCAATGTAAAACAATCATAAATATAACCTAAAATTTTTTTCTTTTCAGCTCTCTTTTTTAAGAGTTAAAAAAAATAAAAAATAGAAGAAAATAAATCGTAAATATAATTCAATTAAAAATTCAGAATTGTTAAATGTAAAACAATCATAAACATAACCTATAATTATTTTTTTTTCTTTTAATCTCTCTTTTTTAAGAGCTAAAAAATAATAAATTGTAAATATAATTATAATTTAAAAATTCCGAAAGATTCAATGTAAAACAATCATAAACATAACCTACAATTTTTTTCTTTTGCTTTTAAGCTCTTTTTTAAGAGTTAAAAAAAATAGAAGAAAATAAATCGTAAATATAATTAATTAAAAATTCAGAAAGGTTAAATGTTGAACAATCATAAACATAACCTATAATTATTTTTTATCTTCTAACCTCTCTTTTTTAAGAGCTAAAATATAATAAATAGAAGAAGAAAATAAATAGTAAAACAAACATAAACATAACCTAAAATTTTTTTCTTTTGCTTTTCAGCTCTCTTTTTTAAGAGTTAAAAAAAATAATAAATAGACGAAGAAAATAAATCGTAAATATAATTGATTAAAAATTCAGAATTGTTAAATGTAAAACAATCATAAACATAACCTATAATTATTTTTTTTTCTTTTAACCTCTCTTTTTTAAGAGCTAAAAAATAATAAATAGAAGAAGAAAATAAATAGTAAATATAATTATAATTTAAAAATTCCGAAAGATTCAATGTAAAACAATCATAAACATAACCTACAATTTTTTTCTTTTGCTTTTAAGCTCTTTTTGAAGAGTTAAAAAAAATAGAAGAAAATAAATCGTAAATATAATTAATTAAAAATTCAGAATTGTTAAATGTTGAACAATCATAAACATAACCTATAATTATTTTTTTTTAACCTCTCTTTTTTAAGAGCTAAAATATAATAAATAGAAGAAGAAAATAATTTCGTAAATATAATTATAATTTAAAAATTCCGAAAAATTCAATTATAAAACAATCATAAACATAACCTAAAATTTTTTTCTTTTCCTTTTAAGCTCTCTTTTTTCAAGAGTTAAAAAAAAATAATAAATAGAAGAAAATAAATCGTAAATTATAATTATTTAAAATAAAAATTCAAAAAGGTTTCAAGGTAAATTTATTAAATAAAAAATAGATTTTCTTTTTTTTTGTGAATATTATATCAGTGACAACTTGATTTATTTATTCATCAAAATAATTTATAGTACCACAACAATATTAATATATATTGAAGGGATTCTAAAAATGGGGAGAGGAAAAAAGATTCAAGAGGCTGACAAAAGGACAGGAAAGGGCCTAGTGACGAAATTTTTTTTTTTTTTTTTTTTTTTTTTTTGCAGTATAGAGGAAAGAGATATAGGATGGTGCTTTATATGGGGAACGTAGAACAACAGAGGCTGCGGGTAAAAATTTAATTAGCCGCGTTTTTTTTTTTCAAACATATGGCATCGCAAAACCTTTAGTGAGATGATTTTTTCGTCATTTTCTCACGTTTCTTTCTTTTTTTCTTTCTTTTCCCTTTTTTTTTTTATTTAATACCGAGAAAATCCCAATTTTCTCCAAAAATATTTTTTTTATTTTATTGGTTTAAAAAAAAATTTTTTTTTAATTAACTTCTGCGTAATATTTTTTTTTAATAATTTTTTTTCGTATTGTATTTTTTTTTTTAAAGTAATTTTTTTACAAAAATAATTTTAGAGGCTGAAAATTAATTTATTTCGAAAATTGGGATTTTCTTTTTTTTTTATTATAAATGAATTAAAATATATATATTGTTCATCAAAAAAAAAAAAAAAAAAAAAAAAAAAAAAATTCAAGTGTTGCGTCCTTGTTCACTTTTCTTTCTTTTTTCGTTTTTTATTTATTCAACACTACACACTAGAGAATTATAATTGTCTATCGCTAATTAAGAATTGTGTGTGTACCTAAAAACCTTTATTAACGTCTCAGACCCCATTCGAAAAAAGCTACATGCACTACACTTTTGCATATATACTTACGCGATACATTTAACAAATTTTTTTTTTTTTCTTTTTTTTTTTTTCTTTTTTTCAATCAATTTTTACGATTACAGTTGCAGCGGAATATAGATTTTTTTTTTATTTTGCGATCGCTAGTCAGCTACATATTAATATTTTTTTTTTTTTTTCGTTTTTTTTTCCTCTTAAATTCCAAGACGCAATCAATATTTTTTTGAATTCAATTTTTTTTTATTATTAAAATTAAGTAATAATTAATATTAATTAATAATTAATAATTAACATTAACTACTAATTAAAATTAACTAATAATTAATATTAACTAGTAATTAATATTAATTAACAATTATTATTAATTAATAATAACTAATAATTTCTATTAATTAATAAATAACTAATAATTAATATTAATTAATAAATAACTAATAATTTCTATTAATTAATAATTAATTCTTTAATCGAACCAATAATTTTTTAATTTTTAATCAAAGAATTTAGTTTAAAAAAAAAAAAAAACAAAATAATTTTATTAAAAATGAGAAATAAAAAATAATTATTTACTAATTAATTAAAATAATTCATTTTTTTTCCTATCTTTTAATTAATTTATATTAGTATAAAAAAAATTTGTTACTGAAAATTAATTGGAAATTTTAATCAAATAAATTAATAAACAAAAATTAATTTTTACACTCATAAAAATTTCTAATAATTAATTACCAAAAAAAAAAAAAAATTATTAAAATATTGCGTCTCGTTAATAATACCTAATAATTAAAGAAAAAAAAAAAAAAAAAAACAAGTGTAAAAATCGGAAACTTTTTCTGCAACTTCGTTTCGTCTCTACAAATATATATGTAAGTATATATATATATATATATATATTTTTTTTTTATTTCGTGTATTTACAAAACAAGTGTGTTTTCAATATATACAGAATGACTCGGTAATTCGTGGCGTTTTCGTGCGAATTTACCAAAAAAAAAAATTGAAAATTTACGGAAAACACATTTTTTCAAAAAGAAAAAAATTTCTCATTTCTTTCTTATTGAAAAATAATAATAATAATAATAATAAAATAAAGAAATATAAAAATAAAATGAGTAGGAGAAAAGAAAAAATGAATAAAGGGAGAAATATTTTTTTTTTTAAAAAATAGGGGAAAAGAAAAAGAAATAAAAAAAAAAATGAAAGAGAAAAATAAAATTATTTTTTTTTTTTAAGATAAAAGAGCGAAAAACTGAAAACAACGAATTCGAGAAAATGATTTTTTTTTTTTTTGAAAAAATAAACTTTACTCTGCTTTTTTTCCACCAAGACCACAAATTATCATCCTGTACGTAAAGAAGACAAAAAAAAAAAAAAAAGAATTTTTTTTTATTCTCCATCAAGTGCAATCGAATAATCCGCAGGAAAAGAAAAATTAGAAAAGAAAAAAGTAATTGAAAAATTTAAAAAAAATTTCAACAAAAAAAAAGGAATTTAATTTTCCAAATTAAAAATTATAATAATTATTGAAATTCTTAATTAGATATATAATTAATTATTATTTAATATTATAATTATATAATAATTAAATTATTCAATTAATAATTGAATTATTCGATTAATAATTGAATTATTCGATTAATAATAATAAAATTTTTCAGTTTATAAAAATTAAATTATTCAATTAATAAAAATCGAATTAATTAATTAATAATTAATTCAATTAGTTCATTAATTAATTACTTAATTTTTTATTATTAATTTTCAATTAAAAAACAAAAAAAAAATCTCTTCTTTTCCCCAGAAATATTCGATACGGCTACGCAAAGAAAAAAAAAACAGTTTTCTTTTTTTCGAATTTAAAAAAAAAATGCACCGCAGTGATTAAATTATCATATACATATTACATATCGAATTTTTATTTATTTTATTTAATTTTCATTTGTCTTCCTTTTCAAATATTCACTCAGAAAATTTCTCGCCTTTTCGTTAATCAAAAAAAAAAAATTATTATTATTATTTCCTTATAATTTGAATTCGCCAAGAACGTTTCTTTTTTTACACTCAAAAAAAAAAAACGTGCGAAAAATAACAAAAATAAATTCATTTTCATTTTCTCTTTATCTCTTTTTCGTTTTATAATTATATATATATATATATATTTTTTTTTTCTTTTCTATATATATATATATATTTATTTACAATTGGGGCAAAAAAAAAAAAAAAATTAAGAGTGTCAAATAGTGGAGAGCGAAAAAAAAAGAAAGAAACACAATAAAAAAAGAGAAAAAAAAAAACGTTTCTTGGCGAAAGGAAAGAAAAAAAATTGTTATTCAATTTTTTTTTGCAAAAAAAAAAAAAAATTATGCGACGCATTAATTTCCCATAAAAAGTTATTATTAATTAGAATTTTTATTGAGTATTTTATTTGAAAATGGTTTTTTTAGAAATTGAAATTGAAATTTTCAATTTCTGAAATTTGAAAATTTTCTCTTTTTTTAAACGAATTTTTAGTTAACGCATTTTTTTCCATCTATCAAATTTGAATTTCGCTGATATTTTATAATTTTTTTTTAAATTTATTTATTAGAAATAATAATTATATTTCAGACTTTTTATTTATTTTTTTTTTGAAAGGCGACGAATTTTCAATATTTTTTTCTGAAATTACAAAAATCGAACACAAAATAATAATCAACGGAAAGATTTTGGCGCAATTTTTTTTTTTTTTGAAAATTTAACCAATTACAATTTTTTTTGATAATTTCTAATTGATCAAATTTTCAAAATTTCGATCAATTTTTTTTTTTTTTATAATTTCGAACAAATAAAAATTCGTCGCCTGTAAAAAAAAAAAAAAAAAAAAAAAAAAAAAAAAAAAAATTCGCACAATTTGAAAATTCATCGAGAAAATAATTAATTTCCAAAAAAAATCAATAAAAAATTATATAGGTAATAATTGATTTTTTTTTTTATTAGAAAATTTATGCGAACGGAAACGATAATTTTTCGGTTACTTTCTTTTCTGTCTCTCTTTCCTTCTTTCTTTCTTTCTTTCTCTCTCTCACAGACACACACTTTTTTTTCTCTCTCTCTCTCTCTCTCGCTCTCTTTCTCGCTATTATATTTATATATGTATAATATTAATTACTAATTATACTTTATTATAAATTAATTAAAGAGCTCTTAAACCGTACGTGTAATAGGTGTGTATAATAATTATAATAATTATATATATATATTTTTTTTTTCTTTTTAATAATGTACGATACCTTTTTTTTTTTTTTTTTTCTTCTTCTTCTTCTAGTAGCTGTACTCTCGTTCGGCTGTATTTTTTTCGAAATATCATAAGTAAATTTTTTTCATCACTTTCTTTTTTTTCTTTTCTTTTCTTCAAAATTAATTTTTCGGAAATTGTTTTCAAATCAAAAACAAATGTTCACACAAATATTCGCGTTAATAATTAATCGCGAATTTCGAAAAAAAAAAAAAAAAAAAATTAATTTCTTTTTTTCGTGTTGTATTTATGTGTATATTATATGCGTGAGGGAGGGAGGGAAAAAAAAATTGATGGGAAGGGCAATGAAGGGGGTGGGGGCAGAGAGGGGGGGGGTTGGCTTTCGATTGAAATTTATATATATATATATATAAATATATATATATTTATATATCGAAAATCCGGTGACTAGCGACACTCCCAAATTTTTATCGTTTGATCCACACTACCTGTGACAACGTACGGATGACTTCTGTGAAAATCTGCAAAAAAAAAAAGAAAGAAAAAATTAAAAAATACCCCAAAAAAAGTAAATAAATTAATAAAAAAAAAAAATAAAAGCAAAGGAATTAATTAAAAAAAAATAAACAACAGCAAATAAATTAAAAAATACAAAAAAAAAGTAAATAAATTAATAAAAAAAAAAATAAAAGCAAAGGAATTAATTAAAAAAAAACAACAGCAAATAAATTAAAAAATACAAAAAAAAGTAAATAAATTAATAAAAGCAAAGGAATTAATTTTTTAAAAAAAAAACAGCAAATAAATTAAAAAATACAAAAAAAAAGTAAATAAATTAATTAAAAAAAAAATAAATAAAAGCAAAGGAATTAATTTAAAAAAAACAGCAAATAAATTAAAAAATACAACAAAAAAAAAAACTAAAAAAGGAAAATAAAGAAAGAAAGAAAGAAAAAAGAAAGGAAAGGAAATTTTTTGTAAATATTCTTACCGACAGAAGTGCAAAAATGAACGTGCGCCTCAAGTGTCTTCATTGCTCGTTTATTGCGTATATCCCAAACTCGTAACGTTTTATCATCCGATGCACTGACAATAAATTTGCCACCAGGATGAAAAACAATGCTACGCACCCAATTGTCATGGCCAATTAATGTAAATAAACAAACACAAGCGCCAACATCCCATATGCGAATTGTTTTATCGCGTGAGCCTGATGCAAGAAATGGACCCTCGTGTGCACCTTTATTATCAGCGCCAGCGGCCGCATTTATTGGTGCTCGGGCACATTCTGGCGCCCATGCAATACATTCAACCACATGATCATGATCCCTGAGCTCGGCCTATAAAAAAAAACATTTTTTTTTTTATTTTTCCAAAAAAAAATTCACTGCAAGGTAAAAATTATTTTTATTCAAATACTCCTCAATTATAAAATATAAATTTGATACAAATACAATAATTATAAATTTTTAAAATAATAATTAATTAAATAGAAATTTTTTTTTCAAATAATTGAATTTTAAACAATTTGAAATTTTGAAAAATTGTAATTGCTGAAAATTTGTTTTTAATTTTTTGTGAATAATTAAATTTTTGCAGAATTTTTTTATTGAAAAAAATATTTTAAGTATTTGATTATTATTATTATTATTATTATTATTATTATTATTATTATTATTATTATAATTATTATTATTATTATTATTTAAGAATTTAATGGGAAATTATTATTAATTATTAAACTATTAAATATTTAGATTTTTATAAATAATTGAATTTTAAGTGGTTTTTAATTTGAATTTTCAGTGATTTTTTGAAAAAATTCGTTATAATCACAATTTTAATAATAATTTTGTGATTGGTCGAATTTTCGAAAATCATGGACAAAATTTCTTCTTTTTTTTTTATATATATATATATACATTTTTTTGGACATTTTTGATCAAAAATCGAAAATTCGTTGTGAATTTTAACATAACTGAATTTTAATTGAATAAAATTTTAATTGAATCAAATTTTAAATTAACCAAATTCTAATTGTATCAAATTTTAAATTAATTCGAATTTTAATTGAATCAAATTTTAAATTAACCAAATTTTAAATTAATTCGAATTTTAATTGAATCAAATTTTAAATTAATTCGAATTTTAATTGAATCAAATTTTAAATTAATTCGAATTTTAATTGAATCAAATTTTAAATTAATTCGAATTTTAATTGAATTAAATTTTAATTTAATCAAATTTTAATTTAGCAGAATTCGAATTTTTAAAAATAACGAAAAATTTTCATTTATCCAAATTCGGAATTTCTATTTTCTACTTACAAAAAAATAAATAGAAATTTTGGCCCCCCCTTTTTTTTGAAAAAATTCCTCTAATCACAATTTTAATGATAATTTTGTGATTAGTCAAAAAAAAAAAAAAAACGAAAATTCGTGGCGAATTTTCATTATAACCGAATTCTCATTTAATGGGAATTTTATCTAATTCAAAATTTGTAAAAATGACAGTGAGAAATTCAAAATTCATCGAATATCCAAAATTTTATGTCCTAATTTTTAATTGATAGAATTTTTAAGACGACAAATTTTGCATTTTTGTAAAAATAAAAAAATTTGCCAATTTCAAAATTCACCGAATTTCTTCATTTATCCAAATTTTTAAGACGTCAAATTAATAATAATAATAATTTAAATTTTAGAATTTCTTTTGGTAAATTTGGAAAATAATTTAATTTCAATTAAAACTTAATGGCAAACAATTGAATTGTAGTTGATTATAGATTGAAAATTTTGAAAATAATTGAATTTTAATTGAAAATTTTCAAAATAAATCAAATTCAATTCAAATTTTTCAAAATAATTAAATTTTAATTTATTTTGAACTGAAAATGTTGAAAATAATTAAATTTTAGTTAATTTTAAATAGAAAATTTTGAGAATAATTGAATTTTAATTGAAAATTTTCAAAATAAATGAAATTCAATTGAAATTTTTGAAAATAATTGAACTTTAATTAATTCAAAATTTAAAGTTTTCAAAATATTTGTATTTTATTTAATTTGGAATTGAAAATTTTGAAAATAATTGAATTTTAATTAAAAATTTTCAAAATAAATTAATTTCTGTTGAAAATTTTGAAAATTATTGAATTTTTATTGATTTTGAATTGAAATTGTTTAAAATAATTGAATTTAAGGTAATTTTAAATAGAAAATTTTAAAAATAATTGAATTTTCAAAATAAATTAATTTCAATTGAAATTTTTCAAAATAATTGAATTTTAATTTATTTTGAACTGAAAATGTTGAAAATAATTAAATTTTTGTTAATTTTAAATAGAAAATTTTGAAAATAATTGAATTTTAATTAAAAATTTTCAAAATAAATGAAATTCAATTGAAATTTTTGAAAACAATTTGAATTTTAATTAATTAATAATTGAAATTTTTTGAAAATAATTGAATTTTAATTAGTTTGGAATTGAAAATTTTGAAAATAATTGAATTTTAATTGATTTTGATTTGAAATTTTTAGAAATAATTGAATTTCAAAAAATTTTTTGATGGAAAAAGTGTAGAAATAATTAAATTTTAGAAGCTTTTAAATTGAAATTTTTGAAAATAATTGAATTTCAAAAAAAAATTGTGTTAAATTTTGAAACAATAATAAATTATAATAAGAAAAATTTCTAGTGATTTATGTTGATGAAAAATTTATTAAAAAATCACATTAAAAAAAATTGAATTCCAAAAAATTTTTAATTGAAAAATTTGCTTTCAGATAAATGAATTTTTGAATAATTAAATTTCAACTGATTTTAAATTAAAAATTTTTGGTAATTTTTTTTTCTTTCGAAATTATAAACAATCATTAAATTTCGTAAAAAATTTGAATTGAAAAATAGTTTAATGGTAATTGAATTTGTGAATTGAATTTCATTAAAATTATTAAAAAAATAATTAATTTAGTGAAGAATTTTAGTTAAAAGTTTGTTAAATAATTGAAATAAAGAAGATCTGAAGAAGATCTCTGCATTGTATACTAAAAAAAGAAAAAAGTATTTTGTTTAAAATTTTTTTTCAAAAAATTAAAAAAAAAAAGTCGGAAAAAGTCGTATAATCCGAGGCCTGTATGCAATGAAATTATAGCCAATAAAAATTCTGACAAATAAAAATTCTGTGAAGTAAATTTTCGGTTATTGAAAAAAATCTTTTGTAATATAGAAAAAATCGTTTTTGATAAAAATTCTGCAAAAAAATACTTTATTTCGAATAAAATAAAAATTCGTCTCAAAAATAATATTATTGACAATAATTGAAATTCCATAAATAAGAAAATTCTAACGATTTTTAGAAAATAATCTCTTTTTTTTAAAAGGGATTTTTTTTTTGATAGAAATTTTGGGAGTTAAAAATTCAAAAAAAAAGGAAAAAATTACCTTTGTCTCCTTAGTAGCGACCGACCAAATCCTAACAGTTTGATCATTTGAACAACTTGCAATTAATTCACCGCACGGACTTATTCGTGCCATTCTCACCCATTCACGATGACCAGTCATTGTTTTTACACAATAACCAGTTGCAACTTCCCAAATTTTAATTGTTTTATCGCGCGATGCGCTAACAATAAAATCTCCCTGCGGCACAAATGTCACACTCGTTACATTATGATCGTGGCCGTGCATTGTTTTAATACACGAGAATGATTGATGAAAATCCCATAGCTTAATCGACATATCCGAACTGCATGAGACAAGTAATTTGCCTGTTGTATCAAAAGCAATATCCTGTACACTATCCGTATGTCCTTTTAATGTTCTTTCAAATTCTCCGCTTTCAAAGTCCCAAACCTGTTTTTTTTTTTTTTTTTTCAAATTCAAAACAAATTATTTCAATTTTTTATTTATTTTATAAAAAGAACGTGGAAAAAAAATTAATTTTATATTAATTAAAATTATTAATAATATAAGAATAGAAAGATGTAAACCGGAAGTTCGTCCGAAACCGAAAGGTGTGGACTATGAATAAATAATAATAAATAAATAAATAAATTAAAATTATTAATTTCGTTATTATAATTATTTAATAATAATTAATTTTAATAACTAATTAATAATTAAGTTAATAAAAAAATATATTAATTATAAATTAATTTAAAAAAAAACTAAGAAATTAATAATAAAAATATTGAAAAAAAAAAAAAATTTGTATAAATAAATAATTGAAAATATTATTAACCTTAATTGTTGCGTCTTCGCTCGCAGATACAATCAGGCTAAAAACAGGATGAAATATAACTCGATTAATTGTCGCTCTATGTCCTGTGAGGCAAAATTTTTCAGGCGGCCTTGGAATCCATTCGGATGATGATCTTTTGCCACGTGTTGGAGCACCTTCAATGAATTCTTTTTCAGCCTCTGATAATTTTGACTCTAATTCCATTACCTTTATTTCAAAAAAAAAAAAAAAATCAAAACATTTATTAACTAATATATTTGAAAAAAAAGGAAAACAATTATTATATATACATTTAAAAACATAAAAATTATAATTAAAAAAATTATAATTGAAAAAAAGAAAATATAATATTTAGAAAATACCTTTTTTTGTAATCTAATAACCGAGGTCCATTTCTTTTCAAGGAGACCGCCGTATTTTCTTTCGACTTCACCAGGCATATCAGCCTCCTTTTTGAATGCCTCCAATGCATCTTGATATCCATTCGCGCTCAAATAATCCGCTATCGCCTTATTTCTATAAATGAAAATAAAAAAAAAAATTTGTAATTAAATTAATTTTTTTTTCATTTCAAACAAATATAAATTGTAATTAAATTAATTTTTTTTTCATTTCAAGCAAATATAAATTGTAATTAAATTAATTTTTTTTTTCATTTCAAACAAATATAAATTGTAATTAAATTAATTTTTTTTTTACATTTCAATTCAATTAATTTGCTAAATATTCAAAAAAAAAATTTTAATAAATCTTTTTATTGAATTCAAATTTTTAACTATAAATTTTTATTTCATTTTGCAATTTAACAAAATTTAGTTAAATTAAAAAAAAAAAAAAAAAAAAAATTGTCCAAAATATAAATTTGATTAAACCAAAAAAAAAAAAATTTTTCTAAATAATTTCAAATGCACAAAATTTTAGCCTAAATAGAAATTTTCTCAGAATGAAAAAATAATTGTGCTCAATAGAAATTTAGTTAAAATTTTGTAAAAATTTAGTTAAATGTTTCTGAAATACAAAAATTTGGCTAAATTTTTTATTGAAAGATGAGAGAAAATTTAGCTAAATAAAGAAATTAATTAAATGCAAAAATTTAGCTAAATTAATAAATTAATTAAATACAAAAATTTGGCTTAATTGATATTGAAAGATGAAAGAAAATTTAGCTAAATAAATTAATTAAATGCCAAAATTTAGCTAAATAAATAAATTAATTAAAAAATACAAAAATTTGTCAAAATTGTTATTGAAACATGAGAGAAAATTTAGCTAAATAAATAAATTAATTAAATACAAAAATTTGGCTAAATTGTTATTGAAAGATGAGAGAAAATTTAGCTAAATAAAGAAATTAATTAAATGCAAAAATTTAGCTAAATAAATAAATTAATTAAATACAAAAATTTGGCTAAATTGTTATTGAAAGATGAAAGAAAATTTAGCTATATAAATTAATTAAATGCAAAAATTTAGCTAAATTAATTAATTAAATACAAAAATTTGGCTAAATTGTTATTGAAAGATGAGAGAAAATTTAGCTAAATAAATAAATTAAATGCAAAAATTTGGCTAAATTGTTATTGAAAGATGAGAGAAAATTTAGCTAAATAAATAAATTAAATGCCAAAATTTAGCTAAATTAATTAATTAATTAAATGCAAAAATTTAGCTATAAATAAATAAATTAATTAAATACAAAAATTTGACTAAATTGTTATTGAAAGATGAGAGAAAATTTAGCTAAATAAATAAATTGAATGCCAAAATTTGGCTAAATTGTTATTGAAAGATGAGAGGAAATTGAGCTAAATAAATAAATTAAATGCAAAAATTTAGCTAAATAAATAAATTAATTAAAATATACAAATATTTGGCTAAATTGTTATTGAAAGATGAGAGAAAATTTAGCTAAATAAATAAATTAATTAAATACAAAAATTTAGCTAAATTGTTATTGAAAGATGAGAGAAAATTTAGCTAAATAAATAAATTAATTAAATACAAAAATTTGGCTAAATTGTTATTGAAAGATGAGAGAAAATTTAGCTAAATAAATTAATTAAATACAAAAATTTGGCTAAATATATATTTAAATAAAAATTTGGCTAAATATTTAGCAAAAAAGAATTTTATAAAATAAAAAAAATTTTGTTAACAAATTTTTAAAAAATTGCCCTTTTTTGGTTAAATATTTGAAAATGATTTATTTTTTTTGTATACGGCTTCATTGTCGGAATTCTGGGACAAATTAATGAGGTGACTCTCTGGATGTTTGTGTGACTTTCGATATCTACAAAAGTAGGCGCAAAAGAAGCATTGTTTTCGTGAGAGCGAAAACTTTTTAGTGTATATATATATACATATAGATGATAATAATAATAATAATAATAATAAGAATAATAAATAAATCTTGAAAAAAAAAATTGGAGAGTGTTTGTATATAAGCACACGATTCTCAATGAATTGTTTATAATGAAAATAATACGTGGGAAAGAGATCGAAAGTTGGGGCTTCTCAGGGTGAAAGGCCTCGACACGAGGTTCTCCCCCCCCCACACCTAAACAATCTTCTTCTTTTTTTTTTTTTTTTTTTTTTTTGCCTACGATCTTCACTTTATTATATTAATTTAGAAAAAAAAATTTTCCTACTCGTGGGAGAAAATTTATTTAATATTTTTATTTTTAATTTAAAATAATAAAATTAATTTTTGTATATCGTGAAAAAAAAAAATTGCGGGAACAAAATTTAAATTTCGCGGGCAAAATTATGTGGTGGGAAATTTTTAATTTCGAAAATAATTTTTAAATATTAATTAATAACCTACATTATTTTTTTTCCATTTTTTTATTTATTATTATTATTTCAATTTTTTATTTATTATTATTTTTTTTATTTATTATTATCATTATTTCCATTTTTTTATTTATTATTATTATTTCAATTTTTTATTTATTATTATTTTTTTTTATTTTTTATTTATTATTGTTTAATAATTTTTTTTTCTTAAATGAAAATGGAAAAAAATTAATTTAGAGTAAGAAAAAAAAATGAGAGAAATGAGAAAATAAATATTATTTTAACAAGCGCCATTAATTTAATACTTTTTTTCTTTAATTGGTTCACATCTCACGAGTATAGTTGATATAAATCTAATAAGAAAAACGATTTGCCTGTTTGTTATTGTTATATATATATATATATATGTATAAAGTTCGATCGAAGTATGTCATCGTTTTAAAGGTCGCCTCCCACCTGTTTAAATATATTATATTGCCACAAATTTTCGCAGGGGAGACAATCCAAAAAGCCATTCTAATTAAATCACGATAAATACCTAATATACAATTTTTATATACATACTGTATTTTTTTCACATTGTTTCATCGATAATAATAATAATAATAATATAAATAATCATCATCTTATGTAATAATTGGAGATATAAAATTTATATAGCAAATGAAATATTTAAACTAGAAACCAAAAAAAAAATTAATATTATTAATTAATTAAGAAAAAATTCATAATGTAATTAATAAATAATAATAAAAATATAATTAATTATATTATTATTATTATTATATTATATTATAATTAATTAATATAATAAATAATAATAAGAAATTTTTAAATATTAATTATGTAATTAATTAATAAGAATTATTATTAACAAAAATTATTGTTAATTAATTGTAACAATTATTAATTAAATTCTATAATTAAAAAAAATTATCAATTTTTCCTAAAAAAAAAAACTCTAGTTGATAATTTAGATTTCATCCTTGCCGACGGTCGATAATGAAGATTTTTTACTTTACCAGCAATCGGTAATATAAAATTCTTAATAGATTTTGCTAAATTAATAATTATATTACGTCGTCTCGTTCGAATAGATTAATACGTAGTACCATCATTTTGGTAAATCTGATCACATTTTTAAAGCTAATTCAAATTTAAAAAGTTGCACAACGCCGCCGCCGCCAATCTCCGGTGGCGCTGTGCCTTCCCTTCCGCTAATATTCATTCCATTCCATTTTTTTGTGTAAATCTGTGAACACTAAAAAATTTTTCTAGAGTGATAATTTAATAGTTTTTATTCAATAGTTAGTTTTTATCGCTTCCAAAATGGAAGCTAGTGGTAGTAGCCGCTCTGCAGAAAAAAGGAGAGAGAAATCTCAGAGAGATTCGCGAGATAAAAGTAAAAATCGATCTTTTTCACGAGATGAGGTTAGGTCTCGGCGTGGTCGACATTTTCATGAAACGGAACGCTCGAAAAAATCAAAAAGTGACAGACGCATCAGGAGCCGTTCACCCAGAGATCGTTCAAGAAAAAATTATTCAGATTCCCGGAGAAGTTTTTCGCTTTCCAGTTCAGACAGTGATTATGCGCCTGATGTTCGCGAACGCAGCCCGAGAGGCACGTCCGAACATGGCCGCTTTGCTGATCGCAGTCCGAGAGACTCGACAGACTCGAGAGATGCTGATTATAGTTCTGATAGTCCGAGTGACAATATAAGTAAAAAAGATAAGTCAAATTCTGATTCGGATAGCTCAAATGAAGATTTCGATAGTCCAGGAGATGTTCAATTAAATAATGAAGTCCTAACCTTATTGGGCGACGACCCAAATGAAAACAATGATTCAAAAGGTAATATTCACAACGTTTTGAGAAAAAATTGGTCCACTATTCTTACGAAGGGTATGACTAAAGAATCAACCGAGGAAATATTAAAAAAGTACACTCCACCTAAAAATTTTGTGACATTAAAGCCGCCTGCTTTGAATTCGGAAATTAAGCGCACTATGACAGAAAAGGCTCGAAAAAAGGACACTTTTCAAGTGAAAGCGCAAGAAAAAATTGGAGCTGCGATACATGCTACTGGGTTAGCACTGTCTAATATATTAAATCAAGGAAATAGCATGGATACGTCGGTGGTATCATACTTGAGTGATGCAGCAAGAATTTTATCAGATGCTCACTATAATATTTCAATTACAAGGCGTGCATTTATTACCCCTAACGTAAATAGATTAGTAGAGGACGTGACAGTTGATGAGCCAGTTGGTTCATTACTTTTTGGAGACAAGCTGTCAGAAAGATTAAAATCTGCGCGTGAGGTGGAAAAACATAGTAAATCAATAATAAAGTCAACTTCTTCTGGAAAAAATAATTATAATAGATTTACTTACGATAAATCATCATATAGATTCCAACGCCCATCTTATAAAAATGTTGATCAAACTTTCCGAAATTTAAACTTCAGAGGCCCATCCGGAGGAACGAAGAGGACCTTCAAGAGTCGCCAGGATGGGCAGAACAGGAATCAATACAAGAATCAGAGATCTCGAGGACGTCGATAAATGTAAGTAAAGTGTCAGGTAGATTATCTTTATTTCTTGACAAGTGGGAAGAACTCACTCAAGATAAAAAAGTTTTAAGTATCATTGAAGGATATAAAATTCCCTTTTTTGAAAAAGTTATACAGGAAAGGGCACCAAAAATTCCTACTCCTTCTGAAGAAGAGTATAAACATTTGTGTGTCGCAATTAATAAATTAAAATCTAAAGGCGCAGTGTCTAAATGTAAGCCGTGCAAAAATCAATTCCTTTCCTCGTATTTCTTAGTTGACAAGCCAAATGGCGATAAACGTTTTATTTTAAATGTAAAAGAATTAAATTCATTTATTGACCCACCCCACTTTAAGTTAGAGGATCAAAAAACAGTAATGAGATTATTAACAAAAGATTGCTTTATGGCATCTATAGACTTGCAGGATGGTTATTTTCATGTACGAATAGCAAAAGAATACCGTAAATTTTTACGTTTTGAGTTTAATGATATTTTATACGAATTTAATTGTCTACCGTTCGGTCTTTGCACAGCGCCCTTTTTATTCACGAAAATTATGAAGCCTGTTGTTGAATGTTTAAGAAGTAAAGGTTTTCTATCTGTTTTATACCTCGATGATTTTTTGTTAATAGCAAAGACTAAAGATATGTGCTTAATCAATATTACTCAAACTATGGGACTTTTAGAATCGCTCGGGTTTATTATTAACAAAGAGAAATCTTGTTTTAATCCTTCGAAAAAATGCGAATATTTAGGATTTATTTGGAATAGCAAGTATTTAACGGTCGAGCTTCCAACTAGGAAAAAAGAAAAAGTTTTGAAATTGGTCCAAGATTTTCGCGAGAAAACAAAGTGTAGTATCAGAGCTTTTGCTCAGTGTATAGGCGTTTTAGTCGCGGCATGTCCAGGTGTTAGATACGGTTGGCTATACACTAAACAAATGGAAAGAGAAAAGTTCCTTGCTTTAGAGAAAACGGAAGGCAATTTTGACAGTTTAATGCATTTGTCGCGCGAAGTAAAATCGGAAATAAATTGGTGGATCTCTAACGTTTCAGGCTCGTTTAATTTAATTAGAAATTCTAAATTTCAATTAGAAATATTCTCGGATGCTTCTCTAACTGGATGGGGTGCATGTTGTGACACACAAAAAACTCACGGTTGGTGGGATAAGACGGACAAAAATCAAAGTATAAATTATTTAGAGTTAAAAGCAGCTTTTTATGCCCTTAAGAGTTTCGCCTCAGATTATAGCTTTTGTCAAATTTTGATGCACATTGATAACACGACAGCAATTTCCTATATTAATAGAATGGGTGGGGTACAATTTTCTAATCTTCATAATATTACAAAACAAATCTGGCAGTGGTGCGAGGAACGAAATATTTGGATTTTCGCGTCGTACATTAAATCGAAAGACAATGTAGTTGCAGACCGTGAATCTCGAATTCTTCCTACAGAAACGGAATGGGAATTAAACAATAGTGATTTTAGACAAATTGTAGATAAATTTGGTGACTTTGAAATTGATTTATTTGCAACATGCATTAACAATAAATGTCCTAAATTTGTTTCCTGGTTTCACGATCCGTATTCAGTGGCCATTGACGCGATGACAATATCTTGGGAAAATATTTACTTTTACGCCTTTCCCCCGTTTTCGTTAATTTTACGAGTTATAAAAAAGATTATTGAGGACAAAGCACAGGGCGTTTTAGTGATTCCCCTTTGGCCCACTCAAGTGTGGTTTCCTCTGTTTTTAGATTTATTGATTGATAAACCTTTATTTTTAGGCCCACGACTCAACTTGCTTGCTTCTCCTTCTAGAAAGATTCATCCGATGGCAGAGAACCTTATCCTGGTGGCCGGAAAGTTATCTGGGAAGCGTTTTCTAGAAGAGGAATTCCGGAGTCGGGAATAGAGATTATGATTGCCTCTCTATCTGAGAACACAGTTAAGCAATACGAAAAACCGCTACGTTTATGGTGGGAATATTGTTTTAAAAATAATCTTTCAGTTTTTAACGTTGAATCAAAAAATGTTTTAGATTTCTTTTCCCAAGTTTTTCATAATATCAAAACATATGGTACTCTTAATACTTATAGAGCTGCGGTATCCTTGATTTTGCCAATAGATATCGGAAAAGACCCGTTAATAAAACGATTTTTTAAAGGTGTTGCAAACCTAAAACCTCAAAGAGCTAGATACGATTGCACATGGGACCCTCAGATTGTAATTGAATTTTTGAAAACTCAATTTCCACATAATAAATTAAAGTTAGAAGACTTGACACAAAAATTACTCATGTTAATCGCGTTAGTTACATCGCAAAGAATGCAGACATTATCAAAAATTTCTATTGACAATATTATAGTTTCGTCGGATTTTATCCAAATAAAAATTCCAGAACGCATTAAAACGTCAAAAATTAATAAACCTCAACCGTGCCTCGTGTTACCCTTTTTTAAAGAACAACCTGAACTTTGTGTTGCTTCGATCTTACAAATGTATATAAAGAAAACTAAAGCTCTAAGAGGATCGAATAAAAATTTATTTGTTACGTTTAAGAAACCATGTAAACCAGCATCGACGCAAACTCTTTCAAGGTGGATAAGATGTACTTTAGAAAAAAGTGGAGTAGACGTTTCTATATTTAAATCCCACAGTACTCGACATGCATCCACTTCCGCGGCAAATCTACGAGGAATTGATATAGAAACTATTCGTAAGACTGCAGGTTGGTCTGAGCGATCAAAAGTTTTTGCCACTTTTTATAAGAGACCATTATGTGATAAAACAGCATACGCTAAAGCTGTAATTCGCTCTAAGTAAAATATTTATTTTCTGTTTTTTGTTGGGTAAAACCCTTTGAGTTAAGTTAACTTTAATTACATTTGTTCTTTTATGTTGGGAAAATCCCTTAAATAAATTTTATTCTTGAAATCGCAATTATTAATCTTTAAACATCTACGTATTAATCTATTCGAACGAGACGACGTAATATAATTAACCGATTAAACGAACTTACCTTAAGTGAAGTTCAATCGGAATTATATGAGTCGTCTCGTTCGAATAGATTACACCCTCCCTTCCCTTACTTTATTTATTTATAAATAAATAATAATATTTATAAATAAATAAAGTCCCTGAAAATTGCGATTTATTTACTTTAAAATTAATGAATATTAGCGGAAGGGAAGGCACAGCGCCACCGGAGATTGGCGGCGGCGGCGTTGTGCAACTTTTTAAATTTGAATTAGCTTTAAAAATGTGATCAGATTTACCAAAATGATGGTACTACGTATTAATCTATTCGAACGAGACGACTCATATAATTCCGATTGAACTTCACTTAAGGTAAGTTCGTTTAATCGGTTAATTAAATTCTATTATTATAAAAAATTATCAATTTTTCCTAAAAAAAAAAACTCTAGTTGATAATTTAGATTTCATTATTACCGACTGTCGATAATGAAGATTTCTACTTTACCAGCAGTAGGTAATGTTAAATTCTTAATAGACTTGGCTAAATTAATAATTAAATTCTACAATTAACAAAAAATATTGTTAATTAACTGTATACAATTAATAATTAAATTCTATTATTATCAAAAATTATCAATTTCTCTTTTTTAAAAAAACTGTAGTCGATAATTTAGATTTCAGCATTACCGACAGTCGATAATTTCTACTTTACCAGCAGTCGGTAATATAAAATTCTCAATATGTTTTGCTAAATTAATAATTAAATTCTATAATTCACAAAAACTATTGTTAATTAACAGTATAAATAATTAATAAAAATTATTATTGCCTAATTCTATTAATTAGTATAAAAAAAATAATTATAAAACATAACTAAATCAATAAAATTAAAATTAAAAAAAAAAAATAAACTAATAAATATTAAAAAAAAATTGAAAGAAAATTTATGAAATATAATAGAATTTTGTTTGTACATTTTTGAAAAAAAAAAAAAAAAAAAAGAAAGAAATATTATTAATGGAAAATCATTTATGTAAATTCTTTCGTCATAAATACGGATATAATTTTTTCATAACGTTTAAAGAGCAACTTTTCAGTGAATGACGTCACTTGTTATATTACAATCCAAGGTGTGCATCACACGTATTTATATATGTGTATAAAATATATCCATCTATATAGACTTCGAGAGTAAAGATCAATGGCCACAATCACTTCTTCCTTATCCACCTTTTTCCTGGCATTTAAATCGTACATTGTATTCTTTAAAATACCACAATAATCAAATTATTTATTATTATTATTATTTTAATTTTTATAATTCTTTTTTAATTATTAACCATTGTAAACGATATTTATTATTGTCAGTATTATTATTAATTTTTAGGTTTTTTAATTGTTTGAAAAAAACATTTATATTTGATTCAAATAATTGTTTATTATAATCAAATAAATATTTACTTGAATCAAATAAATTTTTTATTATTTTTTTTTTTTTTATAATTATTTATTATTCTCAGTATTATTAATATTATTAATTTAATTTTTTTAATTATTATATACATTGAAAAAAAATATTTATTTGATTCAAATAATTGGTTATTATAATCAAATAAATGTTTATTTGAATCAAATAAATTTTTTTTTTTCAGTGTATTGTAAATTTTATTTACTATATTAGCAGTATTATTATTGTTTATTATCATTATTATGATTATTTTAATTACATTATTAAAATTATTTCATCATTATTGTTATTACTATTAATTATTATTATTGTTATTATTATGTAATTAATTTATTAAAAATATTATTAAACAATAATAGTTATAATGAAAAATTTAATTTCTATTAAACAGTAATAAAAAAAAGATAAATGGCTGAAATTTAAAAAAAAAATAATTTGCAAATTTGCAAATTTTTTATTTTCGATTTTTAGGAGAATTTTCTTCACTCGCTATGATTTTGCGCATAAAACGCATATCTTGACGTCTCTCAAAGTTTATCGATTTTTTGTATTGCGCATGCTCGAAAAAGAAACCCCCAGACATTTAACAACGCCCACTGTTCTAGTCACCCTTCGCCACCCCCCAAACCCCCCCCTCCCACCGCCCTTGCCACACGTCTCATCACCCACCGACCACTGCCCCCTGAAAGCTACCTTCACAAGCGATCCGAGACTAATTTTGCTAAAGAGATCGATTTTGACTATTTTCCACAATGAAAAATCTAGGCAAAAAAAAATATAGATTTATACTCCCACTACTAAATAGATTTAATTCTATTATTTCGTTTTGTTTATATTATTATTTTTATTTAGAAAAAAAAAATGAAAGAAAAACATAAATTGTTTTCGCAAAAAATAAAATATATCATTCTGATCTAGACGTGACCCACTTTACGAGAGGGAAGAAAAAAAAAAAAAAAAAAAAAAAAAAAGTTTTCACCACCAGAGTCATCGATTAAAATATGGCAAGTCTCGTTCAACATTATAAAATAAAAAAATAATAATTATTAAAAGAAGATAATTTTATAAAAGCAAAATAATAATAATAATAATAATAATAAAATGTTCTCCACGTTTGCTATTATATCATCATTGAATAATAAAACTTGAAAATAAAAATACTTTTACTTATCGTTAAAACTGTTTTCATTTTTAATATTTAATATTATATTCGTAATTAGCGACCCGAAAAACCCCTAGGTACTAAATTTCATTTAAAAAACAATTCAAAAAAAATCCCCGCCATGTTGGATCCGCCATTTTGAATTTTGAAAATAACTTCATATTCGTAATCAGCGACCCAAAAAAACCCCCCGAGTAACGATTTTTTAACAAATTTGAGCGATTTTTAAGTTTTTTCGGTCGCCATTTTGGATCCGCCATTTTTAATTTGAAAAAAAACTGCAAATTCGTAATCAGCGAGTCAAAAAACCCCCCGAGTAACGATTTTTTTAACAAATTTGAGCGATTTTTAAGTTTTTTTGGTCGCCATTTTGGATCCGCCATTTTTAATTTGGAAAATAACGGCAAATTCGTAATCAGCGACCCAAAAAACCTCGCGAGTAACGATTCTTAAACGAATTTGAGCGATTTTTAAGTTTTTTCGGTCGTCATTTTGGATCCGCCATTTTGAATTTGGAAAATAACTGCAAATTCGTAATCAGCGAGTCAAAAAACCCCCCGAGTAACGATTCTTAAACGAATTTGAGCGATTTTTAAGTTTTTTCGGTCGTCATATTTGATCCGACATTTTGAATTTTGAAAATAACTTCATATTCGTAATCAGCGACACAAAAAAAACCCCCGACTAATAAGTTTCAAGTGAATTTGATAAATTTTCCCCCAAAAAACGCTAGTCGAGCATTTAGATTTCTGCATTACTGACGGTCGATAAGAAAGATTTTTACTTTACCAGCAGTCGGTAATGTAGAATTCTAATCAAATTTTGCTAAACTTTCGTCAATTTTTAATTTTTAAATTATATTCTTTGTCAGTAACAAGAAAAAAAAAACCTTTAGATATCTACAATTAAACAATTTTTTTTTAAATTTCATCAGCAATTTTAAATTTACAGAACAGTATATAAAAAAAAATTCGAAAATATTTAAATTTTTTACTCGAGTACAACGATTTCTATTAGAATTGCCGATATGATAAAGTTAATTACACTCGATCTTGAAATGTGAGTGGTATCGGATGTGAAAATTCAAAAAGAATGTTTCTTTTTTTTTTACCCTCCTACTTGTTAGAATGACGAGTCAGAATATACATGTATTAAATATCCCTGAAGTAAACTTGAGTAATGAAACGATTAAATTCAGAAGCCAAGAATGGCGTTTCTCATTGATCGTTTTCAAGTCTGCACGCTATCTTTTTTTTTCTTCTTATAAACACAGGACGAAACCTCTTGAAACTTGGAGAAATATACTTTTACTTTTTCAATAAAAAAAAAAAAAAAATTTAAAAAAAGAAACGAAAAACAGTTTTTTTAGTTAGATTTCTACATTACCGACAATTGAAAATTATTTCACACTGAATTTTGCAAAATTATAAACGATATTTTTGTAAATTTTTTTTCTTACTCAATTACTAAATGCCTGAACTACATGCCTGTGTTATTATTTTCCCAATTTGACTAGAAATATTTTTAAGTTAGATTTCTGTATTACCGACAGGTAAAAATATTTAATTCTAAATTTTTTCTAATTTATAAGTGTTATTATCCCAAATTTTTGTCATTCTATTACCAAATGTCTAAACTAGGTGCCTCTGTTATTTTTTCACTATTTGTGTAAAAAAAAATTTAATTAGATCTCTAACTTACCGACAGGTGAATACTTTCATTTTTTTCTCGTTAAATTATAAACCAGATTTTCAAGGCTTTTTGGGTATTTTTAATACTTATTGTCCAAGCTTAATGCCTCTGCTATTAGCTGGGTTTCATTGTCAAATTTTCCATTAAATTTCTACCTTACCGACGGGCTAATACTTTCCGTTTTGTTGGCAAAATTAGGATTGATACTTTCGCAATTTTTTTCCTACTCTATTACTAAATGTCTAAACTAGGTGCCTCTACTATTTTTCTTGAATTTAACGTTAAAATTTTTTGTTAGATTTCTGACTTACCGACGGGCTAATACTTTCCGCTTTGTTGGCAAAATTATAAGTGATATTTTCGCAATTTTTTTCCCACTCTGTTACTAAATGTCTAAACTAGGTGACTCTACTATTTTTTTCAATTTAACTATGAAATTTTTACTTACATTCCTAACTTACCGACCGGCAATACTTTCCGCTTTGTTTCTCGCAAAATTATGAGTTTTTTCGCAATTTTTTACACACTCTATTACTAAATGTATAAACTAGATGCCTCTACTATTTTTTCGATTTAACTATGAAATTTTTACTTACATTCCTAACTTACCGACCGGCAATACTTTCCGCTTTGTTTCTCGCAAAATTATGAGTTTTTTTCGCAATTTTTTACACACTCTATTACTGAATGTCTAAACTAGATGCCTCTACAATTTTTTTCGATTTAATTACGAAATTTTTACTTACATTCCTAACTTACCGACCGATATAATACTTTTCGCTTTATTTCTCACAAAATTATGAGTTTTTTTTCGCAATTTTTTACGCACTCTATTACTGAATGTCTAAAATAGATGCCTCTACAATTTTTTTCGATTTAATTACGAAATTTTTACTTACATTCCTAACTTACCGACCGATATAATACTTTTCGCTTTATTTCTCACAAAATTATGAGTTTTTTTTCGCAATTTTTTACGCACTCTATTACTGAATGTCTAAACTAGATGCCTCTACAATTTTTTTCGATTTAATTACGAAATCTTTACTTACATTCCTAACTTACCGACCGGCAATACTTTCCACTTTGTTTCTCGCAAAATTATGAGTTTTTTTCGCAATTTTTTACACACTCTATTACTAAATGTATAAACTAGATGCCTCTACTATCTTTTTCGATTTAAGTATGAAATTTTTACTTACATTCCTAACTTACCGACCGATATAATACTTTTCACTTTATTTCTCACAAAATTATGAGTTTTTTTTTCGCAATTTTTTACCCACTCTATTACTGAATGTCTAAACTAGATGCCTCTACAATTTTTTTCGATTTAACTATGAAATTTTTACTTACATTCCTAACTTACCGACCGATATAATACTTTTCGCTTTATTTCTCACAAAATTATGAGTTTTTTTCGCAATTTTTTACCCACTCTATTACTGAATGTCTAAACTAGATGCCTTTACTATTTTTTTTGATTTAACTATGAAATTTTAAATTAGATTTCTAACTTACCGACCGATATAATACTTTTCGCTTTATTTCTCACAAAATTATGAGTTTTTTTCGCAATTTTTTTCCCACTCTATTACTAAATGTATAAACTAGATGCCTCTACTATCTTTTTCGATTTAAGTATGAAATTTTTACTTACATTCCTAACTTACCGACCGATATAATACTTTTCACTTTATTTCTCACAAAATTATGAGTTTTTTTCGCAATTTTTTACCCACTCTATTACTGAATATCTCAACTAGATGCCTCAATTATTTTTTCCGGAATTAATTAAGAAATTTTTAGTTAGATTTCTATATTACCGACACAGATTAATCAATAATTTTTTTTTCTACTTTACTTTTAGTGTAATCACAACAAATATGAGGGGGGAAAAAAATAATAAAAACTTACAACTCCTCCCTCTGACGTTGAGACAACACCATTTTCATGATCCTCGAGTGTAACTCGGCAGATTCCTTGGTGAAAATACAAAATCAGATTAATCTCCTCCCTCGAGTCTCAAAATTTCAATATAATGCCATCGACATTCTGCAACAAAAATTAAATAAATAATTCAATTATTATATTATAATAATATTTATTTATAAAAATAATTAAAATATTTATTTTATTAAAAAAAATACACCTTTAAATAAAAATTGTAAACTAAAAAAAATTATTACTAAAATAGATTTTAAAAATTCAAAACAGTGTTTATTTATTGACAAATAATAATTTTAGTATACTATTAAAAGCAAAAAAATAATTATTCAACAAAATAGAAATGTAACACAATAAAAAAAAGAGGAAAAAAATGGAGAAAAAAAAACAATTGGAGAAATTTAAACTTGAACTTGACATTAATATATAAGGGGGAGATTAAAATTATAACTGCGAACCAATTTCAATGGTATAATTAATCGCTCGTTAGATTGTTGCGGTTCAACGCAAAGACAACTTTCGAATTAATCGTTAACTTTCAATGTTACTTGTTGTTTTTTTAAAAAAATTATTTATATTTTTCGCCTCCAATTTAGATAAAACAAATAATATTATTAATTTCCCTAAATAAATTTCGAAATAAAAAAAAAAAAAATTTCACCGAATTTGCGCGTCTTTTAATTTTTTCAAAGAGGGGGGGGGAGGGGAATTAAACTATTTTTAAAATTAAAAATAAAATTTTACCTTTCTAGGAAAATTCATCAAAAAAAAAATTTAATAATTATTCAGTAAATCAAAAAAAAAAATTCATTTCATCGTAGATTAATTTTTTTTTACCCTTTGGTAAATTTCAGAAAAAATTTATTTTTTACCCTTTTTTTTCCCAAAAATTGAAAGTAAAACTTTTTATAAAATAATAAAATTTGAGATTTTTTGGCAAAAAAAAAAAAAAAAGGGTACAAAAAAAATCGTGTGTTTTTTTTCCGGGAATATGCAAGACCTTGACAGTCGGCAAAATCGAAAGAGGGAGAAATTCAAAGGGGGGGAGGGAGGGAGGGGGCAGGGTGGCGTCGCGACGCTTTTGCGTGTGCAATATTGTTGTAATCAATAGTCTCGTTGCCGGCCGGCCCCCCTTTATACTCTCCTTATTTTATTTAAATATTCACGAATTGTCCTTATTTCTGGATTAAACTTTAACCCCCGCCCCCCCCACACTTCCCCTTTTTTTTAACCCCATTCAAATTAAATTCGGAGAAAAATTAATTTTTGTTTTTTGAAAAATAAATTTTTATAAATGGTCCAATTATTTTTAAATTTCCATTTTTAAAATTCATTTTTCTTCGTAATTTATTTATTTACAAATGGTTTTTTTTTATTTATTTATTATTTAAAAATAATATTTATTATTTATTTAAATATAAATATAATTTATTTTTTACTTATTAATGATAAAATAAATAAATTACAAATTATTAGATTCTTTTAACACCGTAGAAAGAAATTTTAGTCCAGCTGTGAAACTAATAATATTTAATAAAATTCACTTATTTATTATATATATATATATATATATATATATTTTAATTATAAATAAATATATAATTATATTTATTCAATTATTAAAATAATATTACCAAAAATTCTAATAATAAAATATTTTTAAAAAAATAATTCAATTTTTTTTTTTAATTACTAATAAGTGGAAAAATATCCTCTTTTTTTTAAAAAGAAAAAAAGTTGAAAAAAAAACTAAAAATAATTAAGAACAGTTTTGCGAAAATTTAATAATTAACTAAAAAAGAAAAGAAATTTTGAAAAAAAATAATAATAATATTAGTAATAATAATTATTACTAAAATAATAGTAATAATAACAATAACAATAACAATAACAATAACAATAATAATAATAATAATTTAATATTAATAATAATAATTATAATAATAATAATAATAAATAATAGTAGTAATAAATAAGAAGGATAATAATAATAAATAAATAAAATTCAATAAAGGAAAAATTTATTCCTTCTTGCACTCGGGACAAAAAAATTTAAATAAGAATAGAAACGATAATATTCATATAGGAAAAAAAAAATTGACATGCTTTTAACAAAACAAAATACTTCCCGAAGAAACAAAGATTAAATTTCCACTTAAAATTTCCCCTCAAAAATAACCTCTCCCCTTTTTTGTACACGAAAAAAAAGAACTTTTGGAGACAAAACGAATTAAAAAAAAATAAACATTCTTTTTTCTTTCCTGCAAACATAACCTAAAAACACGTTTTTTATTCTATAATTATACAAAAAAAAATTCAATTACAATCTCTCAAAAACAGCTGATTCCGGCAAGTAATTAAATTCATCTGTCAAACTTGAATCGACAGTTATTCGCGCAAGAGAGAATGAAAAAATTCACGCAAAAAAAAAAACAACCCTAGTAAAAAAAACAATTTTAACCAAAAAAAAAAATATATTATTTCTTTACCACTTTCGAAAATTCCTTCGCCTTCATTTAAAAAAACGAAAAAAAAACGCGAATAAATTTTTAGAAATTCGGAATTTTTTGCGAAAAAAAAATCAATTTACCATTTTAACAAAAACCCCGTCGCAAAGATAGCAGAAAATCCTTTTCAGGGCGTCACTTCCGTCAGGTAAGGGGGGTTGGTGGGGAATTCTTGTTGACAGATTTTTTTTTTCAAGAAAAAATCACGTGATCAAAAAAACTAGAGATTCAATTCCTTTTTTTTCTAATATAGTTCCTAAATTTTTGAAAGTAAAAATTTATTTACAAAAAAAAAAATTAATATAAGATCGCGTTCCAACAAATTTTTGTGGTGTTGGTATTAAAATATACGGCCATTTTGCCTGCCTGAACTGCCTTATACCTATATATCCACGGATTCGTGGCCGTCTGGTTTGATGATTATATGAGTATAGTGCAAAACTCGCGTCAAACGCAACTTTTGTTGTCTCAATGATGATGATAATAACTTTTGACTCAAAATCAAGAAGAAGAAGGGGGGGGGGGGTTACGAGGGGGAGGAAAAAAAAACATTACTCACGTTTTTGGAAATTCCGAGATCCTCTTTTTTTTGTTGTTTTTTTTTTTTTAACACTGCAAGTCGTACACGAAGGGTTATAATTTAACACTGACTGACTGACTGGCTGCTGGATTTTTGAGAGTTAAGGGGCGGGGGGAAGGAGGAGACGGCGGCAGAGGGAATTTTAAAAAAACAGGGAACCGCAAATTATTCAACCTTCTCGTGTTCACGACTACGAGCAAACTGCGGGAATTCTCGTGAGATAGCGCTAATGTTCGCGCATGCGTATTATTCACTATTGAATTTATTGCGCAAGCGCGGCAAATACAAATTTCATATACTATAAAAACGGTCGATTTTTCACCCTCTATCTTTCTCTCATTATCTTTTTTTTTTCTCTCTTTATACTGACGTTGAAAAAAAACTAATCTTAACTAAACAATTCCATAATAATAATAATAATATTAATAATATTTTTGTTAAAACCGTTCTTTTTAAATAATTTTACAGTAAAGCTTAATAATAATAATTTTCAATAAATAAATAATAATAATAATGATAAAAAATAATAATATTAAAAATAATAATAATAATAATAATAATAATAATAATAATAATAATAATAATAGAGAAAAATAATGCATAGTATAAAAATAATAATAATAAGTAATATATAACAATAATAATTTATTTAAGGGAAACATACACTTTTCAATCTAAAGGCGGATGTAAAAAAATTAATTTTTAACGAAAAAAAAGAAATATAAACAAAAAATTATTTTGTGTAAAAATATCTTTTTTTTCGAATAATTAAATAACGATATTTTGTCGAAATCAAAATTTGAATTCTCTATTCATTTCGCGCGCTTTTTTTTTTTTTGTAACAAGTCGCTTCTGATTGGTTCACAAATTGACAATGACAAAAATCATCGTCGTCTGCTATATATTTATTTTTTCCTTTTGTTTTTTGTAATGTATAATGTAAATAATGTGGAAATTTTTATTTTTTTTTAATTTAAACAAAAAATAAAGGGGAAATTTTTGTAAAATTTTCATAAAAGAAAATAATTGTTGAAGCATGTGAAATAGATACAATTAATAATATTATAAATATATATATATATATATATAATATATATAGAAAAAAGGAAAAGAAAATGTCGAGATATTTTTATATTGCAAGTGGATTTAAAGAAGATTGTATTAAATTATTAACATTATTTAATGAAACAAATAGTATTCGTTTTGAAAAATTTTGTCAAGTATGGAAGGAAATGAAATTTGCAATGATTTATGCGTAAGTTTTTTTTTTTTATACCAATATTTATTTATATTTATTTAGAATAAAAAATTCTATTTGCGAAAACATAACCAAAAAAATGCTTTTAACTATTTTTTTTTCCCCGATAAATTCGTATATATTTGATATTTAATTTTTTTTCAATTAGAAATTAAGAAAAATAGGTTAATTTATTATTATCAGTTTAATTTTAAAATATTCCGAATTTTTGAAATATTTGGAATTTAAAATTTTTGAAATATTCCGAATTTAAGAATATTCAAAATTTTGAAATATTCCGAATTTAAGAATATTCAAAATTTTGAAATATTCTAAATTTAATAATATTCCAAATTTAATAATATTCCGAATTTAAAAAAATTCCAATTTTTGAAATATTCCGAATTTAAAATTTTTGAAATATTCCGAATTTAAGAATATTCAAAATTTTGAAATATTCCGAATTTAAAAATATTAAAATAATATTCCAAATTTTGATATATTCCGAATTTTGAAATATTCCAAATTAAATAATATTCCGAATTGTTAGAAAATCCCAAATTTTGAAATATTCTAAATTTAATAATATTCCGAATTTTGAAATATTCCAAATTTAATAATATTCCGAATTTTGAAATATTCCAAATTTAAAAAAATTCCAAATTTAATAATATTCCGAATTTTGAAATATTCCAAAATAAATAATATTCCGAATTGTTAAAAATTCCAAATTTTGAAATATTCTAAATTTAATAATATTCCAAATTTAATAATATTCCGAATTTAAAAAAATTCCAAATTTTGAAATATTCCGAATTTAAAAAAATTCCAAATTTTGAAATATTCCAATTTTTGAAATATTCTGAATTTAAAAATATTTTCTTTTTTTGAAATGATAATAATAATAATAATAATAATAATAATAATAATAATAATAATAATAATAAAAAGTTATAAAATTAATAAAGAAATAAAAAATAAATAAAAATAAAAATTATTTTGTTTTTTTTAAATGTACATTTAAATTTTAAAAAATATTCAAAAAAGAAAAAATATTAATTTTTCTGTATCTGATTTTTTTTTTTTCATCTAATTAATAAAAAAAAAAAAAAAGCGGAAGACAAACATATTCAGAACTCTTGGAATATTGCGAGGAGGTATTACATGTTGCAAAAGAATTTGTACTTCCGCCAAGAAATTTTAAAGAGAGAATTGGCGGACTTTATTTATTATATGGACTCTATTATAAATTACCAATTAAAGATGTTATACGAATTCGTATTACACAAGAGCAATGGACGAGTTTAATGGAATTACAAGAACAATTAAAAGCCGGTGAACATCTTGATGCAAATTTTATACTTTCAACAATGATACACGATGAAGTATTTGCTCATACAATTTTTGATTTCGAGGTATTTATTAAAAAAAAAAAAAAAAAAAAGTAATTTGCAATTCATTAAATAATTAAATTTTTTGTTTTTTTTAATCTAATTTTTATTTGTTCAAATTAGTGTATTTTTTTGCTGAATTTTCATCAAAACAATTTTTTCTATATATTACAGAATTTTTCAAATAATCGAAAATTCACTTTCAAAGAATTTTTATTTGTTTGAATATTTTTTTTTTATTTGTCAGAATTTTTATTTACTCGAATTTTTAATTTAACATAATTGGACAAAATTTAATTATTTTCCAAAAATTTTCAATTCAAAATCAACTAAAATTCAATTATTCACAAAAATTTGAATTCAAAATTAATTATCAAAATTTTCAATCCAAAAATCAACTAAAATTGAATTATTATCCAAAATTTAAATTATAATTCAATTATTTCCCAAAAATTTGAATTTAAAAACTTCTAAAATTTAATTTTTTCTAAAAATTTCCATCGAAAATTTTTTAAAATTTAATAATTTCAATTATAACTCTAAGGGAAATTCAATTATTTTCAACTTTTTTTTATAAAATTCTTTGAAAATTCAACTAGGTATCTGAAACTATTTTTCAATTAAAATTGGTTTTCAAATTATTGTATTTTTATCCGCAATTTCTAATAAATTTTTTAGTGAAATTATAAAAAAAAATTTTAATTAAAAATCCCTTGAAGTTTCAATTAATTTCAAAAATTTAAATTGTAAATATTTGAAAATTCAATTACATTTAAAAAATGTTATATCAAATTATTTGATAATTTATTTTTAGTTGTGTAAAATTTCATTATTGTCTGAAAATTAATAAAATCTTTTGAAATTCAATTATTTCTAAAAAAATTTCAACTTTAACCCTTACAAAAGTATTATTATTTAAAAAGAAAAAAATTTATTTAAAAATCTATAAAATATTTTTGTTAAAATAAAAAAAATCGACTTTTTCGACTTTTTTTTTTGGGAATATAAATCGACTAAAACGACTTTTTTTTGTACCTTTAAGTCGATCCGAGGCCTGCAATCAAAAATTATCCATAAAATTGTTATTGGTTGATAATTTAAAAATCGCGCAAAAATCGTTTATTGTTTCGGTCATTTGCAATTTCGGACAAATAAAAAGTCAAATCAATTAAAAATTCTGTTAAATAATTTTTCGGTTAAAAATTCAGCAGACAAAATCAGTTTTTATGGAAATTATTATATCAAATAATTATTTTCAACAAATGAAAATTCATCTGAAAGAATAAAATAAAAATTCTGCAATTAAAATTCTAGGCAATAAAAATTCTTTAAAATATCCTATTATGTTAAATAAAAATTCGAGAGAATAAAAAAATTCTGACAAATAAAAATTCGAATAAATAAAAAATTCTGTAAAGTGAATTTTCGATTAAAATGAAAAATTTTGTAATAGAGAAAAAATCGTTCTTTTTTTTAATGAAAATTCTGCAAAATACTAATTCGAAAAAAATAAAAATTCTGCTTAAAAATAATTATTGACAATTGAAATTCCATAAAATGAAAATTTTTGATTAATGATTTTAAAAAACAGTATCATGCGTCCCGTAAATTTTAGGGGCGAATCAAATAAAATTAATTATAGTTAGAATTTTCAATTTAAAGAATTTTTTTATTAGATAAAATTTTCTTCTGACAAATTTTCAATTTTAGAAATTTATTTTATTTTAAAAAAAAAATTAGAAATCTATTTTATTTTGTAGAATATTTTAACATTTAGTATATAATATGGAATTTCCCCCTTTTTTAAAACGATTTTTTACTTCAGAGAATTTTTTTTAAGGAACGCGCATAATTATCCCACATAAAAATCAGTAATTAAAATTTTCATTTTAAATAATTTTATTGGAGATAATTATATTTTTTCTTTTTTTTAAAAAAAAGAAGATTTATCAATTCTCCAAATTAAAATTTGACAAATTTTCTTTTTATACAAATTTTTACTTTACAAAACAAATATTTAGCTATCGAATTTTTGTTTGGTAAAATTTTTATTTTACAAAAATTGCAAAATTCGACGTCTTAAAAATTTGGAAAAATTAGAAATTCGTTGAATTTTGGAATTTGGCAAAATTTTTATTTTTACAAAAATGCAAAATTTTAAATTAATCAATAAATTTAAAATAATTTGTGTCTTTGTTTTTTTTTCTCCTTCAAAAGTGGGGCCTCGAAAAATTCTATCGGGAGAAGCAGATGACAAAAAATAAATTCAGTATAATGCCATTGCTTCTTGAAATGACAGAAAGTGGTGGCAATTTACATGAATTAGATAAACTTGCTAAAGAATATCGTCAAGCAACTTTATTATCATCATCATCATCATCAAATGATAATAAAAAAAGTCTGAATCTCTTCGATGAGAATTTCATTCAGGATATTTTACTCGATATACAAAAATTGGAGACAAATAATTTTATTTCACGTACAAATCAAACAAATAGCGATACATATAATTTACGTTCTGATCAACAACAACAACAACAGCAACAACAACGTGATACAAAATCGGAAATTGATAAACAAAAAAATGCAAAAATACGTTCACGAATTGGCGATGGTTTTGATGTTGATAGTTCTAATGATGATGACGATGATGAAGAAGAAGACGAAGACGAAGAAGAAGAGAACGATGATGATTTTGAACGATTTGAAAATTATAATCGAAGTCTTGCGGAAAATTTCGATGATGATGTTGATGATGATAATATTATTGACAATGAACCGGATACAAAAAGGGTGAAATTTATTGAAGTCACACTTCCGGGACCGCATATGAAATTCGAACATGGCGAAGGATCGTCGGATTGAAAAAAATAAGAAGAAAATATTTTCATATTTTATCTGCGACTTTTTTTTTCCATTTTTTTACTATGAAAAAAAGAAATATGTTTTACTACTGTAAAAAAAATATAAATCTCTGTTTTTTTTACTATTAAAAAAAAAAGAAAAAATGTTATTAATTCAATATTGTAAAAAAATTGTATTTTCTATTTTGTTTTTTTTTTTTTGTACGAAAAATAATGAATACAAAAAAAATTTTTCACGACTGAAAAATGATTATCATTTTTAGAAATAAGATATTTCTTTATTTTTCTTTATTTTAAACAACAAAATTCAATTATAGAAAAGAAAAAAAATTTATTTTTCAATAAAAATCGATTTTTGAAAAATGTTTTTTCTTTTAAACATTTTTTTTTTTTCTTTATGCAAACAAATTCTTTAATTATTTTCTTTTCTCTCTTTTTTTTGTTGAATTCAAAAATGCAAAATATTTTAAAACATTTTTTTTTTCTAATTATTTGAAATAAATAAAAAAAAAATATTTTAAAACATTTTTTTTTAAAATTATTTCAAATTAGAAAAAATATATTTTAAAAACAATTCTCCCTTTTTTCCAAAAAAAAGAAACAAATTTTTTTTTCCTCCTTTTTATCCCATTTTTTTTTCTCTCTTTTTGTCCCAAAAAGAAAAACAAATTATTTTCTCCTAAAAAACAAAAAAAAATTCCTTTTTTCTTCCATTTTCTTTTTTGTTAAAATAGAAATTTTTTTTCTAATTTTTGTTACAGAAAAAATTTCCCCTTCTTTTCTTTTTTTTTCTAAAAACATGAAAATATTTTTCTTTTTTTCTGCGCCTTCAACAAAAAATATTTTCTCTCTTTTGTCCCAAAGAAAATATTTCTCTTTTTAGTGCAAAAAAAAAAGAAGAAAATTTTTGTTCCTCTTTTTACCAGAAAAAAAAGAGAGAAAAGCATTAAAATCTAACGTCTAATAAAAACAAAAAAAAAAATTACTTTTTTCTCACCTAAAAAAAGAAATTTTTCTTGAAATTATTATTGAATGCTTCCTACGATAAATGAAAAAAACCTGTTTGCACATAATTCTTTGCTCATGGTAAGGTTAAAAAAAAAGAAAAAAAAATAGTTCAATGACAACTTTTTTTTTCGCTCCCCTTTGTTAAATTAAATTTATAATCATTGTCATTATTTTGGGCCCTTTTTTTTCAAAAAAATGGAAATGAAATTTTTTCATTTCATAAAATCTTCTTGGAAATTCCTATTTTCTCTCTTTTTTTTTTTGTTTTTCTTTTTTTAATAAACTTTTAATTGATTATTATCATCGAATCCAGCGCTGTGACCAGCGTTTCTCACAATAAAACTGGTGCCATCATAATGCATTCGTCTTTCGCCACGACGTACAAAAAGATGTGAAGTTTGTCCAAGGGAAGCTGTACAATGTAAAAATGGAGTTGTCAACGATGCTGTTCCATTACTTGGCGATGTTCGCAATTGATATTTATTGCTATTTCTTGCAATTCTAAAAAGAAAAAAAAATCTCCATTATTTTGAACAATATTTATAATTTCTGAGATTCAATTATTTATTATCATTTATAATTATTACTAGCAAAATTAAACGCGCGCCAAATTGAGTATTTAATTGTTTATTATAAAGAAATTAAACATTAATATTATCAATAATAATTTAATTTATTAGAATATTATTACATATTAAATGATAATAATGAAAATTATATATGTTTACAGGCCTCGGATTATACGACTTTTTCCGACTTTTTTTTTCAAAAATACGACTTTTATCGACTTATTTTAATAAAATGCGACATTTTTTTTTTACATTTGCAAAAAAAAAATGTAAATAAAATACATTTTTTTTTTAGTATAAAATGTAGATCTTCTTCAGATCTTCTTCAATTCAATTATTTAACAAATTTTGAACTAAAATGATTCTTCACTAAATTAATTATTTTTAATAAATTTAATAAAATACATCACAAATTCAATTATATATTAAAATTATTTTTTCAATTAAAATTTTTATGAAATTTAATAATTGTTTATAATTTAAAAAAAATATCACAATAAAATGGAATTATTTCTTAAAAATTTCAATTTAAAATAAACTAAAATTCAATTACTACCCGAAATTTTAATTCAAAATCAATTAAAAATCCAATAATTATCCACAAAATTTTTGAATTTAAAATTTAATTATTTACCAAGTTTTCAATTTAAAATGAAATAAAATTCAATTATTTTCTAAAATTTCTATTCAAAATTTTATTATCCAAATTTTCAATCAAAAATGAACTTAAATTAAATTATTATCCAAAATTTCAATAAAATTCAATTATTTCCCGAAATTTCAATTCAAAATCAAAGAAAATTTAATTATTTTACAAATTTTCAATTCAAAATCAACTAAAATTCAATTATTATTCTCAAAAATTTCAATTCAAAATTAATTATCAAAATTTTGAATCAAAAATCAACTAAAATTGAATTATTACCCAAATTTCAATTCAAAATCAATTAAAATATAATAATTATCCAAAATTTTAATTCAAAATTAATTAATATCAAAATTTTCAATCAAAAATCAACTAAAATTAAATTATTATAAAAAATTTCAGAATTATTTCCCGAAATTTCAATTCAAAATCAAAGAAAATTCAATTATTTCCTAAAATTTCAGTTCACAATCAAAGAAAATTCAATTACTTTCAAAATTTTGAATAGAAAATCTTTTAAAATTCAATTAATTTTCAAAATTTCAGTTTAAAATCAAAAAAAATTTAATTATTTCACAAAATTTTCACTTCGAAATCAACTAAAATTCAATTATTATTCTCAAAAATTTCAATTCAAAATTAATTATCAAAATTTGCAATCAAAAATCAACTAAAATTGAATTATTATCTTAAATTTTCAATTAAAATTCAATTTTTTCCCAAAAATTTTAGTTCAAAATCAATGAAAATTCAATTATTTTCAAAATTTTCTATTGAAAATCTTTTAAAATTCAATTAATTTTCAAATTTTCAGTTCAAAATCAAAGAAAATTTCATTATTTTCCAAATTTTCAATTCAAAATCAACTGAAATTCAATTATTCTCAAAAATTTGAATTCAAAATTAATTATCAAAATTTTCAATCAAAAATCAACTAAAATTGAATTATTATCTAAAATTTCAACTAAAATTCAATTATTTTCAAAAATTTCAATTATTTCCCGAAATTTCAGTTCAAAATCAAAGAAAATTTCATTATTTTCCAAATTTTCAATTCAAAATTAATTATCATAATTTTCAATCAAAAATCCACTAAAATTGAATTGTTATCCAAATTTTCAATTAAAATTCATTTATTTCCCGTAATTTCAATTCAAAATCAAAGAAAATTCAAATTACTTCCCAAAATTTCAGTTCAAAATCAAAGAAATTTTAATTAGTTTACAAATTTTCAATTCAAAATCAACTAAAATTCAATTATTCTTAAAAATTTTAATTCAAAATGAATTATCCAAAATTTCAATCAAAAATGAACTTAAATTAAATTATTATCCAAAATTTCAAGTAAAATTCAATTATTTCCCAAAATTTTCAATTCAAAATGAACTGAAATTCAATTATTATCCAAATGTAAAATCAAATAAAATTTCATTATTCACAAAAATTTGAATTCAAAATTAATTGAATTTTCAATAATTTGAATTTAAAAGCATCTAAAATTTAATTATTTCTAAAATTTTCCATCGAAATTTTTTTTTTTTTGAAATTTAATAATTTCAATTATAACTCTAAGGAAATTCAATTATTTTTTTAACTATTTTAATAATATTCTTTAAAAATTCAACTATCTGAAACCATTTTTCAATTAAAAATGATTTTCAAATTATTGTATTTTGTCCGCATTTTCTAATAAATTTTTAGTGAAATCATCTAAAATTTTAATTACAAAACACTTAAAGTTTCAATTAATTTCAAAAATCTCATTTTTTAAATCTTTGAAAATTCAATTAAATTTAAAAAATGTTTTCCAATAATTGTTTGTTGAATTATTTTTAGTTCTTTAAAATTTAATAATTGTTTGAAAATTAACAATTATCTTTTGAAATTTAATTATTTCTAAAAATTTCAACTTTAACCCTTCGAAAAGGATTATTATTAAAAAAAAAAATTTATTTAAAAATCTGTAAAATATTTTTGTTAAAATAAAAAACAAATCCACTTTTTTTTTGGAATATAAATCGACTGAAACGACTTTTTGTGTCTTTAAGTTGATTCGAGGCCTGTATTTATATAATTAATATTTAATAGGTATTCGTTGGCCCCTGGTACCTTAAAAATTAATTTTGAAAAATAAATTTTTTTCAAATTTACTATCTTGTACGAAATTTTCTGACGCATCTTTTTTGCTCATCATAAATTTTTTGTACAATTTTTGAATCAATATACAAGTTTAAAAAAAATTTCGTTGTGTAAACGTTGTGTACTTCAGCTTCGTGAATTGAATTTTCGATATTGGAATTTTGAAAGAAACTTATTCCGAAATTTGGAAACACAATTATACAACTTTGGCAAAAATGAGAAAAAGAATTGTCAAAATTTGACACGTCATAAGATTACTATTAAAAAAAAAACACGTGAAATCAGAAAAGGCCAACTTCAAGTTAGGACAGAAGGACAGACCAAGCATTTTATTATTATATAATAATAATTATTATTATTATTTTTTTTGTTCTTTTTATTATTATTTTAGTATTTAAATAATATTTAAATTTATTCATTATTATTCAAATGATATATGAAATTAAAAAAATGTTTTCTTAAATTCAAAAAATATTAATAATAAAAAATAGAAAAAAAGGGGTTTTTTTTTTTTTTTTTGCAATTTTTGAAAATTACCTAACAAGGCCATCGGGTGTTTGTGAAATTCGGACATTGTTGATGATCCAATTTTCAACGCCCTCGTCGGTCAGCCAATATTGGGCCGACGAAAGAGCAGCTGCAGCTTCTTGCATACATCCTGGACCGTGTCGTGATTCCGAATAAAAAACACTCAACGAAATATCCTAAAAACAAAAAATTAAATAATTCTTTAAAATTTCAAAAAAAAAAAAAAAAATTCTTTCTACAATATTTTTATTCTATTTCACTTTCTTTATCTTTTAAATAAAATTAATTATTTAATTCATTGGATATTTAATTAATTATTTAATTAATTCGATAATTAATTATTCAATTAATTCGATAATTAATTATTCAATTAATTAAATAATTAATTAATTGGACAGTTAATTGTTTGGATACTTAATTATTTATTCAATTAACCGGATATTTACTTTATTAGTTAATTAAATAAAATAATAATTATATTTCTTTACTTAACTAATTATAATTAATTACATAATTAGTAAATATTAGTAAATATTAGTAAATATTAGTAAATATTAGTAAATATTAATTTTTAAAAAATCAATTTAAAAAAAATTCTTCTATAAAAATTTTGTATTTAATTTCCCCCCCCCCCCTTTTTTTTGCTATAAAAAAACTTATAGAAATTTATTAATTTCTTACTTGACTCATATCGGAAAAGGAATCAGTCGTGGTTCTTGTTCCGGCGGCGTCGACAAGATAAACAAGAGCACATTGTTCGGAAGTGAAGCTGACGCCTTTGTACCACATTTTTGCGTACCTACAATATTAAATTTTACGAAAAAAAAAAAATTGCGTTTTATTTAAATGTTAATTATTATTATTATTATTATTATTATTATTATTATTATTATTATTTTTAAATTCTAACTTGTTATTTCCATGAGTATCGTGGGCTAAAATTTCAACACGAGATCCATATTGATAAATTCTTCCGTTTGGATGTAAAAGAGCTGCCGCTGCACCTGATCCACTCAGAGCCAGGACAATATTATTCTATATTTTCGAAAAAAAAAGGGGGGCGGAAAAACGAAAAAAAAAGAAGAAGAAATTATACTATTTGAAAATTTATTTTTTCAATTTTTTTTTATCTTAAAAATTATTAATTATTTTAATTTGGTTAAATTTAAATTTTTAAATTGACAGAAATTCCAATTCATCGAATTTTTCAAATTTGCTCCGAATTTTTAATATTGATAGAATTTTTACGACGCCAAATTTTGCAATTTTTGTACCTAAAAATAAAAATTTTGCCAAATTCCCAAAATTCAACGAATTTCTAATTTTTCCGAATTTTGCAATTTTTGTAAAATAAAAATTTCACCAAACAAAAATTCGATAACTAAATATTTGTTGTAATAAAGTAAAAATTTTTTATAAAAAAAAAATTTGTCAAATTTTAATTTGGAGAATTGATAAATCTTCTTTTTTTTAAAAAAAAAAATACATATATATAATTATCTCCAATAAAATTATTTAAAATGAAAATTTTAATTACTGATTTTTATGTGGGATAATTATGCGCCTTCCTTAAAAAAAATTCTCTAAAGTAAAAAATCGTTTTAAAAAAGGGGGGAATTCCATATTTATATACAAAATGTTAAAATATTCTACAAAATAAAATAGATTTCTAATTTTTTTTTTTAAATAAAATAAATTGCTAAAATTGAAAATTTGTCAGAAGAAAATTTTATCTAATAAAAAAATTCTTTAAATTGAAAATTTTAACTATAATTAATTTTTTTTGATTCGCCCCTAAAATTTACGGGACGCATGATACTGTTTTTTTAAAATCATTAATTAAAATTTCCATTTTATGGAATTTCAATTGTCAATAATTATTTTTGAGCAGAATTTTTACTTTTTCGAATTAGTATTTTGCAGAATTTTCATTAAAAAAAAAAAACGATTTTTTCTCTATTACAAAATTTTTCATATAATTGAAAATTGACTTTACAAAATTTTTTATTTATTCGAATTTTTATTTGTCAGAATTTTTTTATTCTCTCGAATTTTTATTTAACATAATAGGATATTTTAAAGAATTTTTATTGCCTAGAATTTTAATTGCAGAATTTTTATTTTATTCTTTCAGATGAATTTTCATTTGTTGAAAATAATTATTTGATATAATAATTTCCAAAAAAACTGATTTTTCTGCTGAATTTTTAACCGAAAAATTATTTAACAGAATTTTTAATTGATTTGACTTTTTATTTGTCCGAAATTGCAAATGACCGAAACAATAAATGATTTTGGCGCGATTTTTAAATTATCAACCAATCACATTTTTATTGATAATTTTTTATTGCAAGCCTCGGATCGACTTAAATGTACAAAAAAAAGTCGTTGTAGTCTATTTATATTACCAAAAAAAAGTCGAAAAAGTCGATTTTTTTTATTTTAACAAAAATATTTTACAGATTTTTAAATAAATTTTTTCTTTTTAAATAATAATACTTTTGTAAGGGTTAAAGTTGAAATTTTTTTTAGAAATAATTGAATTTCAAAAGATTTTATTAATTTTCAGACAATAATGATATTTTACACAACTAAAAATAAATTGTCAAATAATTTGATATAACATTTTTTAAATGTAATTGAATTTTCAAATATTTACAATTTAAATTTTTGAAATTAATTTAACTTTAAGTGATTTTTAATTAAAATTTTTTGATAATTTCACTAAAAAAATTTATTAGAAATTGCGAACAAAAATACAATAATTTGAAAACCAATTTTAATTGAAAAATAGTTTCATATACTTAGTTGAATTTTCAATGAATTTTATAAAAAAAAGTTAAAAATAATTGAATTTCCCTTAGAGTTATAATGGAAATTATTAAATTTTAAATAATTTTCAATGGAAAATTTTAGAAAAAATTAAATGTTAGAAGTTTTTTAATTCAATTTTTTGAAAATAATTGAATTATAATTTAAATTTTGGATAATAATTCAATTTTAGTTGATTTTTGGATTAAAAATTTTGATAATTAATTTTGAATTCAAATTCTTGTGAATAATTGAATTTTAGTTGATTTTGAATTGAAAATTTGGAAAATAATGAAATTTTCTTTGATTTTGAACTGAAAATTTGAAACTTAATTGAATTTTAAAAGATTTTCAATTGAAAATTTTGAAAATAATTGAATTTTCATTGATTTTGAACTTACATTTTTAGGAAATAATTGAATTTTAATTAAAATTTTAGATAATAATTCAATTTTAGTTGATTTTTGATTGCGAATTTTGATAATTAATTTTGAATTGAAATTTTTGAGAATAATAATTGTTAGCTTTAAAGAAAGACTCTAAGACATTTAAATATTCGAGTCATTTTCATAAATAGGAAGTACGTCACGGACGATACTACGCCACCTATGCGTTAATATTAAAAGATGTATCTCTTCCGTTTTTAATCCTTGGCTTAGTATAGCAACACGTTTATATATCTCTTGTTTTTCTAAACGCATCGTGTATTTAATTTATCTTTATTAAACTATTAACTTGCATATAAATTCACTGCTTATTTATTTCTACCCTCTGAGGTTTAGTTTTCACGATAACAGGTTATGGGCCCAGAGGTGCGCGAGTGAAATAAGTTGTGTCGTGAGGTTAGAAAGTGTCTCATTTTTTTTTACGACATTGAAAATGAGTGGTGCAGCAAGCACAAGAATCGAGTTGCTCGATAAAAACAATTACGACACATGGAAGCTACAAATGCAGGCCTTATTAATTAAGGCAGATTTGTGGGAATATGCAAGTGGGGCGTCTGTAAAACCAGAGAGAGATGCAGCGGCAGATGCTGCAACGATCGCCCGGGAACAAGCGTGGGTAAAAAACGATTTAAAGGCGAGATCGGACATCATCTTGTCAATTTCTTCTAGTGAATTAAAGCAAATCAAAAACTGCGAGACTTCGAGGGCGATGTGGCTGAGACTAGAAGAAATATACCAGTCAAAAGGACCGGCAAGGAAGGCAACTCTCTTGAAGAGGTTAACCTTACAAAAAATGGCGGAGGGGAGCGACATTCGAGACCACTTAAACGGATTTTTCGACACGGTGGACAAACTCGAGAGCATGGAAATTAATATTAACCCGGATTTGCTAACAGTGATGCTCCTGTACAGTCTGCCTACCAGTTTCGAGAATTTTCGATGCGCAATAGAATCGAGAGACACTTTACCGACCCCTGAAACTTTGCGCACGAAAATTATCGAGGAAAGTGATGCGAGAAAAAACGGTCCTCAAAGTGTATGTTCAGACGCGATGTTCGTTAATAAAAATATCGGTCGCGACGAATACAAACAAAATTCGGTAACGAAAGACAATTCCAAGAAACAGCAGAATTTTACATCACAATTTCGGTGTTTTGTGTGTAATAAACCTGGTCATAAAAAAGCTGAGTGCAGGTACAACAAAAATAAAAAACAAACCGCGAAGTGTGTAGAAGATGTGTGCCTCAGAGTAGGGGAATCTTTCGAAACAAATCAAAATTGGTGCTTGGACAGTGGCGCTACAACTCATTTGTGTAATAAGACGGAAAGTTTTCAAAAAATCACCAATTCGAATCCCGGAATCTTAAACCTCGCGAATAATTCTACCTCTGAAATCCTCGGTAAAGGAACAGTTAAATTCACAGCGAAAGTGAATAACGATGTAAAAAGCGTGTCACTCGAAAATACATCGTTTGCACCGGATTTACGGACGAACTTAATATCGGTATCGAAAATCACGGACAGAGGTTACGACGTTATTTTTAAAAGTAATCGGGCGGAAATCGTGAGGAGTGACGGAAACGTTGAATTGTTCGCGGAAAGAGTTGGGAACTTGTATTATGTGCCAGAGTTTCGTGAAAATGCGTCGATGACAACAAACTCGACGTCAAACAAAGCATCAGTTGAACTTGTACATAAAAGGTTAGGTCACGCAAGCACAATAGAAATCCAAAATGCTATACGGAAAGGGAATGTGACGGGTATTCAAATCGCGGAAACACCTGTCAAGTTTGATTGTGAAGTGTGCCTAAAAGGAAAAATGTCAAGGACACCTTTCCCAAAAGACTCGAACCGGAAGTCGGAAATTTTGCAAATCATACACACGGATCTATGTGGACCAGTGAGATCGGTATCACTGGGAGGATCAAAATATTTCATTGAATTCATCGACGATTCTACAAAATGGTGCGAAGTTCGTTTCCTTAAATCGAAGACAGAAGTTCCAAAAGTGACAATGGAATACATCGCTCAAGTGGAAAAACAAAAAGGAAAAAGTGTGCGAACGATACAATCCGACAACGGAACAGAGTTCACAAATATCGAACTTGACTCTTATCTCAAACAACGAGGAATAACAAGACGCCTTACCGTGCCTCATAATCCGGAGCAAAATGGCACTGCCGAGCGAAAAAATCGCACTCTTCTAGATACAGCAAGATGTCTTTTATTCGAAGCAGATTTGCCGAACTCGTACTGGGCGGAAGCGGTAAATACAGCGAACTATTTAAGAAACCGTTTGCCAACCAAGAGCTTGAATGGAAAGACACCTTATGAGGCTTGGACAGGAGAGGTTCCGAATTTATCGCATTTGAGAATTTTTGGAAGTCACGTGTTTTATCTGGACAGAGATCCCGGAAAAGGGAAATTGGATCAAAGAGGACAGGAAGGAATATTCCTTGGATATTCAGAGGAATCCAAGGCACTCCGCATCTGGTCATCGAAGAAAAATAAAATCATCATCAGTCGCGACGTAAAGTTCATTGAAGATAAGAAAATCAACCCTATAACGAAACAAGAAACAAAACCTCCATCAGAAGAACGTTTCTTTATGGACATCGAACACGTTTCTCCACGTGAATCGGGAGATGTCGAACAAATTTTACCACGTGAATCGGAAGATGTCGAACATGTTTTACCATCCGGATTAGAGGATACAGAGAGCGACGATGAAGAGGATTTTACAGGCTTCGAAAGAGAAGATCATCAAGATCAACCAGAACAAAGAGCACCAAATGCGGAAGGAAATCCAGAGCCAAAAAGACAACCGGGACGACCAAAAGGAAGTGGGAAGAAATCTGGAACAGAAAAAACCATCCCACGAAAAGGAACGAGAACCGGATTGAGAAGCAGTACACGACAAGAAAATGATCAAGGAGGCGACACAGAACGAGCTGAAATGGACGAGAAAACCGAGCAAACATTTCTATCTGAAGTTCCGATGAAGGAGGCGATAGCAGGATCAGATGCTGAAGAATGGCACCAAGCCATTGCAGATGAGATGAAATCCTTAATAAAAAATAAAACCTGGACTCTCATCAATCATCCGGATCAAGCCAAAGTCATCGGAAGTAGGATGATTCTAAGAAACAAGACGAATCCAGATGGAACTATAGAAAAACGGAAGGCTCGTTTAATCGCTCAAGGATTTAGCCAACAGCCCGGCATTCATTTCAAAGAAACTTTCGCTCCAGTTACCAGGATCAGCTCAATCCGTCTGATGGCATCTTTGGCAGCTCAATACAACTTGAAGATCAGGCAGTTTGATGTGACATCTGCATACCTGAACGGTGACCTAGAAGAACAAGTTTATATGAGTGCTCCAAAAGGATTCGAGATTTTTCTGCAAGATCTTATAGACTCAGAAGGTGACAGTAAAATTGGAAGCCAAGCCAAGGAGATGCTGCACGAATTCCAAAAAGGTAATAAAGTGTGTTTGCTAAAAAAATCTATTTATGGACTGAAACAAGCTGGCCGTAGCTGGTACAAAAAACTTGACGAAACCCTCAGGAATATAGGTGCTGTTCCCTCCAAGTCAGACCCATGTCTGTTTCAAATCGGAGCAGGGGAAGACATAGTCATCATAGTGGTCTACGTAGATGACATCCTCGTGGCCGCCAAAGACGAAAAAAAAATCGAAGTTTTTAAAAGAAAATTGTCTAACAAATTTGATTTAAAAGACCTTGGACCTGCAACCTACTTCTTGGGAATAGAGTTCACACAAGGTAACAACGTCGTCAAAATGTGCCAACAAGGATACACACAGGAACTACTCCAAAAGTTCGGGATGAGCGAGAGCAACCCTGTTGCCACTCCAATCGAAACCGGAGTGAAGCTCGTCAAAAATCAACAACCTAGTGAACAGGATCAAAAATTGCCTTACCGAGAGCTTGTCGGAGCGCTTACCTACCTTTCAGTCACAACTCGGCCAGACATCGCTTATTCGATAAGCTACTTAGGGCAATTTAATAATTGTTATGACTCAACGCATTGGAAGGCAGCTAAACGGGTGTTACGCTACCTCAAAGGAACCATCGACGTAGGCATCATCTACAGAAAGCAGGAAGAACCAGTTCAAGGATATGTTGACGCGGATTGGGGAAACTGTGTAATCGATCGGAGATCTTACTCAGGATATATCTTCAAACTTGCAGGAGGCCCAATATCGTGGGACTCACGCAAGCAAAGGACCTCAGCGCTATCAACGACGGAGGCGGAATATATGGCCCTAACAGAAGGTGTCAAGGAAGCCATATATCTTCAAAGATTCCTTCAGGAACTTGGATTCAAGGACCTTTCTAATTTGAGTGTATTTTGTGACAACAGAAGCTGCTTATGTCTGGCTGAAAATCCGACTTTTCATGCTAGAACTAAGCATATTTCGATTAGATATCATTTTGTGCGGGATATTTTGGCAAGAAATTTGTTCACTATAAAATACATTTCGACTCATAATCAAGTGGCTGATTTTCTGACCAAAGGACTAACGAAAATGAAACATTATCAGTGTTTGAAATCTGCTGGATTATCCTCAGTGAAATATTAGTGTTAGTTGATTTTTTTATTCGATCATTCCTTTTTATTTTTATTCGTTGATTAAAAAAATGATACTGTATGACTCGAGGGGAAGTGTTAGCTTTAAAGAAAGACTCTAAGACATTTAAATATTCGAGTCATTTTCATAAATAGGAAGTACGTCACGGACGATACTACGCCACCTATGCGTTAATATTAAAAGATGTATCTCTTCCGTTTTTAATCCTTGGCTTAGTATAGCAACACGTTTATATATCTCTTGTTTTTCTAAACGCATCGTGTATTTAATTTATCTTTATTAAACTATTAACTTGCATATAAATTCACTGCTTATTTATTTCTACCCTCTGAGGTTTAGTTTTCACGATAACAATAATTGAATTTTAGTTGATTTTAAATTAAAAATTTTGTAAAATAATTAAATTTTCTTTGATTTTGAACTGAAATTTTGTAAATTAATTGAATTTTAAAAGATTTTCTATTCAAAATTTTCAAAATAATTGAATTTTCTTTGATTGTGAACTAAAATTTTGGAAAATAATTCAATTTTAATTGATTTTTGATTGAAAATTTTGAAAATAATTGAATTTTCTTTGATTTTGAATTGAAATTTTGGGAAATAATTGAATTTTCTTTGATTTTGAATTGAAATTTCGGGAAATAATTGAAATTTTTTATAATAATTTAATTTTAGTTGATTTTTTATAGCAAATTTTGATAATTCATTTTGAATTGAAATTTTTAAGAATAATTGAATTTTAGTTGATTTTGAATTGAAAATTTGGAAAATAATTAAATTTTCATTGATTTTGAACTGAAATAATTGAAAATAATTGAATTTTCTTTGATTTTGAACTGAAATTTTTGGAAGTAATTTCAATTTTCTTTGATTTTGAATTGAAATTTCGGGAAATAAATGAATTTTAATTGAATATTTGGATAACAATTCAATTTTAGTGGATTTTTGATTGAAAATTTTGATAATTAATTTTGAAAATTGAAATTTTTGAGAATAATAATTGAATTTTAGTTGATTTTAAATGTAAAAATTTTGAAAATAATTGAATTTTCTGTGATTTTGAATTGAAATTTTGCGAAAAAATTGAATTATAATTGAAATTTTTGATATTAATTTAATTTTAGTTGATTTTTGATTGCAAATTTTGATAATTAATTTTGAATTGAAATTTTGGATAATTATTGAATTTTAATTGATTTTAAATTAAAAATTTTGAGAATAATTGAATTTTAGTTTTATTTTGAATTGAAATTTTTGTGAAAATAATTGAAAATTTTTTTTCTATTTTGAATTGATTTTTGATTTTGAATTAAAAAATCTTTTTTGTTATTTTTTTTTGATAATTTTTTTTTTTTTTTTGTAAATTATAAATAATTGTTAAATTTCATAAATATTTTAATATTGAAAAAGTAATTTTGAAATAAATGAATTTGTGAATTGAATTTCATTAAAATTATTAAAAAAAAAATAATTAATTTAGTGAAGAATTTTTGTTAAAAATTTATTAAATAATTGAAATAAAGAAGATTTGCATTTTATACCAAAAAAAAAAAATGTATTTTATTTCAAAAAAAAAATTTTTTTTTTATATATAATCCGAGGCCTGAAATTCGTCTTAAAAATAATTATGACAAATGAAATTTTCCATAGAATGAAAATTCCTGTAAATGGTGTTTTTTTTTTTTTTTTTTTTTTCCAAATACCTATACCAAAAAGAAAAGAATTACCTTGAAATTAATGACGCGTACGGCGCGATCAATTGTCATATCAACGCGTATTCGATTATGTAATCGAAGGGAAATTGTTCCATGAGGGGTGGCAATGGCGCCACCAGGAATTGGTTCAATATCATGATCTCGCCAATTTTCCGTATAAATGCAAGTCTCCTCAATTGGATAATAAGATGGTGAAAATGATTTTTGATTTCTCGGTTGACGCCAATTTGTTGTACTCGTTGACAAATATCCACTATTGCTATTGTTACTGTTGTTGTTGTTATTATTATTGTTATTATTGTTGTTGCTATTATTGTTGTTTACAGTTCCTCCCCATTGATCCGAGGGTGGGGTCTCGAAATATTTTGAAAATTCACTGTATCTCTAAAAAAAAAAAAGTCATAAGTCAGAAAGAAAATTAAAAAAAAAAAAAAAAAAAATTTTTTCCTAAGTAAATAAAAATAAAAATTAAAATTAAAATAAAGAAGTAAATAAATAAAAAATAAATTAAAAATATAAAACTACTTTTGACAAAGAAATAAAATAAAATACAAAAGGGAAAAAAACCGGAAAAATAACGAAAGGGAAACAAAAAGAAAGTAGAAAACGTAAAAAAAAACAAAAAAAATAAAAATACAGATATACTTATAAAACAAAAAAATTTAAAAAGGACAGAAAAAAATTGAAAATAAAACTACAAAAAATAAAAAAATTCCAAAAAAAGAAATTAAAAATACACCAAAAATTAATGATAAATAATAAAATAAATTTAGAGGGGAAAAAATAAAACATTTTGAAATAAATTAAGATAAGTACATTTTTTTTCGGACAAAAATGTAATTTATTGCCCCTCCAAAAATGGGACGAATTAAAAAAAAAAAAAAAAAAAAAAAAAAAACAAACAAAAATTATATAGAGTCGGAAACAATTAAAAACGTGTTTAGAATTGTTTTATTGTCTTTATCTCACTGACAAAATACCTTGAGCCACTTTTCGATATTAATTACGAACAAATTTACATTTAGAAGGAAAACGATGAGGGGAAGACGGCGAAAAAAAAAAAAAAGAAAAAAAAATTTACTGATTATACATGACAAATGCTGGCATTTTTCCTTATTAATTAGATATCAATTTTTTTTTTTCAAATTTTAATTTTTTTTTTATACACACAGTATATATATAGTACCAAAAAAAAATCCGAAAATTATAATTATATAATTATATAATTTTATATTATCTAAAGTATAAATAAAAATATATATATAATTATAATCAGTCAACTTATTAAATAGATAAAAGTAAATAAATAATAATTATTGTAATTACAAAAAAAAAAAATTATACATTTTTTTCTTATTATTTTTTTGTTTGCTGTATAAAAGAAAAAACTAAATTTATAATAATTAAAATTTCCTAATGATAATTATTTATAAAAAAAAAAAAAAATGGCCACTGTCTGTAAAATTTTATAAATGAAAAAAATAATAAAAAAAAAAAAAAAAATGGTAAAAACAGAAAATAATTACCTGAAAATGAGACTCGTCGTGATAACTGTGAGCGGTGTAAAGAGACCTGGGACGCAAAGGTGCCGCGGATTGATGATTTTGATTTGAAATTGCAGGAGCTGAACTTGGCATTGGAATCGGTGGATATTGTCCAATTTTTTGCACATCTTTCAAAATTTCCGTCGAACTCGTCATTGTCTTCACCTTCCGCAAAAAATTATTATTCAAATTTTCTTTTATTTATCATTATTATTATTTTATTTTAATTCTATAATTAATTTTTAATTTTTTTTTCTTATCATTCTTTTATTTTTTTTGATATTATTTAATTTTTCTATTATTTATTATTATTATTATTATTATTTTATTGTAATTTTACTTTTTTGTTTTTTATTATATATTTTTTAATTATTTTATTTTTATTTATTTATTATTATTATTATTATTATTATTATTATTATTATTATTATTATTATTGAAAAATATTTTCTATAAAATAAATACTTTTTTCTATCGAATTCAAAAAATTTATGTTTCTATTAAAAAATAAATACATTTTTTTTTTCTTTCAAAATTGAAAAAAATTGTTTCTGTTAAATGAATATATATTTTTTTTTAATTCAAATTTAAAAAATGTTTCTTTCAAATTGAAAAAAATTGTTTCTGTTAAATAAATATTTTTTTTTTTTTTTTAATTCAAATTTAAAAAATGTTTCTTTCAAATTGAAAAAAATTGTTTCTGTTAATTTTTTTTTTTTTTTTATTTCAAATTTAAAAAATGTTTCTTTCAAATTAAAAAAAAAAATTGTTTCTGTTAAATAATAGAAAGAAAAAAAAAGTTTTTCTAAAAAAAATTGCAAAAAAAAAAAAAATTTATTTTTACCTTAACGTCGCCCGAAGAATTTCTTGGCTTCTTGCGACGTTGTTTTCGATTTCTTGAGGATGCATTACGCGTTCCTCCTTCGCTATTTCGATCCATGTTTAATGAATTTTTTCCCTTCAAAAATGAAACAAAACCTCCTGTTCTCCTCCTTGTATCACCACCTTCCTGGCAAACAATTTGCGTTTTGCTGGCCACTTTTGTTGTTCAAATTTCACACAAAATAAGAGGAAGAAGAAGAAGAAGAAAAAAAAAAAAACACAAAAAATCCCCCCTAAAAAAAAAAAAAATTGCCCGGAAAACTGAAACAAATCTTTCAAAAACTTTTAATAAATTAATTAAACTTTTTTTTTTTTTTTTTTTTTTATCTTTTGGGAGAGAGACGAAAAAAAAACCTTTTTCTTTTCCTCTCTTTCTTTTTTCAAGGAAAAACTGTGAGAAAAAAAAACAAGAGAGCAATGATAATTTCTTCGTTGCCTTGACGATTTTTTTTTGTTTTCCATTTTTCTCTCTTTTTTTTGTTTTTTCAAAAATTCAAAAAAAAAAATACTGAAATTTATTGGACGAAAAAAATTATCGCAATTTGAAATATTTTTTTTTTTTTGAAGAAAAAGGAGAAAAAATATATGTAAAATTGAAAATGAATTATATATAAAAATAAATAAATAAATAAAACGCGAAATTCAAATTCAAATAAAAATTTGGCAAAAAAAAAGAAACAAAAAATATGAAATTGAAAATAATAAAAAACGCGAAATTCAAATTTAAATAAAAATTCGGTAAAAAAAAGGAAAACAAAAAATATGAAATTGAAAATAATAAAAAAAAATAAATAAATAAATAAAACGCGAAATTCAAATTCAAATAAAAATTTTCAAAAAAAAAAGAAACAAAAAATATGAAATTGAAAATAATAAAAAAAAATAAAACGTGAAAAATAAAAATTATGAAATTAAAAAAAAACAAAAGAAAAAAATATTTGTGTTTTTGTAATAAAAATAAATAAATAAAAAAATAATTTAAAAAAAAAACAATTTTTTAATTTGCAAAAAAAATGTAAAAACATTGAGAATTAAACTATTTTTTTCAAAATAATTTATATATAAATATATAATATATATATATTTTATTTTACTATATATAATTACACTTAATAATGTTTAATACTCTTGACGATTTACAAAAAAAAAAAAAAAAAAAAATTGAGGATAAAAATTCAAAAATTCCCCAACGATTGCAAATAAAATTGTCAATTGAAAAATTTAACTCTCAAATTAAAACAAGATTTATTGTTACCAAACAATAAAAAACAATAACAATCCTTGAACAATTTTTTTTTCCTCCACTTTAATTATTTATTGTTTCTTTTTTTTTTTGCATCAACTTTTCTTTTTTTATTTTTATTATTTCCATAATACATTTTTATTTATAATATAAAAAAAAATTAATTTTCATATTATAATTAGAAAATAATTTATTATCGTTTATGTATCATTTAGATTTTTATTTCTATTATTATTAATTATTATTAATTATTATTATTATTTTTAATTAATAATTTTAATTGATAATTTATATTTATAATTACTAATATCAATTTTAATTAATAATTTTAATTTTCGCGTGTCTTCATTTTTTAAAAATTCTATTTTATTTTTATTTATTTATTTATAACGTTTACGTTTTCATTAATTAATTTTCAATTAATAATTTACATTTTCAATTAATAATTTTTTTTTTTTAAATAATAATTTTTAAACATTTTTAAATTAAGAATAATTTTTAATAAGTAGTTTTAATTTTTAGCCATTAAAAAAAAAAAATAAGTTTTATGTAATTTCAAAAATGAGTTTTTTTTTTCTTTTTCTATTTAGAATTTATGATTAATTACATTTTGATCAAGTTGAAGTGAATAATTATATTTCTATTCAAGAATTTTCCGTTTCTATAATTTCAGTTATTCATTTTTATAATGACATAATTAGTGGGATGATTTAATAAGAAAAAAAAAGAAACATTATATCTTCACTTAAAGATCTTGTTTAGAATTTTTAATCGGCATTTGTTTAATTTTAATTCACGTTTTTACTTTTTTTTTTTTTTTTTTTTTTATCGAAATATTTTCCGCTCATTTCCAATCAAAAAAAAAAAAAAAAAAAATTTCAAAACAATAAGAATAATTACAAAAAAAAAGAGAGATAAGAAAATTAAAAAAAAAGAGTGAGAAAAAAAATTAAATAGAAATTAAAAAAACAAAAATCGAATAAAAATTAAATTATATTTATAAAAAAAAAAAAAAAAAAAAAAAATAACGAAAACAAAAGGAAACAAAAATTCAATAATTAAGAAAAACCAAAAAATTTCGATAATAGAAAAACAAGAATTAAAAAACAAAAATGTAATTAAAAAAATAATAAAATAATAATTAAATAAAAATAATAAAATAAAACAAAAAAATTCAATTTTAAATTTTTTGTTGGTTTTTTTTATTATTTTTTTAATATTTAATTTTTGTTTTTTTATTCTTGGATTTTTTGTTTCATTTAAAATTTTTATTATTAAATTTTTAGGATTTTTATTTTTATTTATTATCGCAAAGTTTTTTTTTTTTTTTTTTGGTTTTTCTTTTTTATAGATTTTTTTTAAAAATTAAATTTTTTTTTTATTTTGTTATGTTTTAATATTACATTTTTTTTTTGAATTATTTTTCTTGCTTTTTATTAAGAAAATTTTTTTGGTTTTTCTTCGTTATTTGAATTTTTTTTGTTATATTTTTTTAATAATTGAATTTTTTTTTGTTATATATATATAAATAAATATGAATAAATAGGAAAAAATTATTTTGCACTTATAATATACACAGAGATATACACGTGATTCGATTGGTCACTAGGTGGGAGAATCATTTTATCACACGTTACATTTGAAATTGTTCGCTCAGTATTCGTCAACCTCGTGGCTATAATAAAGCTCGCGAAAAGTAAATTTTATGTAAATTACATAATTTATTAATTTCCTTTTGTTTTTTTTTTGCAAATAAACAGAAAAAAAATTGTTTCCCTTTTTAAAATTAATAATATTACAAGAATGACAATTTTAAAAAGATTTTTCTTTATTGTCATTCTCATCATTTGCGCCACGATTCTGGGTAATTAATTAATTACAAAATAAAAAACCAAAATGCTCATCATAATTGTTTTTTTTTTATCATTCTTTTCTTTTTCACAAAATAAAAATTAATTTTGCATTTATTTATTTATTTTTTTTTTCTTAATTAAAAGAGAAAACACAAATAAACGAAATTTTTTACAAATGCAAAAAAGTAGGTGAAAAATTAATTTAAATTTTAACAATTAAATTATTAAATTAAATAAATAATTAAATAAGTCAATAAATAAATAAATAATGAAAAAATTAAATAAATTTTTCATAAGGGGAGAAATAATTTCCGAAAAAAAATTTTTTTATAAAATTTAATTTGTAGATTTGAAAAAAATGATAATTGAAATAAAAATTCAATTTTTAGCTTTTTTTTTTTTTTCTTTCTTACAAAACTGATAAGAAATTGTTAATAAATTTAGTGTGCAAATTCATTATGTCAACAAAATACAAGGATTTAATTTTATTTACCGACTGATTGTAAATTTTAATTTTTTCTTAAATTTTTTTGATTATTCGTTATTTATTTTCATTTTATTTGTATTATTATTATTCTTCTTTTTTTAATTTTTCTTTTTCTTTCAATTTTTTAAAAATAATTTTTTTCATTTTATTTATTTGTAATATATAAAGAAAAAAAAGATTTTATTTATTTAAAAGATAATAATAATAAATATATTATTATTATTATTATTATTACCTTTCTTCGTAATTTTTTTTTCTTTTTCAAAATTTGAATTCTAGAATTAATTTGTTTCCATTTTTTTTTCTAAATCTAAGAATTTGATAAAAAATCAATTTAAAAATCAATATAATCATACTAATCTTCCAATCACTATAATCTTAAGATACAAAAAAAAATAAATCTTCTCTTACTTGTCTTACATATATCGTACAAAGATTAAATAAATTTAATTCAATTACTCTAGTTGTGTAAAATTAAAAAAGAAAATCAAATTAAAAAACGAAATTATCAATAAATAAATCAAATAAAAATAATTATCAATAAATAAATCAAATAAAAATAATTATCAATAACTAAATAAATAAAAAATAAAAATAATAGTAATAAATAAATAATATAATTCAGTGATAAGAAAAAAAATAATTATTAAAACACTTTAAAAGAAACAGAAAGTAAAAAATAATTACAAGGATAAGAAAAAAAAAAACAAAAAATTAGTCACGCAGTAAAAATCAATTATTTAAAAAAAAAAAAATTCGGTTTCACGGAAGAAGAAATTTTATTTTATATATATTTTTTTTTTTGTCATTTAAGGAAGAAAATTTTAGTCACGTACATAGAAAAAAAAACTGTATATATATATAATACAGAATAGAAAATTATAATTAAATAAATAATTTAAAAAAAAATTAATTAATTGAAAAAAAAAATAACAAATAAAAAAAAAAAGAAAACATTTTAAAAAATACATTTTCAGTGACAAAAAAAAAAATTTCTTTTTTCCTTGAGATATTTTTTTACCTTTTGATTATCCATAAAAGTAATGGGGGTAATTGACCTCTTATAGTTGATATTTTTTAAATTAAAAAAAAAAAAAATAAAATTTTAATTTTCATCACTTTCTTAAAAAAAAAATAAATAAAAAATAATAATATCATTGTTATCGAATTTATCAGCAGCAGCAGGGGCGAGAATAGTACGTGACATTTCAAAAGAGAATGAAGATAACTCTTTAGATACAAATACAGACTCCTTACGTCTTGTCACACTTGTAAGTTTACTTCTTTTTTTCCCAAAAAAAAAAAAAAAAAAAAAATTCAAATAACAATAATTTATTAATTATTTTTGGAAAAAATAAAAATTAATAAAAATAATAACAAATAATTAATAATTAATAATAATAGTAGTAATAATTACTATTAATAATAATAATAATTACTATAATAATTACTATTAATAATAATAATAATCATAAAAATATGTTTTTTTTTATTTATTTTTATAAATTTATTAATGTAATTGTACCTAATTTATTATTTATTATTATTATGATTTATTAGTATTTATTTATTATTATTATTATTATTATTATTATTATGGACAGAATTTATTATTATAATTATTATTATTATTAATTATTAAGCCATTATCAAAAAAAAATTAAAATTATTATTAAATTTAAATAATTGTACCAAATTTATTATTTATTATTATTATTATTATTATTTATTAGTATTTGTTTATTATTATTATACGAAAGGGCTTGTCCCGTTAACTAAATAAATAAATAAATAAATAAATTATTATTAATTATTAAGCCATTAAGCAAAAAAAAAAGATAAAATTATTATTAAATTTTGTGGCTTTGAAAATATTTTTTAATTAACTATTATTTTTATTTTTAATAAATAATTAAAAATAAAATTTTTTCATTTATAGGTTCTTCGACATGGAGATCGAACACCACAAGACACTTATCCTAATGATCCTTATATTAATGATTCAATGGAACCTTATGGATGGGGTCAATTAACAAATGTAAGTTTATAATTTTTATTTATATAATAAAAAAGAATAATAATAATAATAAAATTGCAAAAATTGAGAGTATTGAAAAATGTTAAATATTCATTTCAATTTAATATAATATTAAAGAGTAGAACAAAAAATTTTATTTTCTTAATAACGAAAAAAAATTACCTTAAAAAATAAATAAAAAAATAAATAAATAAAATTAAAACAAAGTTAAAAAAAAAATGTTAATCAAATCAAAAACAAATAAAAAACAGAAAAAAAAATTCTGAAAGAAATTAAAATAAACAAATTAAAAATTATTGAAAACAAAAAAAAACAAAAACAAAAATGAACAAATAGGTATAAAAATTACAGAAAACAAAAAAAAAAAACAAAAACAAAAATGAATAAATATAAAAATTACAGAAAACAAAAAATAAAAATGAAAAACAAAAATGAACAAATATAAAAATTACAGAAAACAAAAAAAACAAAAACAAAAATGAACAAATATAAAAATTACAGAAAACAAAAAAGAAAAGAAAAACAAAAATGAACAAATATAAAAATTACAGAAAACAAAAAAAACAAAAACAAAAATGAACAAATATAAAAATTACAGAAAACAAAAAAGAAAAATGAAAAAAAAATCCAAAATAATAGAAAACAAACAAAAATAAACAAATTAAAAATAATAGGAAACAAACAAAAATAAACAAATTAAAAATAATAGGAAACAAAAAAAATTAAACAAATTAAAAATAATAGAAAAGAAAAAAATTAAAAATTAAAATTAAAAATTATAAATAAATTTATAATTTACAAAAAGGCGGTAAATAAAAAACAATTATTTTCTTCTAATATACAGAAAGGACGATTAAATCAATACAATCAGGGAATTTATTTACGTGAACGTTATGGGAAATTTTTAAAAACAAAATATAGTCCGGACATATTTTGGTTACAAAGTACAGCGCCAGATCGTGCCAAAATGTCAGCATTATTAGAAGCCGCGGGTCTTTGGAAACCAGACGAAAAGCAAACTTTCAAAACTGGTTTGCCATGGCAACCAGTGGCCTTGCATTATCAATCGGACAACGACACGGTATATATATTAACTAATTAATTAATTAATTAATAATCTAATTCAAAGCACAAAAAAAAAAATAAATGCACATTGAATCCAACTCATATTATATTTAAATTTTATTTATAAAAAATTATTATCAGCCAATTTTTCTCTTTGTTTCGTCATTGATTAATTTTCTTTGAAATCAATTTTATCAATAATTTCTTTTTTTTTAAATAATAGAAAACAAAATTAATTAAAAAAAAAAAAAAATTAACAAAAAATTTTTTAAACTCTCACCTCTTTTTTCTTCTCTTTCGTTTTTCTAAAATAATTCTCTCCTCCTTTTTCTCTATTATAATTGAAAAAATTATCTCCATTTTCTTCATTAAAAATTTCATCTTTTTTTTTATTTTCTTGGTAATTATATCGATATAAATAAATCACGTTAGGTTGCAAAAAAAAAATTAATTAGTATTTTTTTCTTCTCTCTCTGTTTTTTTGGCAGCTCCTTTTAATTTGGTCAAGTTGTCCAGATTATCCACGTCTTCACAGTATCGTTGCAAATTCAAAGGAAATCAAAGATATTGAGTCGAAAAATAAAAATCTCTTTCAAGATTTAACTAAATATACGGGAATGAAAATTGCAAATGCCGATGATGTTTTTTCCTTGTATGGAACATTGGAGGCTGAGGTACAGTGTTTTGTTGAATTCTTTTTTTTTTTTTTGCACGCCTTTTATTTATTTTTGAGAATTGAAAATCCTGAAAAAGAAAATTTAGAAATAAATTTTTATTTTTTAAAATTATTAATTTAATTCGTAAATGTAATGAAAAATTAATATCAATTTTTTATTGGGAATTTTAATTAGTAACTAGACATTAATAATTATTAATTAGTAATTATTAATGACTAATTTAGTAATTACTAATTAAAAATTATAAATTAAAATAATTTAGTAACTAAGGGCTAAAAATTAATTATTCGAAAATAATTTTTTATAATTATTTACTCAAAGGTAAATAATTTTTCTATAATTAGTAACAAATTAAATTATTTTTCTATAATTAGTAACAAATTAAATTATTTTTTTAAAAGTAACTAAATTAGTAATTATTTATAATTTTAGTAACTAAGAGCCGATAATTAATAATTCATTACTAAATAATTTTTTATAATTAATTACTAATTTTTTTTTAATAAGTAAATAAACTAGTAACTAACTTTGTCTAATTAGTAACTAAAATAATAACTAATTTTTTGAAATTATAAACTAAATTAGTCATTACTTTTTTATAATTAGTAACAAAATGAATTATTTTTTTAGAAAGTAACTGAATTAGTAAATTATGTTTTAATAATAAGTAACTAAATTAGTAATTATTTATAATTTTAGTAACTAAGAGCCGAAAATTAATAATTCATTACTAAATAATTTTTTATAATTAATTACTAATTTTTTATTAAAATTAATAATTCATTACTAAATAATTTTTTATAATTAATTACTAATTTTTGTAATAAGTAATTAAAGTAGGAACTAATTTTGTATAATTAGTAACTAAATTAGTAACTAATTTTTTTGAAATTATTAACTAAATTAGTAATTATTTAAATTTTAGTAACTAAAGGCCAAAAATTTATAATTCATTACTAAATAATTTTCTATAATTAATTACTAATTTTTTATTAATTAGTAACTAAATTAGTAACTAATTTTTTTTTAATTATTAACTAAATTAGTCATTAATTTTATATAATTATTAACAAAATATATTATTTTTTTAAAAGTAACTAAATTAGTAATTAATTTTTTTGAAATTATTAACTAAATTAGTAAATTATTTTTTTATAACAAGTAACTAAATTAGTAATTATTTATAATTTTAGTAACTAAGAGCCGAAAATTAATAATTCATTACTAAATAATTTTTTATAATTAATTACTAATTTTTTATTAAAATTAATAATTCATTACTAAATAATTTTTTATAATTAATTACTAATTTTTTTAATAAGTAAATAAAGTAGTAACTAATTTTGTATAATTAATAACTAAATTAGTAACTAATTTTTTTGAAATTATTAACTAAATTAGTATTTATTTATAATTTTAGTAACTAATTTTTTTGAAATTATTAACTAAATTAGTAATTATTTATAATTTTAGTAACTAAAGGCCAAAAATTTATAATTCATTACTAATTTTTTTAATAAGTAAATAAAGTAGTAACTAATTTTGTATAATTAGTAACTAAATTAGTAACTAATTTTGTTTTAAATTATTAACTAAATTAGTCATTAATTTTTTATAATTATTAACAAAATAAATTATTTTTTTAAAAGTAACTAAATTAGTAATTAATTTTTTTGAAATTATTAACTAAATTAGTAAATTATTTATTTATAACAAGTAACTAAATTAGTAATTATTTATAATTTTAGTAACTAAGGGCCGAAAATTAATAATTCATTACTAAATAATTTTTTATAATTAATTACTAATTTTTTATTAATTAGTAACTAAATTAGTAACTAATTTTTTTTTAATTATTAACTAAATTAGTCATTAATTTTATATAATTATTAACAAAATATATTATTTTTTTAAAAGTAACTAAATTAGTAATTAATTTTTTTGAAATTATTAACTAAATTAGTAAATTATTTTTTTATAACAAGTAACTAAATTAGTAATTATTTATAATTTTAGTAACTAAGAGCCGAAAATTAATAATTCATTACTAAATAATTTTTTATAATTAATTACTAATTTTTTATTAAAATTAATAATTCATTACTAAATAATTTTTTATAATTAATTACTAATTTTTTTAATAAGTAAATAAAGTAGTAACTAATTTTGTATAATTAATAACTAAATTAGTAACTAATTTTTTTGAAATTATTAACTAAATTAGTATTTATTTATAATTTTAGTAACTAATTTTTTTGAAATTATTAACTAAATTAGTAATTATTTATAATTTTAGTAACTAAAGGCCAAAAATTTATAATTCATTACTAATTTTTTTAATAAGTAAATAAAGTAGTAACTAATTTTGTATAATTAGTAACTAAATTAGTAACTAATTTTGTTTTAAATTATTAACTAAATTAGTCATTAATTTTTTATAATTATTAACAAAATAAATTATTTTTTTAAAAGTAACTAAATTAGTAATTAATTTTTTTGAAATTATTAACTAAATTAGTAAATTATTTATTTATAACAAGTAACTAAATTAGTAATTATTTATAATTTTAGTAACTAAGGGCCGAAAATTAATAATTCATTACTAAATAATTTTTTATAATTAATTACTAATTTTTTTTAATAAGTAAATAAAGTAGTAACTAACTTTGTATAATTAGTAACTAAATTAGTAATTATTTATAATTTTAGTAACTAAGGGCCGAAAATTAATAATTCATTACTAATTTTTTTAATAAGTAAATAAAGTAGTAACTAATTTTGTATAATTAGTAACTAAATTAGTAACTAATTTTTTTTTAATTATTAACTAAATTAGTCATTAATTTTTTATAATTTTTAACAAAATAAATTATTTTTTTAAAAGTAACTAAATTAGGAATTAATTTTTTTGAAATTATTAACTAAATTAGTAAATTATTTTCTTATAACAAGTAACTAAATTAGTAATTATTTATAATTTTAGTAACTAAGGGCCGAAAATTAATAATTCATTACTAAATAATTTTTTATAATTAATTACTAATTTTTTTAATAAGTAAATAAAGTAGTAACTAATTTTGTATAATTAGTAACTAAATTAGTAATTAATTTTTTTGAAATTATTAACTAAATTAGTAATTATTTATAATTTTAGTAATTAAGGGTCGAAATAATTAATTTTTTTTTTAATTATTAACTAAATTAGTAAATATTTTTTTATAAGTAACTAAATTAGTAATTAATTTTTTATAATTGGTAACTAAATTAGTTTATAATTATTACTAAATCAGTTTTTAATTATTACTAAATTAATTGCTAATTATTAAGAATTTTTTTAATTAGTAACTAAATTACTAATTTGCTATCTGTTTAATAACTTAATTAGTAAAGCTGCGAGTAATCAGAAAAATTTAATTATTATTAGTAAAAGAGTAAAACGAAATTTCTAAATTTTTTTAAAAAATAATTTTTACTAAAAATTTTGTTTTCTATATCATTAAAACAGGAAAATATGGGACTAAAATTGCCCGAATGGACGAATAATTATTTTCCCGAGAAATTAATTGAATTAAGTAAATTGAGTTTATCATTGAATGTTTATAATGAAACAATGCGACAAATGAAGAGTGGACCATTAATATCGAAAATAACACGTGCAATGAGAGAAAAATCACAAGGTAAATTAATGCCAAATGAAAGGAAAATGTTTATGTACGTTGGTCACGATTCAACAATTGTCGCATTATTGGCTGGATTGAATCTTTGGAAAAAAGAAATTCCCGGCTATAGTAATATGGTGATGATTGAACTTCATGAGGATAAACAAGAATGGAATGTACAGGTAAATTTATCAATAAATAATTTAATAAATAATTACCTAATAAATAAATAATAAATAAATAAATTAATTAATTAATAAATAATAAAGAAATAATAAATAATTAATAAATAAATCCTAAGTAAATAATTAATTAAAAATATAAATAAATAATTGCCAAATAAATACTAACTAACAAGCAATTGTTAGTTAAATAAATAATTAATAAAATAATAAATAATAAACAATTAATAACTGAAGTAACTAATAAATAAAATGGAAAAATTACTTTTTTCTATAAACAAATGAAACATTAATTAATAAAAAAAATTAAATAATAAATAAAGAATAATATAAATGAATATTAATATAAATAAATAATAAATAAAATAATAAATTTATCTTTTTCAATAAATAATTATTACAAATTAGAAATTAATAAAGAAAATAAAAATTGCAAATTAATGTTAATTTAAAAAAAAAAAAATGGACAAATAACAAAATTTTCGATAGAAAAAGAGGGAAAAAAACATTTGAAAATAAAAAGAAAAAAAAAAAGAAAAATAAATAAATGATTTGTAAATAATAAAATAATTTAGAGAAATTAAATAAAAAACTAAAATAAATAATTAAAAAAAAAAAAATAATTATAACTATTGAATAGAAAAATTTAATGAAATTTTTTTTGTTTTTAAATTTTCAGATATTTTTCAAAGACTCAATAACAAAAGCACCGCGTCCCTTAACAATTCCTGGATGTTCGCAAATTTGTCCTTTAGATAAATTTGAATCATTAATAAAATCAATGATATTAACGACAAGCGAATGGTCAGAATTGTGTCAATTAAAGGATCCCAATTGGAAACCAGGAAAAGTTCCTTTACCTTAAATAATTCCTTTCCTCCCCCCCCCCCCCGCACCCTTTCTATTCTCAAATTTTAGAAAAATTAATTAATTTTCTATTTTGATTTCAAAAATTAAATTAGGTAAATCAAAAATTTTTCATCAATTTTAATAGACGATTATAAATTTTTTCATTCGGAAAAAAAAATAAAGAAAACGAAAATTTTGCTAAAAAAAACTTTTCTTTTTGTTTGCATAAAAAAAAGTTTTCGTTTTCTTTGTTTCTTTATTTTTACTTTTGAAACAAAAATTTATATCGGCAAAAAAAAAAATAGAAATATTAGAAAATTTTTTTTTTTTAGTTATAATTTAAAATTTTCAATTTTTATACTAAAATTTTGGAAAAGAAAAATTGTCAAGAATAGAAAATTTAGGTAGAAAAATTTTAAAACTTTCTATTTTCTTATTAAATTTCGAGAAAAAAAAAAATTAAAATTGTTTTAGTCTAAAATAGAAAAATTCGGTATTATAATTTTTAATTACAATTTTCAATTTACAATTTTCCTATTAAATTTCAAAGAAAAATGTTTTTTAGTTTAAAATTAAAATAGAAAGTTTAGTGTTAAAAATATAATTTATAATTTTCAATTTTCTTATTAAATTTCAAAAAAACAAACATTTTAATTTGAAAATAGAAAATTTAGGTAATACAATTAATTTAGTTGAAAAATTTTGCATTTAAAAATTTGTAATTTTTAAATACAAAAAAGAATAACCAATAATTGAATTAACTAATAATTTGTAAATTAGTTAATTTAGTTAATTAGTTTTTATTAAAAATTAATAATTAACTAATTATAGCCAATGAATTACTTTGCATTCGACAAATAATAAAAAAAAAAAAAAAAAAAAAAAATTCAAGGACCAAAACGCTTTTGGAATCAAAAGAGAAATCGAATGCAGACAATTGTACAAAAAAAAAAAAACGAAAAAAAAAAAAAAATAAAAAAAATTCCTCTGTGATCATTATAAAATAGTCTCTACGATAATAGAAACTTCGATTAAATTTATGTATTTATTGTCAGTTTTAATCGACTGATTTAAATTAATGAATTTAAATTACCAAAAATTAATCGATTACATTTTAATTAATTAATTAATCAAATTAAATTTTTTCATTAATTTTTTAAATAAATAACCAATAACTATAAATATTAAACGATTTTAAATTGTTTTAATTTGAAAAATAACTATATATATATATATAATCGATTAATTAAAATATAAATAATTATAGATCAATTCATTCTTTAAATAATATTAAATAAATTATAATATTATTTTCAATAATTGATAATAATTATTCAAAAATAATTATAAATGATTTCTAAAATGCAAATTAATTTTTTTTTAATTTTTTATAATTAATAATTTTATAATAATTTTGTTTTATTATTTTAAAATAATTTTTTTTCAATAATTATTTGAAAACAAATTTTTTCAATAATTATTCAAAAATAATTAATAATTGATTTCAAAATGCAAATTAATTTGCTTTTTTAATTTAATTAATTTCTTTTTAAAATTTTATTTGAACAATCGATTTCAATTTTGATCGATTAAATAAAAATAAAAAGAAATTAAAATAAAATTTACATAAATTAAATCAAAAAAAAAAAAAAAAAGAAAAATTGTTAATATGTATAATTTTTTGTTAATAAAATATAATTTATTTAAAAAAAAAACAGAAAGTAAAATTTTTTTTGTTTCTTTACTCACTCATAAATTATTTGTATATTATACATCATACACAAAATTTTTTTTTTGTGTATTTGTATTGTTTAGGCGAATATTTTCTCCTCTCGTCGTTTTTTTGTGACAACAGTGCCTGGTTTGTGTTGTGCTTCCGGATGATTGAGAAGTTCCGGTGGACATGTTGAAATTGGACTTGCAATAATTGTTTGCTTAAGATCGTAAAACAAATGACTATCGTCTTTTGTGCAAAATGAAATTGCCAAACCGGCTTTTCCCGCGCGACCCGTTCGTCCAATACGATGCGTGTAATCTGCAAAAAAAAAAACACAAAATTTTCTTTTATTTATTTAAAAAATTAATTTTTTTTTCTTTTTATTCTTTTATTTACAATTATTTTCTTCTATTCTTATATTTTATTTACAATTATTTACAATTATTTTCTTCTATTCTTATATTTTATTTACAATTATTTACAATTATTTTCTTCTATTCTTATATTTTATTTACAATTATTTACAATTATTTTCTTCTATTCTTATATTTTATTTACTATTATTTACTAATATTTTCTTTTGTTCTTTCTTTTATTTAATATTATTTTCTTTTACTTTTATTCTTATTTAAATTTATTTTTTCTCTATTTTGTATTTATTAAAAATTTTTTACAATAATAATAATAATTATTATTATTATGCGAAATTGACGACTCTTACCTTCAATTGTTTTTGCCATATCGTAATTAATGACCATTGAAACGTCCTTAATATCAATACCTCTTCCTGCCACATCAGTTGCAACTAAAATATCCTTACTTCCACTTTTAAGTGACGCCAATGCGTATTCTCTTTGCTCCTGTCCTTTACCACCGTGAAGAGTGCAAGCATTGTACTAAAAATATAATTATCACTCAAACATCTCAAAAATATAATTTTTTTCTTTTTTTTTAAATTGTCAAATTTCCTCGTAACAAAAAGAAAAATATTCAAATATAATAAAATACATAAAAAAAAACTCTAAAAATATAAAATAATAAATTTTAATTCCTTCAAATATTTATTTAACACTAGCAATATTAAATGCGCGCAAGCGCGCCAAATTGACTGTTTCATTAATTTTGTTATAGAGAAATTAAAAATTAATATTATCAATAATTATTTAAATTTATTAGAATATTATTCTATATTAAATGATAAAAATAAAAATTATATGTTTATAGGCCTCAGATTATTAATTATTAAATTATTAAATTTTAAATTCAAAGTCTTTTAAAATTCAATTTTTTTTCCAAATTTTCAATTTAAAATCAAATGAAATTCAATTATTACCAAAAATTTTCAATTCAAAATCAACTAAAATTCACTTATTTTCCAAATTTTCAATTTAAATTCAAATAAAATAAAATTATTTTCTAAAATTTCATTTCAAAATTAATTATCAAAAATCAACTAAAATTGAATTATTATTTAAAATTGTAATTAAAATTTAATTATTTTCCAAAATTTCAATTCAAAATCCAAGACAATTCAATTATTTTCCAAATTTTCAATTTAAAATCAAATGAAATTCAATTATTACCAAAAATTTTCCATTCAAAATCAACTAAAATTCACTTATTTTCCAAATTTTCAATTTAAATTCAAATAAAATAAAATTACTTTCTAAAATTTCATTTCAAAATTAATTATCAAAAATCAACTAAAATTGAATTATTATTTAAAATTGTAATTAAAATTTAATTATTTTCCAAAATTTCAATTTAATTTAAAATCAACTAAAATTCAAATATTTTCCAAATTTTTCTATTGAAAATTAACAAAAATTCAACTATTTAATTATTTTCCAAAATTTCAATTCCAAAATTAACTAAAATTCAATTATTTCCCAAAATTTTAATTCAAAATCAAAGAAAATTCAATTATTTTCCAAATTTTTAATTCAAAATCTTTTAAAATTCAATTATTTTCCTAATTTTCAATTTAAAATGAAATAAAATTCTTCAATTATTTTACAAATTTTCAATTTAAAATCACATAAAATTCAATTATTTAATTATTTTCCAAAATTTCAATTCCAAAATTAACTAAAATTCAATTATTTCCCAAAATTTCAATTCAAAATGAAAGAAAATTCAATTATTTTCAAAATTTTCAATTCAAAATCAACTAAAATTTAATTATTTTCCAAATTTTCAATTTAAAATCACATAAAATTCAATTATTTAATTATTTTCCAAAATTTCAATTCCAAAATTAACTAAAATTCAATTATTTCCCAAAATTTTTCATTCAAAATCAAAGAAAATTCAATTATTTTCCAAATTTTTAATTCAAAATCTTTTAAAATTCAATTATTTTCCTAATTTTCAATTTAAAATGAAATAAAATTCTTCAATTATTTTCTAAAATTTCTATTCAAAATTAATTATCCAAATTTTCATAAAAAAATGAACTTAAATTAAATTATTATTCAAAATTTCAATTAAAATTCAATTATTTCACAAAATTTCAATTCAAAATCTTTTAAAATTCAATTATTTTCCAAATTTTCAATTTAAAATCATATAAAATTCAATTATTATCCGAAATTTTAATTTAAAATCAACCAAAATTCAAATATTTTCCAAATTTTTCTACTGAAAATTACCAAAAATTCAATTATTTAATTATTTTCCAAAATTTCAATTCCAAAATTAACTAAAATTCAATTATTTCCCAAAATTTTAATTCAAAATCAAAGAAAATTCAATTATTTTCCAAATTTTTAATTCAAAATCTTTTAAAATTCAATTATTTTCCTAATTTTCAATTTAAAATGAAATAAAATTCTTCAATTATTTTCTAAAATTTCTATTCAAAATTAATTATCCAAATTTTCAATAAAAAATGAACTTAAATTAAATTATTATTCAAAATTTCAATTAAAATTCAATTATTTCCCAAAATTTCAATTCAAAATGAAAGAAAATTCAATTATTTTCAAAATTTTCAATTCAAATTCAACTAAAATTCAATTATTTTCAAAATTTTCAATTTAAAATCACATAAAATTCAATTATTTAATTATTTTCCAAAATTTCAATTCCAAAATTAACTAAAATTCAATTATATCCCAAAATTTTAATTAAAAAAAAAAGAAAATTCAATTATTTTCCAAATTTTTAATTCAAAATCTTTTAAAATTCAATTATTTTCCTAATTTTCAATTTAAAATGAAATAAAATTCTTCAATTATTTTCTAAAATTTCTATTCAAAATTAATTATCCAAATTTTCAATAAAAAATGAACTTAAATTAAATTATTATTCAAAATTTCAATTAAAATTCAATTATTTCCCAAAATTTCAATTTAAAATGAAAGAAAATTCAATTATTTTCAAAATTTTTAATTCAAAATCAACTAAAATTCAATTATTTTCAAAATTTTCAATTTAAAATCATATAAAATTCAATTATTTAATTATTTTCCAAAATTTCAATTCCAAAATTAACTAAAATTCAATTATATCCCAAAATTTTAATTCAAAATCTTTTAAAATTCAATTATTTTCCTAATTTTCAATTTAAAATGAAATAAAATTCTTCAATTATTTTCTAAAATTTCTATTCAAAATTAATTATCCAAATTTTCAATAAAAAATGAATTTAAATTAAATTATTATTCAAAATTTCAATTAAAATTCAATTATTTCCCAAAATTTCAATTCAAAATCAAAGAAAATTCAATTATTTTCAAAATTTTCAATTCAAAATCAACTAAAATTCAATTATTTTCTAAATTTAAAATCAAATAAAATTTAATTATTTTCTAAAATTTCAATTCAAAATTAATTATTAAAATTTTCAATAAAAAATCAACTAAAAATGAATTATTATTCAAAATTTTAATTGAAATTTAATTATTTTCCGAAATTTCAAATCAAAATTAAAGAAAATTTAATTATTCTAAAAAATTTGAATTCAAAATTAATTGAATTTTCAATAATATGAATTTAAAAGCATTTAAAATTTAATTATTTCTAAAATTTTCCATCGAAAATTTTTTGAAATTTAATAATTTCAATTATAACTCTAAGGGAATTCAATTATTTTTAAATTTTTTTTATAATATTCTTTGAAAATTCAACTATCTGAAACCATTTTTCAATTAAAAAATGATTATCAAATTATTGTATTTTGTCTGTAATTTCTAATAAATTTTTTAGTGAAATCATATAAAATTTTAATTAAAATCACTTGAAGTTCAATTAATTTCTAAAATCTCAATTTTAAATCTTTTGAAAATTCAATTAAATTGAAAAAATGTTTTCCAAAAAATTGTTTGTTGAATTATTTTTAGTTCTGTAAAATTTTATTATTGTTTGAAAATTAACAATATCTTTTGAAATTTAATTATTTCTAAAATTTTCAAGTTTAATTTGACACAAATTTGACACGTTATAAGATTACTATTCAAGAAAGAGAGGTTTCGCTCTAGCTCTCGTAGTGTGCGGTCGTGTTTTCTACTGCTCCTGTAACTTTGTGTTGGTACTTTTATTTGTAAATTAATTACATTTTTTTTTTCTACAAGTGTCGGAGTGTTTCGCTTATTTTTAACTTACCTGTGTCTGGATTACTGTTTGGAGGCATTGTTTTTAATCTGTGCTCAAGTGTTGTTTCTTTTGTTTAAACAATTAAATCCGTTATCTACAATTGGATTTCTGTGGATTTTTTCTTATTTTGTTGACTGCTTTTTAGTACTGTGCTCTCTGACCTAAAAGCCATATATGTGTGTTGCACCTGATTTTGTATATTCGTAATTGAAAGTCATTTTTATTGAAATTTTAATTTTCTCTGTGTTTCTTTTCGATGGTTATATTCGTTTAATTTTCGAGACATTGTATTGTTGTTCCTGTCACGATGTCCTCTACACATGACGAAAAGAGATGGAGCGAGTTGTTTTCCAAACTCAGCGATCTATCAGCCTCTCACTCGGAATTAAAGACAGAGATAAGGGAAAATAATAATATATTAGAATCGAGTGTCAAGAAACTGAATGAACAGGAAAGTCGTTCACTCTCAGTGGAAAATAATTTAGCACGCTTCGAGAAATCTCAGCGTAGTAAAAATATTATTTTATTTAACTTAGAGGATTCTGACTCGATAAACAGCAACCTTTTTGCAACAATCGATCTTTTATTTAAAGATATTGGTTTACAGGTTCCAGACTTAGCTATAGCAGATATATTTCGTCTCGGAAAGAACAAAGGCAAACGTCCTGTTATAATAAAGTTTATTGCTGAGCGCTGGGTAAAAACTATTTTTTCAAAATTAAATGAGCTGAAAAATAAAAACCTTTTTATAACAAACGACCGCACTTTTGAAGAAAGAGAACTCCGTCGTCAATTATTTAAAAAAATTCAAGAGTTACGTGAGTCAGGAATTAAAGCAAGAATAGTTAATAATAAAATCGAGATTGCAGAGGATATTGTTCCTGTTGATATCGTAATGCAACCTAGGGGTAATTTTGTTCAGGAAGTGTCTCTTACCCCTGATGGTACTTCCAGTATGAAAAATAATAAAAGGGGGCGTCCGTCTGGTTCGACTAAAGAAAAAAAGGATCTACTGGGATCTAACACGATGGACAGCTTTCTGTCTCCTAGAAATTCATTGGATTTGTCGCACGCATCTCGTCGCTTAACGAACAAAAAACTTAAAACTGATGGCCCGGTATAGCAACGAAATTTTACGGATTCGTCTGTTTTTGATCTTGATAAGTTGGGAATAGGAAGAGTTATTTTCTGGAACATTCATGGACTCGGCAACTTGCATGATATCAGGGAGTTTGTCAATAAGCGGGATATTCTTTGTATTTGTGAAACTTGGAATGAGTCTATCTCAGTTAATGTATTATCTAACAGTGGCTTCGAGTACGTCCAGTCACCTGCAAAAAGGATCTTCAGTCATGGCAGAGCAAGGGGGGGTCTACTCATCGCGTATAATCCACGTCTGTATTCAGTTTCTATTATCTCTACTTCGGATGCACAAATTTTTGTTAAAGTTAAATTTTTATCAGATAATGTTCATTTTATTCTGGGTTTGATTTATATTGCTCCTGATGCGAATTTAATTAGTTTTTTAGATGCATTTAATTTTACTATCAATAATCTTCTTTCTGATTTTAATAATACTCCAATAATTGTAGGGGGCGATTTTAACTGTAGGGTCGCAGATCGAAACCAATTAGATCCGCACTTTTTCCAAGGTATTAACAATCTTTTTAGCGAAAGACTTTCTGAGGACCGTGTCTTAAACTCGAAAGGAAAAACAATCATTAATAATTTTGAATCCAATGAATTGGTTCTCTTAAATGGGCGTTGCATAGGTGATATTCCAGCTAAATTCACTTTTTTAAACTCAAATGGAGCAAGTGTGATTGATCTGGTTTGGGTCTCATCTGCGTCCCTCCCTTTTATTCAGAGTTTACAAGTTCTTCACTTGGCTACTTCCTCGGACCACTTTCCAATAGTTTTAAATTTGTCGTTATTTTCTTTTCCTAAGGTTAATGAAAGTTATATTAGATTATCTTTTTGTAACGACAAGACTGATTTGTTTGTAAATAGCATGGCACATAGAGAGGAAGTGGCTATGGTGAATCGTAATATAGATGATCTTAATTCAATTGTTGTTTCCACGATCTGGGATGTCGCTATGAACCTATCTATGTACTCCAAACATCCTAAGAATAATTGTCTGAAAGGAAAACCTTGGATGGATGCTGAGTGTAAACATTCTAAGAAAAGAGTACTATCCGCGTTGAAATGCTGCAAAAAAACTAACTTTTCAAACTCTTCCAAAATTGATTATTTTGAAGTAAAAAATAATTACTTAAAAATGTTGAAACTAAAAAAGAAACAGTTTGCTCTTAATCGATTAAATGCAATAAATAATAGTAAATCCCCTTCACAGTTCTGGAAGATTGTTAACGCTACCCGTCCTCGTGTTAACCATCAATCTAATATTGACATTGACACTTGGTTTAATTATTTAAAAGAATGTTATCCCCAGACCTCGGTTATCTCTTCCATAGACAGTTTTGCAGCATTTCATTCTGTTCCTGAGCTCGATGGGTGCATAACAGTTGACGAGATTTATAGTTGTCTATTGAAGTGCAAATATGGAAAGGCTCCCGGTTTTGATGGGATTAATTACAACTTTTTAAAAAGCTTACCTCAAAATTGGATTTTGTTTGTTAATAACCTTTTTAATAAGATTATGGCTTCCGAAAAGGTTCCGCTAGAGTGGGGTAAATTGTCCACATTCATGCTCTACAAAAAAGGTGACTCGTCAATTCCAGATAACTATAGACCTATCACATTAGTTAATTGTATCGCGAAAATTTTCACACAAATAATTAGTGATCGTCTTGTAACGTGGGTGGATAAACTTAACCTTATTCCTGAATCTCAAATGGGCTTCAGGAGGGGTAGAAGTTGTTTGGACAATGTTTTTTGTTTATCATCAATTATTCAAACTCATTTGAGTTCTCCAGGATCGGTTGTTTACGCTGCTTTTATTGATTTTAAGGGAGCCTTTCCTTCGGTATCTCATCAACTGTTGTGGAACAAGCTTCACTCTTTGGGACTTAGTACGAAAATAATTAATATTTTGAAAGACTTCTACTCTAAAGCATCAACTTGTATTAGGACTGATGAAGGGTTTACCAACATGGTTTCTGTCACGCGAGGGGTTCTTCAGGGAGAGGTGCTTAGCCCTCTTGAGTTTTTGCTATTCATTTCTGATATGGAAGAATTTTTGAAGAAGCGCGGTTGCAGGGGAATTTCTGTAAACAAATCGTCGGAAATACTAATGTTAGGATATGCGGATGATTATGTCCTTTTAGCCGACTCTCCAACGGAGCTCCGTAAAAAACTTGATGCTTTATATGATTATTGTAAACTGAATGAACTGACTGTTAACGTGAGTAAAACTAAAATTGTTATCTTTACGAAATCTGGTAACTCTAAAGCGAGAAATTTTAAGTCATTTAAGTTTGGCAATGGTAGCATCGAGGTAGTTGATGAGTATGTTTACTTGGGTGTTCCGTTTCAAAGTTCTGGTTCCTTTGCGTCTGCAGCGAGTAAATTTATTAGTGCTGCTAATACCGCGGTGGGTTCTGTTATAAAAACAATTAATTCTGTCGGAATAGAATCGTGGACATCTTGTACTAATCTTTTTCAGAGTCTTGCGTTGAGTACTCTGCTTTATAATTGTCAAATTTGGGGTATCTGTTTCTTGGATAATTTGGAGAGAGTACAACTGACCTTTTTTAAGAATCTTTTAAATCTCCCTATCTGCACTCCGAACTACGCTGTGAGACTAGAGACTGGTTGTTTGCATCTCGCGCATAAGATATTCAAGTACTCCTTATCGTGGATAAATAAAATTTCCACGATGGAAAGTTCACGGTATCCTAGAGTTTGTTTTGAGAGATTGTTGCTTTTGAGTAGACGCAATCCTTCTAACAGACTGAATTGGGTGAACCAATTAAGAATATTTCTTTTTGAACCTTGCGGTCTTTTGGATCTGTGGAACGAGATGTCTCCTCAATCGTTCAATCTTAATGAAAAATTGATTCTGGATACTTTTGAAAGATATGTTCGGGCTCGTGATTTGGCTTCTTTTAGTAATTCTAAAAGTTTAATAATTTATCCTCATCTCTTATTGCAGCAAGGGACCCAGGACTATCTGAAATTGTTGATGCCAATATTTTTCAAGAAGATCCTTGCTCAGTGCAGGCTTCTGAATCGGCACGTCTGTAGGATTGTTTTTAACAAAAAGAAATTTACTTTTTACCCTGATGCTATTTGCGCCTGCTGTAATTTGGAAGAAGAGAGTTTGTTTCACATTCTGGCTTCCTGTCCAGCCTGCGGTCATATATTCGAGGCGATCTTAAATGACGAATTTCGTATTCTCCCTTCTAATGTTGCGTGGTTAAATGTTTTATCGTCGAATGACCGAACTTTGATTAAGCGTTTTATCATTATTTTAACTTCAGTTCTTAAGGACCGCTTGCTATTGTATGAATGTTAATTTGAGTTTTATTTTGTTTTTAATTTCTATGGCACACTATTTATTTTTGGTTTGATATTTTTCTTGAGTGCTTTTATTCACTTTTTTGTTTTACGAGACTTTAATATTTATATTTTCTTTTGCATGTATAAGCGAAACTTCCTTGTATACACACGATGTGTTATAAACAAGAATTAAATAAATAAATATATATATTGTATACACTATTCAAGAAAGACGTGAAATCAGAAAAGACCAACTTCAAGTTAGGACAGAAGGACAGACCAAGCATTTTATTATTATATAATTTTTCTCATTGTTTCTATTAAATAAAGCAAAAAAAAAAAAAAAAAAAGGAAAAATTTTTTCTTACCCCAAGTTTTTCGAGTCCACGTGCAAGTACATCGGCGCCTTTCTTTTGATTAACAAAAATAATAACCGGTGGCTCAATACCGCGACTCAAAATTTCCATTAGTTTCTTTCGTTTATCCGATTCGCCCATAATATGAACAATTTGTTCAGTTCTCTCTGTTGGTTTACCAATACTTCCAATATAAACAACAGCAGGACGTCGTAAATATGTTCTCGCCAATCTTTCAACAGCTGCCGGCATTGTTGCCGTAAACATCACAGTCTGCAAAAAAAAATATTAAAAGAAAATAATTTAATTAATAAAAATTTATAAATAATTTAATTACATATTTAATATTATCAATTTGTAATTAAAATTATTTTTTAGGAATATAAATATTAATTTGTAAATTAATAATTAAAAAGGAAAATATAAAATTTTGTCAGCTTAATATTATTTATTTCTTTTTCTCAAACCTGTCGGAATTTCTTTTTTGTATTATAATTCGCAAGGAGTTTCTCCTCATTTTCTGCGTCTTCATTATCGGGTTTTAAATTTGTCACTGGCATATAGCCGAGAATTTTTTGTACATCCGGTTCAAAACCCATGTCAATCATACGATCAGCCTCATCAAGAACAACGTATGTACATTGTGTTAATACCAAATAACGATTTTCTAAAACGTCTATTAATCGACCAGGAGTTGCAATAACGATCTATAAAAAGAAAAATAAATTATAAAAAACAATATTTTCTGTTAAATTTAGAAAAAAAAATTAATTCTTTTACTTAAAAAATTGTTCCAATTTCAACAACAAAAATTAAATTACAATTTTTGTAAATTAATTGCATAATTTAATTTAATTAAAAAGAGATTTTTTTTTTAATTTCATTAAAAATTTTAAAACAATAATTTTTGAATCTGGTTTGAAACGATTTATTTTTTTTTGGGTTTTCGGACTAGTTTTGTAGTTACTGATAATAATAATAAATATTATTTTTCACCTCGCATCCCATTCTCAATCTAAATCCTTGTTCCTCTCTTGAGAGACCACCGACAACAACAACGGTTCTTATACCGAGAGGTTGACCAAATTTATTCGTTTCCTCTTCAATTTGTTGTGCCAATTCACTAAATTAAATAAACAATAAATTCAAAAAAACTTAAATTTCTATTCATTTAAATAAAAAAAAAAAATTAATTTTATTATAATTATTTTTGAGTCGAATTTTTATTTATTTGAATTAGTATTTTTTTTTTTTTTGAGAATTTTTCATTAAAAACAATTTTTTCTATATATTACAAAATTTTTCCAAAAACCGAAAATTCACATCATAGAATTTTTATTTATATGAATTTTTATTTTGTCAAAATTAAAATTTGATTCAATTAAAATTCAGTTAAATTTAAATTCGGTTAAAATTAAAATTTCATTCTATTAAAATTAAAATTAAAATTCTTTTTACCGTGTTGGCGCCAAAATAATAGAATACGGTCCCTGATCGGCCTCCTCGAGACGTTCAATTTTTGGTAAACTCGTGATCCACAACAATAATGGAATAAGAAATGCCAATGTTTTACCAGAACCAGTTTCAGCGACACCAATAATATCACGATTTTGTAAACCAATTGGTATTGCTTGACGTTGAATTGGCGTTAAATCTTTATAGCCAACTTTATCAATAATATCCAATATTTCTTTTGGAAAACCCGATTCTTTCCACGAACGTATTGGATCAGGTATTTTACCACCTTTTATCGTTATATTATAATCCTCACGAAATATACGCCAATCGCGTTCAGTCATTTCAATTATTCCCTTTTCTGACCAATGTCGATCGTCCCATTTTTGTTTTTCTTCTTTTCGTTTTACTTTTTTCAAACGCATTCTAAAAGAGAAAAACGAAAATTTTTGAAATAAATTTTATAAATATTATTATATATAATAATAAAATGCTTGGTCTGTCCTTCTGTTATAACTTGAAGTTGGCCTTTTCTGATTTCACGTATTTTTTTTTGAATAGTAATCTTATGTCAAATTTTGACAATTCTTTTTCTCATTTTTGCCAAAGTTGTATAATTGTGTTTCCAAATTTCGAAATAAGTTTCTTTCAAAATTCCAAATTCGAAAATTCAATTCACAAAGCTGAAGTACACAAACGTTTACACAACGAAATTTTTTTTAAACTTGTATATTGATTCAAAAATTGTACAAAAAATTTATGAGAAAAAAGATGCGCCAGGAAATTTCGTACAAGATAGTAAATTTGAAAAAAATTTATTTTTAAAAATTAATTTTTAAGGTACCAGGGGCCAGGAATACCTATTAAAAATTAATTATAAAAATACAGGCCTCGAATCAACTTAAAGACACAAAAAAGTCGTTTCAGTCGATTTATATTCCAAAAAAAAGTGGATTTGTTTTTTATTTTAACAAAAATATTTTACAGATTTTTAAATAAAAATTTTTTTTTTTTTAATAATAATCCTTTTCGAAGGGTTAAAGTTGAAATTTTTAGAAATAATTAAATTTCAAAAGATAATTGTTAATTTTCAAACAATTATTAAATTTTACAGAACTAAAAATAATTCAACAAACAATTTTTGGAAAATATTTTTTAAATTTAATTGAATTTTCAAAGATTTAAAAAATGAGATTTTTGAAATTAATTGAAACTTTAAGTGATTTTTAATTAAAATTTTACATGATTTCACTAAAAATTTATTAGAAAATGCGGACAAAATACAATAATTTGAAAATCATTTTTAATTGAAAAATGGTTTCAGATAGTTGAAATTTCAAAGAATATTATTAAAATAGTTAGAAATAATTAAATTTCCTTAGAGTTATAATTGAAATTATTAAATTTCAAAAAAAAAAATTTTGATTGAAAATTTTAGAAATAATTAAATTTTAGATGCTTTTAAATTCAAATTATTGAAAATTCAATTATTTTTTAATTCAAAATTTTGAGAATAATGAAATTTTATTTGAATTCAAATTTGAAAAATAATTGAATTTTAGTTCATTTTGAATTGAAAATTTTGGGAAATAATTGAATTTTAATTGAAATTTTGGATAATAATTTAATTTAAGTTCATTTTTGATTGAAAAATTTTGGATAATTAATTTTGAATAGAAATTTTAGAAAATAATTGAATTTTAGTTGATTTTGAATTGAAAATTTGGAAAATAATTAAATTTTATTTGATTTTAAATTGAAAATTTGGAAATTAATTGAATTTTAAAAGATTTTCAATTGAAAATTTTGAAAATAATTAAATTTTCATTGATTTTGAACGGAAATTTTGAGAAATAATTGAATTTTAATTGAAATTTTAGATAATAATTCAATTTAAGTTGATTTTTGAATAAAAATTTTGATAATAAATTTTGAATTGAAATTTTTTAGTATAATTGAATTTTAGTTGATTTTGAATTGAAAAGTTTGTAAAATAAATTAATTTTCTTTGATTTTAAACTGAAATTTTGGGAAATGATTGAATTTTTATTGAAATTTTAGATAATAATTCAATTTTAGTTGACTTTTGATTGAAAATTTTGGATAATTAATTTTGAATAGAAATTTTAGAAAATAATTGAATTTTAGTTGATTTTGAATTAAAAATTTGGAAAATAATTAAATTTTATTTGATTTTAAATTGAAAATTTGGAAAATAATGAAATTTTCATTGATTTTGAACTGAAATTTTGGAAATTAATTGAATTTAAAAGATTTTGAATTGAAAATTTGGAAAATAATGAAATTTTCATTGATTTTGAACTGAAATTTTGGAAATTAATTGAATTTAAAAGATTTTGAATTGAAATATTGGAAATTAATTGAATTTTCTTTGATTGTGAAATTAAATTTCGGGAAATGAATGAATTTTAATTAAAATTTTGGATAATAATTCAATTTTAGTGGATTATTGATTGAAAATTTTGATAATTCATTTTGAATTCAAATTTTTGAGAATAATTGAATTTTAGTTGATTTTGTATTGAAAATTTTGTAAAATAATTAAATTTTCTTTGATTTTAAACTGAAATTTTGGAAATTAATTGAATTTTAAAAGATTTTCAATTCAAAATTTTGAAAATAATTGAATTTTCTTTGATTGTGAACTGAAATTTTGGAAAATAATTTTATTTTCTTTGATTTTGAATAGAAATTTCGGGAAATAATTAAAGTTTTTGATAATAATTTTATTTTAGTTAATTTTTGATTGAAAATTTTGATATTAACTAATTTTGAATTGAAATTTTTGGATAATTATTGAATTTTAATTGATTTTGAATTGAAATTTTGGGTAATAATTCAATTTTAGTTGATTTTTGAATCAAAATTTTGATAATTAATTTTGAATTCAAATTTTTGAGAATAATTGAATTTTAGTTGATTTTAAATTGAAAATTTTGAAAATAATTGAATTTTCTTTGATTTTAAATTGAAAATTTTAGGAAATAATTGAATTATAATTGAAATTTTTGATAATAATTTAATTTTGATAATAATTAATTGGTTAATTGAAATTTTTGATAATAATTTAAATTTGATAATAATTAATTGTTTAATTGAAATTTTTGAGAATAATTGAATTTTAATTTTATTTTGAATTGAAATTTTTGAAAATAATTTTATTTAATTTTCAATTGATTTTTGTTTTTGAATTAAAAAATCTTTTTTTGTTATTTTATTTGATAATTTTTTTTTTAATTATAAATAATTGTTAAATTTCATAAAAATTTGAATTGAAAAATAATTTTCATATAATTGAATTTGTGATGTATTTCATTAAAATTATTTAAAAAATAATTAATTTAGTGAAGAATCATTTTAGTTCAAAATTTGTTAAATAATTGAATTGAAGAAGATCTAAAGAAGATCTACAATTTATACTAAAAAAAAAATGTATTTTATTTACATTTTTTTTTTTGCAAATGTAAAATAAAAAATGTCGCATTTTATTAAAATAAGTCGATAAAAGTCGTATATTTTTGAAAAAAAGTCGGAAAAATTCGTATAATCCGAGGCCTGTATATAATTTTCATTATTATCATTTAATATGTATTAATATTCTAATAAATTAAATTACTATTGATAATATTAATCTTTAATTTCTTTATAACAAACAATTAAATACTCAATTTGGCGCGCATTTAATTTTGCTAGTTATAGAAATAATTTAAACATACTTTTCTTGCTCCTTTTCCGCTTCGGTACGTCGTTTCTCAAGTAATTCACCATAAAATTTACTTTGATCACGCTTTTGTGCTTTAATATCAATACCAGCAAGATTTCCACGTCCAAAAAATTGTACCTGATGACGTTCTTTATAAATATTATTATAATCAACCGATGTATCCTCCGATGTATCCCAATCAAATACAAATTTTCTATCATTTAATCGACGAACACGTCGTTTTTTTTTAATAAGACCAAGATAACGTTCTTTTATTGCTTCAACTTCACGTTCTTTATCTTTATCTTTAATATCATCGTCGCGTGCTTTTTGATTATCACGACGTCTTTCACGTTCAACATCATAATCACGTTCTTTTAAATTTATATTACCACTTTGATTAGAAATTTTTTTCTCTTCATTTTGTTTTTTTTTCATTGCATCAACTTGTTCTTGACGTTTTTTTAATGCCAATGCCATTCTTTCTTCTTTATTTAAAAATTTTGGTTTTGAACGCGCCTCTTCTTCGGCTTTCTTTTTTGCTAATAATTCCTCAAGACTAAGTGGTTCTTTTTTTATTAATTCTTTTTCGTCTTCATTATTTATTGTTTCATTAATATTTATATCTTTTTTTATTGCATTTTCATTATCAAGTGCAAATATTGGACTTAATTTTCGTTTTTTCTCATCTTTTGATGATTTTTCTTTATTATCTTTACGTTCACGTGAACGATCACGTTCGCGTGATCTATCGCGATCACGTGATCTTTCGCGTTCCTTTGATCGCGATCTTTTACGATCCTAGAAAATAGAAAAAAAGAAAAATAAATTAATTTTCTTAAATTTTTTTTTTGCAAAACATTTCATTTATAATATATATTTTTTTAATATATATATATATTATATTTTTTCCCTATTTTATTTTTATTTATAATTTGTTATATTTATTTATATTTATTTTATTTATTATTAAATTATTTTTTTTTTTTTTAAATAAATTTATTTATATATTTTTCTTTATTTTTACATTATATTTATTTTTATATTTATTATAAATTTATTATTATAATTATAAAAATATAAATTTATAATTTATTTATTAAATTTCGATGTAATAATTAATTTTTTATTAAATTCATTTTTTTTTTAATAAATAAATTGAAAAAAAAATTTATTACGCGATAATTTAACTACAATTTAATTTTATTTAAAAAAAAAAAAGAATAAAAAAACAAAACAATAATTCAAAAATTTGATTATTATTTAAAATTAAATTATATTACTATAAATAAATAAATAAATAAATTGATAATAATTAAATTTCGAAAATGAATTTTCGAATTAAAAATACGGAAAAAATATTAAAAATAAGCTAAATTAATAATAATAATAATAATAATAATATGGTTAACATCATTTACCTACTAAATTAAATAATAATAATAATAATAATAATAATAATAATAATAATAATAATAATAGTAAGAAAAATGTTATCTTAATTATAGGAAATTTTTTTTTTTATTAAATTTGTTGTTTTTAATAAATAAATTGAATAAAAAATTATTATTACGCGATAAATTAAAAATTTTATTCGAAAGATTAAATTAAATATGTCAATAAATTAAAAATTAATAATAAATTAAGTAGAGAAAAATTAATAATAAATTAAATACAGGAAAATTAGTAATTTAATAATGAATTATAAAAAAAAAATTATTATTATTATTATTATTATTATTCTTACCTTTTTTCGCTCCTTTGAACGACTTCTCGATCTTTTTCTCTCTCTACGATCTCTATCTCGTCCTCTTTCCCTCTCACGATCTCTCTCACGATCGCGATCTCTTTCTCTTGATCTACTTCTTCTTCCACTTTTTTTATCGTGATTCATTTTTTAAATTTCACTAATTTTTTTTTTATTTAATAATAAATTTCCAATTATTTATTAACAAATTTTCTTGTTATTTATTTTTTCTTCGTCAATTCTAACCTCAAAAAATGTCAAACTGAAACTAAAAATAAATATAATATTAATCGGAAAAAAAAGAAAGTTAACCTAATTTAACGTTGTTTTTCTTTTTAAAATAAAAAATAATTAAAATTTGACACTAAGAAAAGAAAAACACGGGAAAACTTTGTTAACAAAACGTGGAAATTCCGTTTTCTACAATGCAAACGACGCCATATTGGTATTTTGGTGATTTAAATTTAGTTCCACTTGTGCGTTGTACAGATGGCGCATTAAGCGCGGCAAAATTCAAATCGAAAAATTTTTGACAGATGACAAAAACAATTTTATATTTCTCTTTTTTTTTTTTTTACTAATTAAAATAAAAATAATAATTATAATTATTATACAATAATAATTATTTTCCGCGAAATTTCGATTTTATTGAATTATAAAACAAAAGCTTCACGAAATTGGAGAAAAAAAATTTTACAATATTTGTTTTTGTTTTTTTTTTCATAAAAATTTATTTATTTTTATTTATTTATAAAAATGTCTGAAATTGATAATAAATTTTTTGAAGAAAATTTAATTAATATTGAAGAAATTGTTCCAAATTTTTGCATTGGTATGTTTGTTATTATTTAAAAGAAAAAAAAAGAAATAATTGAGTTTAATAAGAAATTTAATTTTTTTTTTTGAACTAAAAATGCAAAAAAAAAAATTAATTTTAAAAAAATTAAATATTTTTTAAGCGAAAAAAAATAAATAAAAATAATCAAAAAAATTTACTAAAAAAATTAAATAAAAAAAAATTATAAAAATAAATAATTAGAAATAATATTTATAATACTAATAATAACAATAATAATAGTAAACAAAATTTTTAAATATATTTTTTAGTTTATTTTTTTTTTTTTTGCCAAAAAATAATTTTATTTAAAATTGTTTACGATTATTTTTGTTTATTTTCGTAAAAAAAAATTTTCATAATTAATAAACGTAATTATTATTATTTCGTTGTTTGTTTATTTTTTTTTTCTAATTTTTAATATTAAATCATAAAATTTTCGTCTTTTTTTCATTAAAAATTTTTTTTTTTCTAATTCACAAATTTTGTATTTGGCCCAAAAATTTCTTTATTTAAAAATACTTTTTATTATTAAACAAAAAAAAAAAACCACTTGAAATTTTCTATAATAAAATAAACGACAACAATTTATTGTTATTATGCAAAATACAAAATAATTACAATTATTTAGATGTAAAAAAAGAAATGATTTCATTTCAATTTTTGTGTATAAAAAAAAAAGAAATTTCAAATTTCTATTCTAAAAATAAATTTATAATCTCTCTCTCTCTCTCTCTCTCTCTCTCTCTCTCTCTCTCTCTCTCTCTCTCTATTATGGGTACTTATAATTTATATTTTATAAGAAATATTTCACAATTATTTTTCCTTGGAAAAATATTGACTGACGTCTTTTATTCTATATATTGTAACAAAAAAAAAAAATAAATAAATAAACAATAAAAAATAACAATGTAAAATATTCAAAAATTAAAAGTTTTATTTATATTTTTTTGTTTGTGGAAAAAAAATCATTTATAAAAATCTGAAAATTTCTTTAGTTGGACAAAAAAAAAAAAATTCTGAAAAATAAAACAAAAAAGAAAATAAATTAACAGAAAAGAATATAAATTAACAAAAAAGAAAATCAATTAACAAAACAAAAAAAAAACCCCCTTAGAATTGCAAATTTTTCAAGATTTGCAATTATAAAAGAAAAAAAAATCGTTTTTTTTTTAAATTTCTGTAAAATCTAAAAAAAAAATTAGAGAAATTAATTAATAATTAATTTCTGTTTTCTTTGCGTGTAAAAATAAATAAATAAAATCTCCCCCTCCCTCCCTTCAGATAATGTGAGAAGAGAGGCTCTTTGTTTTCGTGAAAATTTGTTAATTTTTGAAAAAACAAAAACTAACGATGATAAGAAAAAAAAATCAATCCTCGGCACTTATTTAATTGCCATTGAAAAAATTGGTCATCAAGGCCATGATTTTCTTATTAATTCCATTTTAACAATGAAACTCAATGGATTTCATTGTGGCACAAAAATTATTGGCTCTGTCACTGAAAAATTGCAGTGTCTGGAAGAAAAGAGAAATGAGTAGATAATTTTAATAAAAATTTTCATTTTAATTTAAATTTATTTAATTTAATAAATAAATAATAAATTTATAAATATAAAAAAAAATTTTTATTTAATTTAATTGTAAATAAATTCGTTAAAAAAAAAAAATTTTTAAACTCACGTTTAAAAAATTTTTGGAATTTTAGAACAAAAAAAAAAGTTTAATTCCAAAAAATTATATAAATTATTAAAATAAAAATTTTTTAATTTTTCAAGATTTATCAAGAAAAATGAATGTGAAGAAAAAATTTTATTTCTCACCACAATAAATAATGTTTATTATAATATTGAAAAGAGACAAATTATTGAATCGCGAGAAATAATAAAAAATTATAATTTAAAAATTTGTTGCTCAACAAATTTATTAACTGAAGTGGGAAATATTTTATTAACAAGATATTTGGCATTGACGAATTATCAAGGAATTTTACAATTTAAATGTCTCACTATCGATGGAAAAATTGCATTTTGCATTTATGTATGTTTGGAAAGAAAAAAAATAGAATAAAGAAATAAATATAGAAATAAAATATTTTTTAAAAAACAAAATAATCAATTTTTTTTTTAAATAAAAAATTATTTTTAAAATAATTTTTTACTTTTCTAAAATAAATAAAAAAAAAAAAAAAAAATTTCTTTCTTATTATTATTTTCAGAAATGTTCAGCGGCTGAAATAATGGAATACAATAAATTTTCAATAGAAATTTATAAAATTCTAAGAATAATTCATGAGAAAAATGGAAAAATACAAAATATTGAAATGCAAATGTTAAAAAATGGACGAATTTTAAAAATAAATAATCATCAATTTTCCTATACAATGGAAATAAATCCATTGGAAAATTTACACGATATTGAAAATGGCAAAAAATTGACAAAATTTTCACTTAAAGACACATGGCACGAGGATTTTGAATTATTATCGAAATATCTCGATCAAAAAGTTAAAAAAAAAAAAATAGAAATTTTAATTAATTTATTTAATTTCTTTAAAATAACAAAAAAAATTCATTTCTTTTTTTTAAACAGTAAAATTGAAATTTCAATTTTGAAAAATTTAATATTAAAAATATTATATATTTAAAAAAACAATAATTTATAAATAAATAAAAAATATATATTTTAGAGTGAAAAAAAATTAGAAAAAGAAGAATATTTTGCAAATCATTCAGAATTAAAAAATTTAATCGCCGATTATGTTCAAGCTTTGCTTTTTGGTATATTAAAAATTAATTTAATTTTTTTTTATAACAATGAGAAATAAATAAAGAAAAATATGAATTAAAAATAATAATAATAATAAACATTCGAATTTTTTAACAGTGAAACCACGAGACGTTTTGACATTTACAATACAACATTTTTTGTCATTTGCAAAGGAAACTGAATCCAAGGATTTAAACACAAATTGTAAAAATATTGAAAGTGAAATTTTCAAACTTTTTCCAAATTACGAAACAAATGGGACAAAATTTGATAAATTTTCCTTAAACAATGTGGTAAACTATTTTTTTTTTAATTAATTTAATTATTTAATATAATAACTAATAATAATTATAATTATTACAAATTATTGATTTAATGAATAATAATAATTATTAAATAATTAAATAAATAATAATAATAATAATTATTAAATAATTAAATAAATAATAATAATAATTATTAAATAATTAAATAAATAATAAATAATTATTAACAAATAATATTTAATGCGAAAGTAAAATTTAAATAAAAATAGAAAACAAAATAAAAAGTAAATAAATTCTATAAAATTAAAATTTCGTTAAATTTAATTAAAAATTTAACGAATCAAGATTAAAAGGAAATAATAATTTATAGTTTTCTTTTTATTTTAATTTTGTAATTTAATGAAAATTTTTGTTTTTCTTTTTTTTGTTTTTAAATAGAAATCTATTTCAATTCCGGAATGTCCGGCGTGTTCAATTTGCACATCGGAATCAAGTGAAATTTGCACAATTTTTTCAAGGAAACATTGTTCTTCAATTTCAAATTCAACTCTTTATAGTAGTAAATTTTCCAATGTAAATTAGAAAAAAGAACATGGTTACGATTTTTTTTCAAATTCGATAAATAAATAATAACTAACTACTAAATAAATAGAAAAATAAGTAAAAGAAAAAGAAAAAAAAAACCAAAAAAAATTATAATTATTATTATTGTAAATAAAAAAAAAAAAAAAACAAAAAATTAAATAGTTTTTATAAAAAATACCTTCATCATTTGCCAAGATTTGTTTCCTTCTGAGGATTACAGATAACACAATTGTCCTGGGGGAAAAAAAAACAGAAAAAAATTATAAATTAGTAACGTCAGATTTACTGCGGAAAAAAATTAAAATAAAAAATAAGTAGAGGAATAAAAAGTAAAAAAATACAAGAAATTAAAAAAAAAAAATAAATAAATAAATCAAACAAAACTACAAACAAAGTAATAATTTAAAAAAATAAGAAATAAACAAATAAAACAAAAAAGAAAAAATAATAAAAATAATATGATTAAAAAAATTTTTTTGTTAGGTAAATGTAAAAGAAAAAAATTTCAAAATATTTACCACAACTTCCAAATTTGGCAAGCAGTCTTCATGAAACGAGTGCTTACAATAAAATGTGACTAGATTTTTGGGTTCTGCAAATTAAAAAAAAAAAAAAAAGACAGAAAATTTAATTTTGATAAATTAAAAAATTCAATTATAAAAATAAATAAATATATACATTAAATTAAATTTCACCAACCTCTTATGATTATTTTTCTATTACACGCACCACATATTTGATCATCTGCAAAAAAAAAAAAAATGGGGATAAATTTTCTTTAAAAGAAAAAAAAAAAAAAAAACTTTTCTTCTACTTTCAAAAAAGTATTTGAAGAATTATTTTCACTAATTAAATAAAAATAAAGAATTATATATATAAAAAAAAATAATATTTCAAACAAAAATTAAAAATTTTAATATATAAATATACAATAATAATAATAATAATTATTATTATTATTATTATTATAATTTTTAATTATTTATTCTTACCGTCAACGAAAATTCCCTTTTCATGACATCTTACAAGTCTTTCGTGTAAATTAAAATAATCATTAGCGAGAATTTTTTTACAACCCTCTTGAACTGATACCTGAAGATTATAATCGCACATCATTTTAACTAATGCTTTTTTTAAACCAGGAATTTCTAATGATGGCTCTATTCTCTGTACCATTAATCTTGGATCAACGTATGTTCCAATTTTTTGCAAAAGAAACGTTATTGCCTCTAAAATGATAATAGAAAAAATACATCTAAATTAATTAACGAAAAATTTGTTTATTCATTTTTTTTTAAATATCTAATTCATAATTTAAAATAAATAAATAAATATTTTACAATTTAAAATAAAAAGAAAAAAAAAATTATTGTATTAAAAATTGTTTTTAACATAAAAAAAAAAAATTAAAACAGAAATAAAAACTGAAAATAGAGATAAGAATAGAAAATAGAAATAAAAACAGAAATAAAAACTGAAAATAGAAATAGAAAAAAAAAAAACAAAAATTAAAACAGAAAATAGAAAAAAAAACAGAAATTAAAAAAGAAAATAGAAAAAAAACGGAAATAAAAACAGAAAATAGACATAAAAATGGAAAATGGAATTAAAAACAGAAAATAGAAAAAAAACAGAAATTAAAACAGAAAATAGAAAAAAAATGGAAATAAAAACAGAAAATAGAAAAAAAAACAGAAATTAAAACAGAAAATAGAAAAAAGATGGAAATAAAAACAGAAAATAGAAATAAAAATAGAAATTAAAACAGAAAATGAAAATAAAAATAGAAAATATAATTAAAAACAGAAAATAGAAATAAAAATGGAAAATGGAATTAAAAAAAAAAACAAAACAGAAATAAAAATGGAAAATGGAATTAAAAACAGAAAATAGAAAAAAAAATGGAAATAAAAACAGAAAATAGAAATAAAATTAAAAATTAAAACAGAAAATGGAAATAAAAATGGAAAATAGAAATAAAAATAGAAAATAGAATTAAAAACAGAAAATAGAAATAAAAATGGAAAATGGAATTAAAAACAGAAAATAAAAAAAAACAGAAATTAAAACAGAAAATTGAAATAAAAATGGAAAATGGAATTAAAAAAAGAAAATAGAAAAAAAAGGAATTAAAAAAATAAAAATAAAAATAGAAAAAAACAGAAATAAAAACTGAAAATAGAAATAGAAAAAATAAAAAAATAGAAATAAAAATGGAAATAAAAACAGAAAATAGAAATAAAAATAAAAATTAAAACAGAAAATGGAAATAAAAATAGAAAATAGAAATAAACATAGAAATTAAAACAGAAAATGGAAATAAAAATAGAATTAAAAACAGAAAATAGAAATAAAAATGGAAAATGGAATTAAAAACAGAAAATAGAAAAAAACAGAAATTAAAACAGAAAATAGAAATAAAAATGGAAAATAGAAATAAAAACAGAAAATAGAAATAAAAATGGAAAATGGAATTAAAAACAGAAAAAAACAGAAATTAAAACAGAAAATAGAAATAAAAATGGAAAATGGAATTAAAAACAGAAATTAAAACAGAAAATAGAATTAAAAATGGAAATAAAAACAGAAAATAGAAATAAAAATAGAAAACATAAAAAGAGAAATAATAATAATAATAATAAAAAAGAAAAAAAATACCTGGTTTATCCAATGAATAATTAATAAGATCATTCCATAATTCCTCATCGTCATGCTCTTGACAAAATGCAATTGCACTTTCCATATCATTTAATTCACGTGTCATTAATGCCAATGCTTCCGATGTATTTCCAATTCTTCCCAATAAAAATACCATTTCAGGATAAAATTGCCGTTGACTACAAATATCTAATGCCTGTTGTATTGGATAATTATCCGAACGTCTCAATAATGGAAGTAATTTATCACGCGAATAATCAGCATAAAGTCGTACAAGTAATCCATGATATTTACCCTTTGAATCTTTCGTATCTTTTTTATCCAATGCATCTAAATACTAAAATTCATTTTTTTTTTTTTTCAAAACTAAAGAGAAAATTTTCAAAATATTTTTGAGACGAATTTTTATTTATTCAAATTAGTATTTTTTTTTTTTTGCAGAATTTTTCAAAATTCGAATACTAATTTGAAAAAAATAAAAATTCAGCGCAAAAATAATTGTGCCAAATATATTTAAAAAAAATTTTTTTGTTCAAAATTAAATAAAAAAAATTACCATATAAAGATAGCGATGATTATTTTGTAATTTTTGTACACAAATATCAGCCGGTACACGTTCTTTATCAAGAAAAAATTGTATTGCACGCTCAGCATCAAGATCCATTAAACCCTCAATCATATCGTAAACGGCATTATAAAGTTGATGTTTTTGTATTAATTGAAATACATCTTTATGTCGTAATTTTAAATACATTGCCAATGCTTTATCATATTTACCATCGTGACTATAAAGTATTGCCAATGCTTCAAGAAGAACATTTTTTCTTGCATTATTATTATTATTTATTAATAAATGTTCTAAAACACCATTAACAACTGCCGTGACTGTATAGAGTTTTGGTGACCATTCTTTAACTAATTGTAAAAATCCATTTGGATCAATTTTTAAATATTCATAGAGTACCATTTCATAAATTAATGGATCAAGAGTTATATCGCCACGTGGTAAATAGGCGGATATTGAACGTAATTGATGTACGCGGGCAAATTTATAAACCTGAAATTTAATTTGCATTTATTTTTATTTATTAACGAATTTTTAATTAACAATTTTTTTTAGCCTATTAATTAATTTTTAAAATATCTAATAATAATATTTTTAATTATTTTCTAATAAAGAAAGAGAAAAAATAATTTAAATTATTAATTTTTTAATTAATTATTAAATAACTAGCAATATTAAACGCGCGCAAGCGCGCCAAATTTAATATTTCATTATTTGTTATAAAGAAATTAAAAATTAATATAATCAATAATTATTTAAATTTATTAGAATATTATTCCATATTAAATGATAAAAATAAAAATTATATGTTTATAGGCTTCAGATTATTAATTATTAAATTATTAAATTTTAAATTCAAAGTCTTTTAAAATTCAATTATTTTCCAAATTTTCAATTTAAAATCAAATGAAATTCAATTATTACCAAAAATTTTCCATTCAAAATCAACTAAAATTCACTTATTTTCCAAATTTTCAATTTAAATTCAAAATAAAATAAAATTATTTTCTAAAATTTCATTTCAAAATTAATTATCAAAAATCAACTAAAATTGAATTATTATTTAAAATTGTAATTAAAATTTAATTATTTTCCAAAATTTCAATTCAAAATCCAAGACAATTCAATTATTTTCCAAATTTTTAATTTAAAATCTTTTAAAATTCAATTATTTTCCAAATTTTCAATTTAAAATCACATAAAATTCAATTATTATCCGAAATTTTAATTTAAAATCAACTAAAATTAAATTATTTTTAAAATTTTCAATTAAACATCAACTAAAATTCAATTATTCTCAAAAAATTTAAATTCAATAATTATCCAAAATTTCCATTCAAAATTAATTATTATCAATATTTTCAATAAAAAATAAACTAAAATTCAATAATTTACAAATTTTTCTTTTTAAAATTAACAAAAATTCAAATACTTTTCAAATTTTTCTATTGAAAATTAACAAAAATTCAATTATTTTTCAAAATTTCAATTCCAAAATCAACTAAAATTCAATTATTTCCCAAAATTTCAATTCAAAATCAAAGAAAATTTAATTATTTCTAAAATTTCAATTCAAAATTAATTATCAAAATTTTCAATAAAAAATCAACTAAAAATGAATTATTATCCAAAATTTTAATTGAAATTTAATTATTTTCAGAAATTTCAAATCAAAATTAAAGAAAATTTAATTATTCTAAAAAATTTGAATTCAAAATTAATTTCAATAATTTCAATTAAAATTCAATTATTTCTAAAAATTTCAATTCAAAATGAAAGAAAATTCAATTATTTTCAAAATTTTCAATTCAAAATCAACTAAAATTCAATTATTTTCCAAATTTTCAATTTAAAATCACATAAAATTCAATTATTTAATTATTTTTCAAAATTTCAATTCCAAAATTAACTAAAATTCAATTATTTCCCAAAATTTTAATTCAAAATCAAAGAAAATTCAATTACTTTCCAAATTTTTAATTCAAAATCTTTTAAAATTCAATTATTTTCCTAATTTTCAATTTAAAATGAAATAAAATTCTTCAATTATTTTCTAAAATTTCTATTCAAAATTAATTATCCAAATTTTCAATAAAAAATGAACTTAAATTAAATTATTATTCAAAATTTCAATTAAAATTCAATTATTTCCCAAAATTTCAATTCAAAATCAAAGAAAATTCAATTATTTTCAAAATTTTCAATTTAAAATCAACTAAAATTCAATTATTTTCCAAATTTTCAATTTAAAATCACATAAAATTCAATTAGTTAATTATTTTCCAAAATTTCAATTCCAAAATTAACTAAAATTCAATTATTTCCCAAAATTTTAATTCAAAATCAAAGAAAATTCAATTACTTTCCAAATTTTTAATTCAAAATCTTTTAAAATTCAATTATTTTCCTAATTTTCAATTTAAAATGAAATAAAATTCTTCAATTATTTCCCAAAATTTCAATTCAAAATCAAAGAAAATTCAATTATTTTCAAAATTTTCAATTCAAAATCAACTAAAATTCAATTATTTTCTAAATTTAAAATCAAATAAAATTTAATTATTTTCTAAAATTTCAATTCAAAATTAATTATCAAAATTTTCAATAAAAAATCAACTAAAAATGAATTATTATCCAAAATTTTAATTGAAATTTAATTATTTTCCGAAATTTCAAATCAAAATTAAAGAAAATTTAATTATTCTAAAAAATTTGAATTCAAAATTAATTGAATTTTCAATAATTTGAATTTAAAAGCATTTAAAATTTAATTATTTCTAAAATTTTCCATCGAAAAATTTTTTGAAATTTAATAATTTCAATTATAACTCTAAGGGAATTCAATTATTTTTAAATATTTTTATAATATTCTTTGAAAATTCAACTATCTGAAACCATTTTTCAATTAAAAATGAATATATCAAATTATTGTATTTTGTCTGTAATTTTTAATAAATTTTTTAGTGAAATCATATAAAATTTTAATTAAAATCACTTGAAGTTCAATTAATTTCTAAAATCTCAATTTTAAATCTTTTGAAAATTCAATTAAATTTAAAAAATGTTTTCCAAAAAAATTTTTTGATAAACTATTTTTAGTTCTGTAAAATTTTATTATTTTTTTTGAAAATTAACAATATCTTTTGAAATTTAATTATTTCTAAAATTTTCAAGTTTAATTTGACACGTCATAAGATGACTATTCAAAAAACACGTGAAATCATAAAAGATCAACTTCAAATTAGGACAGAAGGACAGACCAAGCATTTTATTATTATATAATAATTTTTTTTTTTTTTTTGAATCTTACCTCTTCTTCCCAGAGTTTTTTATTTTGTCCAAGAATTGTGAGACAAAGTTTACCGGCTTTTTCATATTTTTCACACGCCAATAAATGATCTAAATAAACTCGTCCGACATCAGTTTGCGTATGTTTACAATCTTTACCATTATTTATTGTAACTGCCTCGAGGGCTTTTTCAAATTTTCTATGCTCCAATAGCCATTGAATACGATCGTCAGCGTCATAAAGACTTGCGACAACTAAATCTTTTGGACTGACAATGAAAAACCTAAAAAAAAAAAAATAGATAAAATTTAATTTTAATAATTTATTTTTATAAAAATAAATTATTAAAAAAGTATTTCTTTTTTTTTTCTGTATAAATTGTAATTTTTTTTTTTTTCTTACCTATTTTCTTCAATGAGACAATCCAAATGATAATCGTTACAACTATATTCCTTGTAACCGCGAAGTGTTAAAGAATTCACACAAATTGTGATAAAATCTTGATATTTTGGTTCGACAATATGTAATGTTGGTCGTAAACTTTTGCCCTCATCATCGAGAATTTTTGAACAACCAAGAAGAACAAGTTGATTTTCTAAGGGCGCAATGCCCGATATATAGAAATCAACTTGAAATGTTGAAACTAAAAATAAAAAAAAAATTTTTTTTTACTTTTTTTCCATCGTTTCTTAATTTTTTTTTTAATTATTAAAATTGAATAATAATTTTTATTAACGAACAAAATTTTTTTTTTTTTTGCATAATTCAATAAAAATGAAAATAATAATTATATAATTCGGAAAATTCTATAATTGACAATAAATTGCAAAAAAAATTAATTTTTTTTCTATAATAAAGAAATAATTTTAATTTCTTTTTAATAGGAATAAAAAAATAATTTTAATTTCTTTTGTCTATAGGAGTAAAAAAAATAATTTTAATTTCTTTTTCATTTAAATAAAGAAATAATTTTAATTTCTTTTCTATATAAATAAATAAAATGATAAAAATTACCCGGATCGACGACGTATTCGGGTAAATCACGATTTGCCATTTCCAATGAGGAACGTTTTTTAATTTGACAAATTCTCACTGTATCCACCCAACCAATCAAAAGTGTTCTATCGTCCGACCAACGTAAATTGCAACGATAATGTTCTGGAATGATTCTGCGAAAAAAATAAATAAATAAATAAATAGAAAGGAAAAAAAAGGAGGGAAAAAATAAAATATTTTAAACTAGTAAAACTAAACTAAACGCGCATTTTATTATTATTATATATTACTAGCGATGTATTCCTCGCTCGCTAACGCTCGCTCGGTTAAATTTGTACTTATTGTTGTTTACTTATTGTAGTTTATGTATATTATATTTATAATTTATGTTTTAAATTAATATCTTATTAATATTGTATAAAATTTATCATAAAATTGAAAAAAGATGTTACATAAAAATAGTTTGTAAGATTTTCTAAAAGCATATATGCAAAGTATTTTGATTTATTTGAAAATAAATTTTTCAAGGACGGTGTCGAGGTCACGGGGTCGGTGACGTTTTTCGAAATTTGTTAACTTAATATAATAGAAGATGTTTCGTTTTAAATTAAGAAATGTTAAAATTATTAAGTTAAAAACATTTGATTTTAATGACACTTAAAATTAGACACAATATTATAGGTTACTAACTAAAAATTGAAAAAACAACAATAAATAATAAAAAATAATAATAAAAAATTGAAAAAATCAAAAAATTCTTAAAAAATTGCAAAATAACCCTTTTTCGGGATAAAATTGCAAAATAACCCTTTTCGAGTTAAAATTGAAAAATAACTCTTTTTCGGGTTAAAATTGAAAAAAGATGTTACATAAAAATAATTTGTATGATTTTCTAAAAGCATATATGCAAAGTATTTTGATTTATTTGAAAATAATTGAAAATAGATTTTTCAAGGACGGTGTCGAGGTCACGGGGTCGGTGTCGTTTTCGAAATTTGTTAACTTAATATAATAGAAGATAATTTGAAATAAAGAGAAAATTTCTTACTCTGGTGATCGTGGCCATGTAAAAAGTCCCAGGGAACAACGACTATTTAAATCATAAACACGAACGCCCGTTGTTGATGCCCAAGCAACAAATTGTCCCGTCCAAGCTGTTGCAAGTACACCGCCTTCAGCTTCGCAAAGAATTGTTGGCTTCATTCGTGATAAAAAACTTTTTTCATAGAGCGACAATTTATCATCACCTGTAAATTGAAAAAAATACAAATTAACTATATTAAAAAAAAATTACAAATTATAACACAAATTCGAAAAGAAAGTAAATAAATTAAAAATTAGGAAAAGAATATAAAAAAATACATAAAAAATATAAATAGAGGAAAAACGAAGAGAAAAATAACTAAAAATTAACAAATAGAAACGAAGAATAAAAAAAAACTAAAGTAGGAAAATTAAAAACTGGAAGTAGAAAAAATAGAGAAAAAAAAACAGAAAATATAATAAAATAATAAAAAAATAGGAAAATTAAAAATATTAGTAGGAAAAAAATAAAAAGACAGAAAAAATAATTAAAAATACAATATAGTAATAAATAATTAAAAATACGAAAGTAATATATTTTTAAAAAATTGTTATAAATACTAAAAAAAAAAAAGGAGAAAAAAAAATTACCAGTTATAAATCGTTTGGTATTATTAGTTTTATAATAATTTGGATCAATTGCAATGCATTTAACTAAACGTCCTGTACACATATTTTGTGTATTCTCTGAATTATAAAGGCTAATAATAAAAACACGGCCATCATCGCTGCACGATGCAATATAATCGCCATTTTGATCAATTGAAATTTGATTCACTGCAACTGAATGCGCTTGAAATGTTTTAAATTCCACGGCATTTCCTTGATGATCCAATAAATGAATTGCGCCCCAATGTGAGCCAATGCACAAAAACTGGAGACAAAAAAGAAAAGAAAGAAAGATGAAAAAAAAGACGAAAAAAAAAAACAAAAATTACATATACATAGAAATTATTTTCGTAATTAAAATTAGTTTGCAATTTATATTTTATTTCAAATTTCATTTGGATTTAATAAAAGGATTTTATATTTATAAGAAATTAAAAAAGAATATTTTTTCCAAAAATTAGAATTTTCTTTACCTATTATAAGTAATTAATTATTTTCTAATGAATTTTTCCACTTTTAATTTCTAGTAATAATTCTATATTAATTCTAAAATTATTTCTATATTAATTGTAAATTATTAATTATTAATTATTAATTATTAATTAATTCTTTAGTAATAATTCCATTAATTAATAATTAAGAAATTATTAATTATTAATTAATTCTTTAGTAATAATTCCATTAATTAATAATTAAGAAATTATTTAGAAAAAAAGAAATATATTTTTCTAAAAATTAAAATTTTCCTAATTAATTAATTACTATTTTCAATTTAATTTTACTAATTTCAATTTAAATTATTAATTATTAATTATTATTAATTATTATTAATTCTACATTAAAAATTTCTATTATTAATTTTATATCAATAATTTTAGTATTAATTAATTAATAATTCAAAAATTATATTTAGAAAATAAAAATTTATTTTCTCAAAATTAAACTTTTTCAACTTTAATTAATTTTTAATTTTTCTACATTAATTTTATGAATGTTTATATTATTTGCCAATTATTATATTATAAGTCTTATTATTGTTTAATAATAATAATAATAATTTTGTATTAATTTTTTTTTGTAATATTTTTTATTATCTCTATAATTATATTATTAAATAAATAAATATAATATATTTATAATTTATTTATTTATTTATTTAGTTATTATAATATAAATATAATATAAATAAATAAATATAATTATATAATTAAATAAATTATAATTATAGTATTTATTTTATTTATTTAAATTTAGAAATTATTGTTATTTTAAAAATTGATAAATTTTTTTTTTCTTTTTTCATACTTTTGGATGAACTGCAATGCAACTTGCGGCATCTCTTTGAAGAATATTTTCCAAATGATTTCTCATTCTCACATATTTGAGACGTGGTTCAATTTCATCCACTTCGGAATCGGATTCATCTTGACTTTGATCCTCCTTTTTTTTTTTTGGAAAGGAAAAATTAATTACAATTTTAAAAGAAAAATTATAATTTTCTCCTTTTTTGCAAATTATAATAATAAAAATAGTAAAAATAATAAAAAAAAAAATAGAAATTACAATAATCAAAATAATAAAAAGATTAAAAATAATAATAAATAATGAAAAGAATAAAATTAGAAAAAATAATAAAAAGAATAAAAATTACAATAATAAAAAGAGTAAAAATAATAACAAATAATAAAAATAATAAAAATAATAAAAATTAGTAAAAATAATAAAAATAATAAAGAAGAATAAAAATTACAATAGTAAAAATAGTAAAAAATAATAAAAAGAGTAAAAATAATAAAAAATAATAAATAAAAATAATAAAAATAGTAAAAATAATAAAAATTACAATAATAAAAAGAGTAAAAAATAATAAAGTAAAAATAATAAAAAATAATTATTAAAAATAATAAAAATAGTAAAAATACTAAAAATTACAATAATAAAAATAGTAAAAATAATAAAAATTACAATAATAAAAAGAGTAAAAAATAATAAAGTAAAAATAATAAAAAATAATTATTAAAAATAATAAAAATAGTAAAAATACTAAAAATTACAATAATAAAAATAGTAATAAATAATAAAGTAAAAATAATAAAAAATAATAAAAATAGTAAAATAATAAAAAATAATAAAAATAGTAAAAATAATTAAAAATAATAAAAATAGTAAAAATAATAAAAATTACAATAATAAAAATAGTAATAAATAATGAAGTAAAAATAATAAAAAATAATAAATAAAAATAATAAAAATAATAAAAAGCGTAAAAATAATAAAAATAATAAAATTAGTAAAAATAATAAAAATAATAAAAAGAATAAAAATTACAATAATAAAAATAGTAAAAATAATAAAAATTAAAATAATAACAATAATAATAAAATAATAACAATAATTAAATTTTTTTTTGTATTAAAAACAAAAAAAAAACTAATAAATTTTATTAATAATTTTTTACAAATTTATATTTTGTTTTTTTTTTCAAATTAATTCTTAATGAAATGTAAAATAATATTAAATTTACCAAAAAAAAAAAAAATTAATAAAGTATTCAAAAAAATAAAATTATTTTATTATATTATTAAATAAATTTATATATAGAAAATAAATTATTTATTTTTACGAAATCGATTTTTAAAATTGTTAAAATTAAATTATTATATTTTTTTTAAATAATTAAAATTATATTTACTTAAATTAAAATTATAAAAATTATAATTATTTAAATTACAAAATTTTCTATTTTTCTCATAAACAAAAAAAATTGTCAACTTTTGGTTCGATTATTTTATAGACAAAAAATAAAATCACTTTCAAAGAACGAGAAAATTTTTTATTATTAAATCAAATAATATTAATTTCCCGATTAGTATTGTTATAAATTAATAATAATTTTTATTCCTTTTTTTCTAATAAAACGCAATTCACCTTTTTTCCGAAAATAAACACAAAGAAAGAAAATAACTTTTTTTTGTTTATTAATTATTAAAACGTAAAAATTGTATTTTTAAAAAAAGATCCATTTTTTTACAATAAAATGACAATTATTATTAATAATAAAAACAAAAAAATTTTACCTTATTTGGATTATCCATAATGAACGTAACCTCAAAGTTTGACAGCTCGGGAGCAATTTATCAAGAAAAAATAATCACTTACGTATTGTCAACTATATTTATTCACTATCATAAAATGTGTTTTTAAAACATCGAATCAACAGTAAAATTTATAGAAAAAAAAAAGTATTTTGTTATTATTTTCTTTTTTTTTTGTTACAAAATTACTCCGAGGAACAATAAATTTGGGAAATGGAAAACAGGTTAGTTCAAAATGACGTGAGTTTACAATGACCAATCACATGATTGGATTTTTTCAAATGCCATTTCTGATTGGTCAAAAATGTTCCATTACGGAACTGTACCTATAAAGGTAAACGCACAATAATTTCGCGAAAATATATACTGAAACCATATTAATAAATATCTAAATTCGCTGAGAAATATTTATAAATAATTTTTGAAGCAAAAAAACAAAGTATTTTACAAAAAATCATAGAAGGATTTTTTACTCTCGGTAAAATCTTAAAGTACGAAGTGACCCAACCGTGCAATTGCGTGACTTAGTAGCCCAACGCTGAATATAGCTTCCATACCCTGAAATGGCTTCTACGCTATTTGCCGCCAGTCACTCATCGTGGAAAGATGCATTAAACTATTATTAAAAAACAATTAAATATTTTGTAAAATCAGTGTAAAATAGTGAAAATAATATTATTCTAAAATATAAGTGAAATTTTTCGACAATTATTTATATGATTGCTTTGGATATTGTCTGCAACCAAAGCATCGTGTTTGGCGTCATATTACGCCATCATTATTTTTTCAATATTCATCTCATCGCTGTTCATTTTTTGGCCATTGAATCTCGCAATTTTCTTCATATTTCACAAGGTTAGTGACATTTTCTCATTTTTTTTTTTTTATTCTTTCTCATATATAAAGTAAAAAAATGTATTTTCTCAAAAATTTTCGATGTGGTGCAAAGTGAAATTTTTCTCATTTTCCCCTCTTTACATTGTTGCTAATCGGAAAGTGGCAAGAAAAAAAAAATGTCAACCGGAAGTTGGAAACCGTTAAATTAAAAAAAACCGTTAAAAAAAAGTAATTTCTGAATTTTTTTTTTCGTATCATATATTGTGTTCAAATATGCACAGTGAAATTTTCTCATTGGTATGCCTCTTATTGCCAAATCGGAAAGTGGCGAGAAAAAAAAAAATGTCTACCGGAAATTGGAGCCGTTAAAATATTTACAATTTGAAATAATTTTTAACAAAAATGGCTTCCAAAATTTTTTGTTGAGTTAAAAATTTTTCTCTAATATTAAAAAAATATAATAATAGAAAAAAAAATATATAATTTTTTTCTTTTTAATTATTTTTTATATATAATAAAATTAAGATTATTTTTTTTATCAATTATTTTAGGTTAATTTTATTTTTTATTTTTTCAGAAATTAGAAAAAATATATAAAAATTATACATTTATACATCTATATGATAATAATAATAATAATAATAATAATAATAATAATAATAATAATATAAAATAAAAAAAAGTCACATAATAATTATCAATAAAAATAATAATAATAATTCTAATTTTTGTTTCTTATAAAAAAAAAATTATTTTAAAATTTTATTTTTAATACAAAAATAATTTATTTCATTATAAATCGTTTATGATTATTTAATTTGAAAAAAAGCAAAAAAAAAAAATATTATTTTCTGTAGGTTTATTTATTTAATAATACATTATTATAATTATAATATAAAATTATATTATATATTATATATATATTATATAAAATAATTATTGGAAATTAAAATTTGAAATAGTAAAAAAAAAAAAAAAATCAAGGAATTCAATAAAAAAATATAAATTATTATTATTAAATTAAAAAAATGCATTATTTTTAAATGGGGCCCCTTTTTAAATAAATAAAATCAATAAATGTCTGAAAAACAAAAAATTAAATTGTAGTAAGTAAAGACTTACCGAACCCTGCTTAACTCCATTGGCGTAATGAACAGCATTTTTGCTTCCTCTGGGAAGTCCTGTAAACAAGAGTAAAGGAAAAACCGTTACAATTCAAAATAAGGAATAATAAAAATTTATTTTTCAATAAATTTCTTTTAAAAAATTAATAATATTAATTTTTAAAAATTTATATTTTTTAATAATAATAATAATAATTATTATTATTATTGATATAATATAATTATAACAATTATATAATATATAATATATAATAATTATATTTAATTATAATATATTATATTATAATTAATTATAAAAAATGTATAATTCTGCAAAAATACTAATTCGAATAAATAAAAATTCGGCTCAAAAATAATTTTGACAAATAAAATTCTATAAAATGAAAATTCTAATTGATTTTTAGATTCATGCGTCTCTATTTTCACAAACCAATTGGAAAGTATTATTATAAATAAATTTAGTTGTAACATTTTTTTTTTTTTTTCAATTTTAAACCAAAAAGTCCCTTTAAATTTTTTAGGCCTCGGATTATACGACTTTTTTCGACTTTTTTCGACTTACTTTAATAAAATGCGATTATTTCGACATTATTTTTTACATTTTTAAAAAAATTTTTTAAATAAAATATTATATTTTTTTTTTAAGTAAAAAATGAAGATCTTTATTTTAATTATTTAACAAATTTTTAACTAAAATTCTTTACTAAATTAATTTTTTGGTAATAATTTTAATGAAAATTAATCACAAAAATTCAATTATTTCAAATTATTTTTCAATTAAAATTTTATGAAATTTAACAATTATTTTCCAAATTTTCAATTTAAAATCAAATAAAACTCAATTATTACCCAAAATTTCAATTCAAAATCAATTAAAATTCAATTATTTTCAAAAATTTCAATACAAAATCAACTAAAATTCAATTATACTCAAAAATTTGAATTCAAAATTAATTATCAAAATTTTCAATCAAAAATCAACTAAAATTGAATTATTATACAAAATTTAAATTATAATTTAATTATTTCCCGAAATTTCAATTCAAAATAAAAGAAAATTCAATTATTTCCCAAAATTTCAATTCAAAATCAAAGAAAATTCAATTATTTCCCAAAATTTCAATTCAAATTAAAGAAATAAAATTATTTTAAAAAATTTTCAATTGAAAATAAAAAAAATTCAATTATTATCAAAATTTTCAATCAAAAATGAACTAAAATTAAATTATTATCCAAAATTTCAATTCAAAATCAACAAAAATTCAATTATTTTCCAAATTTTCAATTTAAAATCAAATAAAACTCAATTATTACCCAAAATTTCAATTCAAAATCAATTAAAATTCAATTATTTTCAAAAATTTCAATACAAAATCAACTAAAATTCAATTATACTCAAAAATTTGAATTCAAAATTAATTATCAAAATTTTCAATCAAAAATCAACTAAAATTGAATTATTATACAAAATTTAAATTATAATTTAATTATTTCCCGAAATTTCAATTCAAAATCAAAGAAAATTCAATTATTTCCCAAAATTTCAATTCAAATTAAAGAAATAAAATTATTTTAAAAAATTTTCAATTGAAAATAAAAAAAATTCAATTATTATCAAAATTTTCAATCAAAAATGAACTAAAATTAAATTATTATCCAAAATTTCAATTCAAAATCAACAAAAATTCAATTATTTTCCAAATTTTCAATTTAAAATCAAATAAAACTCAATTATTACCCAAAATTTCAATTCAAAATCAATTAAAATTCAATTATTTTCAAAAATTTCAATACAAAATCAACTAAAATTCAATTATACTCAAAAATTTGAATTCAAAATTAATTATCAAAATTTTCAATCAAAAATCAACTAAAATTGAATTATTATACAAAATTTAAATTATAATTTAATTATTTCCCAAAATTTCAATTCAAAATAAAAGAAAATTCAATTATTTCCCAAAATTTCAATTCAAAATCAAAGAAAATTCAATTATTTCCCAAAATTTCAATTCAAATTAAAGAAATAAAATTATTTTAAAAAATTTTCAATTGAAAATAAAAAAAATTCAATTATTATCAAAATTTTCAATCAAAAATGAACTAAAATTAAATTATTATCCAAAATTTCAATTCAAAATCAACAAAAATTCAATTATTTTCCAAATTTTCAATTTAAAATCAAATAAAACTCAATTATTACCCAAAATTTCAATTCGAAATCAATTAAAATTCAATTATTTTCAAAAATTTCAATACAAAATCAACTAAAATTCAATTATACTCAAAAATTTGAATTCAAAATTAATTATCAAAATTTTCAATCAAAAATCAACTAAAATTGAATTATTATACATAATTTAAATTATAATTTAATTATTTCCCGAAATTTCAATTCAAAATAAAAGAAAATTCAATTATTTCCCAAAATTTCAATTCAAATTAAAGAAATAAAATTATTTTAAAAAATTTTCAATTGAAAATAAAAAAAATTCAATTATTATCAAAATTTTCAATCAAAAATGAACTAAAATTAAATTATTATCCAAAATTTCAATTCAAAATCAACAAAAATTCAATTATTTTCCAAATTTTCAATTTAAAATCAAATAAAATTCAATTATTATTAAAAATTTCAATTCAAAATCTTTTAAAATTCAATTAATATCCGAAATTTCAGTTCAAAATCAAGGAAAATTCAATTATTTTCAAAATCTTCAATTGAAAATCTTTTAAAATTTAATTCATTTCAAAATTTCAATTTTAATAAATTGTTTCGTGAAATCATCAAAAAAAAAAAAATTTTAATTAAAAATCCCTTGAATTTCAATTAATTTCAAAAATCTCAATTTTAAATCTTTGAAAATTCATTTACATTTAAAAAAATTTCAATTTTAACCCTTCCAAAAGTTTTATTATTTAAAAAAAGAAAAAAAAATTTTTATTTAAAAATCTGTAAAATATTTTTGTTAGATTAAAAAAAAATCGCCTTTTTTTGGTGCCTTTAAGTCGATCAGAGGCCTAATTTTTTTTAAAAATCGCATAATTTTCCCAATCAATTGAAGAGTTTTACACTATAGTGCAAGTGAACTTTATTTAGTTGACTCTACTTCAAATTGTCACATTACGAATGTTTCAATTTTGTTTGTTTGTTTGTTTTTTGTTTTTTTTTATTTCAAAAAACAAACGTCGTCGCTAGTCGTTTCTTTTTTCCACTCACTATTTAGTGAGTTTGTCAGTCTATGTTATTTTATATACACGTGGTTTTTGCGCGGAGGAGTGGTGCTCTCCTGCTTCAGCACGTCAATCGTTATCTCTCCTAACCTTTTTCGGGGTGGCTCGCAAGGTTTTTTTTGTCGAGCAAAAAGAAAAAAAAAACCCACTATAATATCATTATTATCATCATCATCATCATTATTATTATCGTGAAACCCAAGTGCCGCCAAAAAAAAAAAAAATGTCGTTATCATTGTTTTCGCTTTCCTGAGGTTTAACGAAAAAAAAAAAAAAAAAAAAAAAGAAAACAAAAAGGAAAAGGTTCGTTCATTGGCAATCGTGCGGAGAGAGAGATTCTTTTTTTTTTTTAATAATAAATAAAAATTTTAATTAATTCGACTCTCGTTTTCAATATACGAATAGTTTTTTTAAAAAAAAAAAGAAGAGGACGAAGATAATTAGGAAGGAAAACGAGTTACAAGGATTTTTTTTTTGCTTTGGATTTGAAACGGAATTTTATTTCGTTTTTTGGTTATTTATTTTTTTTCTGTGTCCATTGGAAAAGTTTGGAATTTTTTTTTTTTCTATCTACACCCTCGGTTTGTAGGATATATTTATTATTTTTTTTTCCGTCAACGGAAATGGCCTCCTCCACGAGAGGAATTCAAATTGGCTCCGCCTGGTTTCAAAAGAGAATTAGTTTAAGACCTCAACATCGAGGTATTCATCTTGTAACTGAAGAAATTCTCAAGGAAATACCGGAAATTTGTCAATTTTCCGTTGGTCTTTGTCACATACAGAGTAAGTATTTTTTTTATATTTCACAATTTTGCAAGTTACAATTTCTTTGATTATGCAAAAAAAAAAAACTTTTTTTTGCTTTTTATTTGCAATTTTTTTTTTTTTTTTGTAAGTTATGGCAAAAAATTAATTTTTGGCAAAATTTGTCCACATTTTTTTTTGTTGTAAATTATTTGGTTTTCTTTTTTTGCGATGAAATTATAAAGAACAAATTTTCATTTCAACAAATTGAATATAATTTTTAAAATATATTTTCCTTGTTATTCTATTTTTCCCTCGAAATTTTTTATTAAAAAATGTGGATTTATTTTGCAAATTGAAAAAAAAGAAATCTATTTAGAAAATTGTTTATAATTAACATTAAATATTTTTGTTTCGAATTTTTTTAATTGTAGAAAAAATAAATAAAATAATTTTTCAAATATTTCAGTTCTTCATACATCGGCGAGTTTAGCATTGAATGAAAGTTGGGATCCAGATGTAAGGGACGATATGGAAATGATGCTTAATAAAATAGTTCCCGAGGGTTTAGATTATAGACATAGCTGTGAAGGTCCAGACGATATGGTAAAAAAAAAAAAAATAATAATAATAATAATTGCTAAATTCTGCATTTAGTTATCCTTTTTTGTATTTATTTACATTTATGTTCTATTTTAATTGAATTTATTAAATTAATGAATTGAATTTAAAATGAAAATTTGTTTTAAAAATAATTATTATATAATAATAAAATGCTTAGTCTGTCCTTCTGTTATAACTTGAAGTTGGCCTTTTCTGATTTCACGTGTTTTTTTTGAATAGTAATCTTATGTCAAATTTTGACAATTCTTTTTCTCATTTTTGCCAAAGTTGTATAATTGTGTTTCCAAATTTCGGAATAAGTTTCTTTTAAAATTCCAAATTCGAAAATTCAATTCACGAAGCTGAAGTACACAAACGTTTACATAACGAAATTTTTTTTAAACTTGTATATTGATTCAAAAATTGTATACAAATACAAAAAATTTATGATGAGCAAAAAAGATGCGTGAGAAAATTTCGTACAAGATAGTAAATTTGAAAAAAATTTATTTTTAAAAATTAATTTTTAAGGTACCAGGGGCCAACGAATACATATTAAATATTAATTATAAAAATACAGGCCTCGAATCAACTTAAAGACACAAAAAAAGTTGTTTTAGTCGATTTATATTCCAAAAAAAAGTGGATTTGTTTTTTATTTTAACAAAAATATTTTACAGATTTTTAAATAAATTTTTTTTTTTTTTTTAATAATAATCCTTTGTCGAAGGGTTAAAGTTGAAATTTTTAGAAATAATTAAATTTCAAAAGATAATTGTTAATTTTCAAACAATTATTAAATTTTACAGAACTAAAAATAATTCAACAAACAATTTTTGGAAAATATTTTTTAAATTTAATTGAATTTTCAATGATTTAAAAAATGAGATTTTTGAAATTAATTGAAACTTTAAGTTATTTTTAATTAAAATTTTAGATGATTTCACTAAAAATTTATTAGAAAATCCGGACAAAATACAATAATTTGAAAATCATTTTTAATTGAAAAATGGTTTCAGATAGTTGAATTTTCGAAGAATATTATTAAAATAGTTAAAAATAATTGAATTTCCTTAGAGTTATAATTGAAATTATTAAATTTAAAAAAAAAAAAATTTCGATGGAAAATTTTAGAAATAATTAAATTTTAGATGCTTTTAAAGTCAAATTATTGACAATTCAATTAATTTTGAATTCAAATTTTTGAGAATAATGAAATTTTATTTAAATTATAAATTTGGAAAATAATTGAATTTCAGTTCATTTTAAATTGAAAAATTTCGGAAATAATTGAATTTTAATTGAAATTTTTAATAATAATTTAATTTAAGTTCATTTTTGATTGAAATTTTAGATAATTAATTTTGAATTAAAATTTTTTAGAATAATTGAATTTTTAGTTGATTTTGAATAGAAAATTTGGAAAATAATTGAATTTTATTTGATTTTAAATTGAATATTTTGAAATGAATTGAATTTTAAAAGATTTTCAATTGAAAATTTTGAAAATAATTGAATTTTCATTGATTTTGAACTGAAATTTTTGGGAAATAATTGAATTTTAATTGAAATTTTAGATAATAATTCAATTTTAGTTGACTTTTGATTGAAAATTTTGATAATTAATTCTGAATTGAAATTCTTTAGAATAATTGAATTTTATTTAATTTGAATTGAAAATTTGGAAAATAATGAAATTTTCTTTGATTTTGAACTGAAATTTCGGATATTAATTGAATTTTAAAAGATTTTGAATTGAAATTTTGGAAATTAATTGAAATTTCTTTGATTGTGAAATGAAATTTCGGGAAATAAATGAATTTTAATTGAAATTTTGGATAATAATTCAATTTTAGTGGATTTTTGATTGAAAATTTTTGATAATTCATTTTGAATTCAAATTTTTGAGAATAATGAAATTTTATTTGATTTTAAATTGAAAATTTTTGGTAAATAATTGAATTTTAATTGAAATTTTGGATAATAATTAAATTTTAGTTGATTTTAAATTGAAAATTTGAAAAATAATTGATTTTTAGTAAATTTTAAATAGAAATTTTGAAAAATAATTGAATTTTAAATTAAAATTTAATTTAATAATTTAATTATTTTGAATTGAATGCTTGGAAAATAGTTGAATTTTAGTTGATTTTGAATTGATATTTCAATACACTGTCAATTGAAATTCAATTATATAGAAAAGTTTCAATTCTAAATCACTAGAATTCAATTATTTTCCAAAATTTCAATTCACAATAAACTAAAATTTAATTATTTTCCAAATTTCAATTGAAATTCAATTATTTAAAAAATTTTCTATTCAAAACCAACTGAAATTCAATTATTTTCAAAATTTTAATTAAAATTCAATTATATTTAAAAATTTATGTACAATTTAGTGAAAATTATAATTTTCAAAAATTTTTAAACGAATTTGTAAAAAAAACGGACAAAAAATTTTAATTATTTTCAAAGATTTTGGTTCAAATTTTTCATAAATTTTATTATTTCCAAAAAAATATATTTTATTTTCTTTTAAAAATACCATTATTTTCTGAAAAATTCAATAAAAGCTCAAAGATTCAATTTTTTTTCAATATTTTAATTATAATTTGTGAAAAAATTATTTAAAAAAAAAATTTCAATAAAAAATAGGCAAAAATTCAATTATTTTCCAAAATGTCATTTGAAATTCAATTATTTAAAAAAATTTTAAATTAAAAAGTCAACTAAAATTCAATTATTTTCAAAAATTTCAATTTAAAAGCTTCTAAAATTTAATTATTTCTAAAATTTCCCATCTCAAATTTTTTTGAATTTTAATAATTCCAATTATAACTCTTCTGAAATTCAATTATTTTTAATTTATTCTGTGAAAACCATTTTTCGCTTAAAAAGTTTTCAAATTATTGTATTTTTGTTTCTGCAATTTTTAATTAATTTTTTTCGTGAAATCATTAAAAATTATAAATTAAAAATCACTTGAAGTTGAATTAATTTAAAAAATCAAAATCACTTAAAAATTATTTAGGAATATTTTTAATTAAAAATTTCGTAAAATTCAATTAGTTGAAAAAAATTTTAATTATTGATTATTCTAAACTCAATTATTTCCAAAAAAGTTTAACTTCAATTTCTTTTTCAATTAATTATATCGAATTAACGTATTTTTTTTCTGTTTCAAGACAGTAATTTTTATTATTGTTATTTTTGGATTAATTTTACAAAGTATGTACTATTTTCAATTTAAAATAATTGAATTTTTAATAGATATTTAAATTGATAATATAATTGAAAATAATTAATTTTTTGTGTTTTTTTTTTATATGAAAATTTTTTGGTAAATAATTGAATTGAGAATAATAAAAATTTTATTTGATTTTAAATTGAAAATATTTTGGGAAATAATAGAATTTTAATTCAAAATTGGATAATAATTTAATTTAAGTTCATTTTTGATTGAAAATTTGGATAATAAAATTTTGAATAGAAATTTTAGAAAATAATTGAATATTTATTTCACTTTTAAATTGAAAACTTGGTAAATAATTAAATTTTAAATTGAAAAAATTTGGTGGATAATTAATGGATTTTGAATTGATTTTGAATTAAAATTTCGGGCAATAATTGAATTTTTTCAAAAAATAATTCAATTTTATTGTGATTCGTCGTATTTTTGAAAAAAGTCGTATAATCCGAGGCCTGTAAAGATATAATTTTCATTATTATTATTTAATATGTAATAATATTCTAATAAATTAAATTATTATTGATAATATTAATCTTTAATTTCTTTATAACAAACAATTAAATTTGGCGCGTTTAATTTTGCTAGTTTCTAATAAAATACGTTAAAATAGAAATTTGAATTAATAAATGAAAAAGTGTTAATAAAATTCCTTTTTTTTTTAGCCGGCACATGTGAAGGCGTGTTTTCTTGGCTCATCATTGAGTATTCCAATCACCGGTGGAAAATTGGCACTTGGCACATGGCAAGGTGTTTGGCTATGTGAACATCGCGATCAAGCGGGTAGTCGTAAATTATTATTAACATTGACTGGTTGCTTAAGGGACTCGGCACGCAGTCCCTTAAGTCCCGTGAGTCCCATTGCATCGACAAGCAGCTAGGACCAATCTCACCCCCAAAGGCGTGGCCGACGTCAGCTACGCATATCCACTTCTAGCGAATTGAGCTAGCAGCTGCCTACATTAGCCGAATACTAAAAAAAAAAACAAAAAAAAAAGAAAATAACAAACAAACAAACAAAATAAATAAACGAACAGAAGGAAGGAAGGAAAGAGAAAAATAAAACGAAAAGAGAGAAAAAAATACCAAAGAAAAAGAGAAATAATCCTTTATCAGGGATTAATAAATTTTCTTCTAATTTAAAAAATAATTTTTGTTTTAGAAAAAAGGAAATTTTTGCATTTGAGAAATAATAATAAAATCAGAAAAATTCGAGATCTAAAAAAAAAAAAATTTTTTTTGCAAATGGGGAAAAAATTGGTTAAATTTTTTCTCTCTGCTTTTTCTTTTTTTCGAAACTCATTTTTTTTTACTTTTTTTCTTTAATTAATTATTCATTACTCGAATTTATTTATTTCATTTGAATTCGAGACGAAAGGAAAGAAAGAATGCAAAAAAAAAAGGAACGAAAAAAAGAAAAACCGAAAGAGATTGAAAAAAAGAAAAATAGAATCAGAAAAGAGATATTGAAAAGAAAATTTCAAGAAAAAGAAGGGGAGAAATTAATTTTTTTTTTTTTATTAAATTTTGAAATAAGAGACGGAATTTTTTTTTTAAAATGAAGAAAAAAGAAATTTTTTTAGAAGAAAATTTTTCTTCGAACAAAGAAAATAGACAAAAAAACAAAAAATTGTAGAGAAAAACAAAATTAGAATTGAAATTAAAAATCAAGAAAAAAAGAAATTCCAAAAAAAGTGGATAAATCCTTTTTTTTCTACGTAATTAAACAATGCATTTTCTCAAGAAACTAAAAATAATTAAAAAAAAAAAAAAAAAAAAAAAAAAGCTTCGGCTTTTTCACGCGATGTGGCACAAAAGAAAAGTTATAAAACTTCACTGCTTTATCGTAGGCTAGAAATTTTTTTATCAATAAAACAATTTTCCATCGCATTTTTTGGGGGTGTAAATAAAACGAAAACTTACATTTAAAAAAAGAAGAAGAAGAAAATATAAAAAAAAAAATTCGTCTTCGCTATTTTTGAACACTGCTAAAAAAAACAAAACATTTTTTTCAGTGAAAATTCAATACAAAAAAAAGCAAAGACGAATAAAGGAAGAAATTAAAAACAAAATAATTACGAAGAAAAACAAAATACATATATGGACGATGTAAATAATTAAAATAATAATTAAAATAATAATAATAGTAATAGTATTAATTGGAGGCGAAGTGGTTTTAATTATAAAGAACAAAAAAAAAAGGTAATTAAAAACAAATTTTCAGTTGTTTTTTTTTTTTTTTGCATTTCTTTTGCGTTTCCTTTTTCTTTTTCTTTATTATAATTATTATTGTTTTATAATAATTATGTATTATTCTATAATTAGCTTCCGAGAAATTTTCGATATTTTCTAATTGTATGTATCAATTTATTATGCCATCAATGTTTAGCCATTTGTCCTCCTTGTCTATATATATAAATATAATATATAAATTGTCGTCCACTAAAATTTAATGGCAAAAAAAAGAAAAAAAAATTAATTAGGAAAAAAAGCAATATTAATTAATTAATAACGCCTCGATGTTTATATTGAAATTTTATTGTTTTTCAATTTTGTTTTCATAGAAAAAAAAATTTTTTTTAATGAAAAACAATGAAATTTTTTTATTTTTATCTCTTATCTCTTTATTTTTGCAATTTTTAATTCTAATTTTCCTTTCTTTTTTTATTTCATTTTATTGTTCTAATTTTTCTTTTTTGATTATAAATTTAAATAATTTTTATTTTATTCATCGTATTTTTTCTATTGAAAAATAAAAAAAAAGAGATAGAAGTAAAAAAATTCAAATCGCATTATATTTATGAAAAGGGATTTTTTGTATTGAAAGAGAATTTTGCGAATAACATAAAAAATTTTAATAGAAAAAATATTGTTTATTATTTAAAAAAAACAACAATAACAAAATATAAAATATTTGCTAAAATTAAAATGACGATTTTAAAGTCGAAAAAATATTTTTCCAACGTTACTAAAGTTTATAAGCTTTAAAACGTTTATAAATTTACAAATTTTTCAACGTTTTTCAACGTTTTCCAATTTTTTTTAAAATATTTATTTGTTCTTCTAATTCGATATATTTTAATGCAAAAAACGTTGTAAAAACGTTGAATTATTTACGTTTAAAGAAAAAAAATGATTTGCAAATTTTAACGTCAAAAATTAAAAAAAACTTTCGTATAAATGGAAAATATTTGCCAATATTATTACCGTTAAAGGTGTTAAAACGTTGGTGAATTTCAAAATTTTCCAAAGTTTTTCAACGTTTTGCCATTCTTAATATTCAAATTGTTCAAAAATTGTAAAATTTTTCTACTTTATTATATTTTAATGCAAAAAAACGTGTTTTGCAATTTTTAACGTTAAGAATATAAAAAATTTGACAAAATTAGAAAAAAATTTCGTAAAAATAAGAAATATTTGACAACGTTATTAACGTTAAAAGTGTTAATACGTTTTTAAATTTTAGAATTTTACAACGTTTTTCAACATTTTGCTATTGTTAATATTCTAATATTTATAAAGTTGTAAATTTCTTTTGTAATTTGCTATATTTTAATGCAGAAAACGTTGATTAAACGTTGAATTATTTGCAAAAAAAACGTGTTTTGCAATTTTAAACGTTAACAATTTTGTTGTAAAAAATTGAAAATATTTGGCAACGTTATTAACGTTAAAAGTGTTAATACGTTTTTAAATTTTAGAATTGTAAAACGGTTGTAAATTACAGATTTTTTCAACGTTTTTCAACGTTTTACAATTCTTAATGTTCTAATTGTTTAAAAAGTGAAACATTTTTAGGATTTGATTTATTTTAATTTAGAAAACGTTGTTTAAACGTTGAAATATTTGCAAAAAAAACGTGTTTTTGCAATTTTAAACGTTAACAATATAAAGAAATTGACAAAATTAAAAAACTTTTTAAATTACCAAAGAAAATAATTGTCAACGTTTTTAATGTTAAAGGCGTTAATTAAATTTTCAAAATTTTGCAACGTTTTTCAATTTTTTAATTTAAATTTGTTTATAAATTTTAATTTTTTAAAAATTTAATACAATTTAATGTCGAAAACGTTGAAAAAACGTTGAATTATTATTTATAAAAAAAAAAAAAAAAATTATTATTAATAATGAATTTAAAGTTTTTATAATATAAATTTCGTTTCTTATTTTCTGTATTCGATAAAAAGAAAATGTAAATTAAGAATTGATTTCCCTTAAATTATTGTCAATTCTTATCATTGACAATCATTTATCGCGTGAATCTCTTTCAATACGTTTAAAAGCCCTTTTTTTTATATATACGCGGAAGTGAGACATTTTCTCAAGAGGCATTCTCTGTTAATGGAAAAACTTTCTATGAATTCGAGAACAAAATTTGCAATTTGACCTCAATTGAATAAATGAAAAAAACTTAATCGAAAATTTTTTTTTTTTTTAATCAATTAATTTCAAAATAAAACACTTTAAAAAGTATTCGAAAATAAAATTACAAAATAATAAAAAGGAAATTAAATTAATAAAAAAAAAAAATTATCGGAAATAAAATTATAAAACTAATAATCGGAGACACAATTTAAAAAAAAAAATTAATAATTGAAAATAAAATTAAAAATAAAAATAATTTGGAAATAAAATTAATAATAAAAATAATTTGGAAATTTAAAAAATATTAGAAATAAATTTTAGAAAAAAATAAAAATAAAATTCTAAAGAAAAAAAAATTAGAAATAAATTTTAGAGACTTAATGAAATCTAAAAAAAAAATTACGATTGATGCACAAAGGTTAATATCGCCATTTTCCTGCCCATAATACAATGAATTCTTTAAAAAAATTATATATATTAAGCATTTTTCTCAATCGATTATTTCAAATAAGAATTCAATAAATGCAAAGAGTATATTACTCTTACGTCAGATTTTTCAAAATCGACGAAAATGTACCTATGTAAATATAAAATTATATTGAAAATGACAAACTTCTAAAGAAACGAAAACAAAAAAAAAAAAAAAAGAAAATGAAAAAAAATATTGACTCAAATGGCACATAATTCACATTCCGTTATATTTAATTATATTTATTTATTTATTTTAATCAAATCTTTGCAAATTTTCCAATATATCATAATTATTATTCTCTTCGTTTTGTACAAAAAAAAATCATAATAATAATAATGAAAACGAAACACTAATTATGTGTGTGTATGTGTGTGAGAGATAGGCTTTAATGAAGGTTTATATATATATAAATATATTATTAAAAAAAAATAAAATTTCATAGAAATTGTAAAAATTATCAATTGCAATTAAATTCGTTAATTGTAATTAGCTGATAAGTCAAATACGAAGGCGGCATTGATCGAGTTTTTCAAACTTTTCGATATTAAGAATTTTTTTTTTTTAACTTTTGTTTTACTTTATTTTTATTTAAAAAATTTACTTTTTTAATTTTTCTTTTACTTATTTTTTTTAAACATTTTTTTGTTTTTTTTTGTATTTGTAAAAATTGAAAATATTTGTCAACGTTAAAAGTTATAAACTGGAAAACGTTTATAATTTCAAAATCTTTCAACTTTTTTTCAACGTTATTCAATTGTTAAATTTGAAACTTTTCAAAAATTGCAAAATTTTTCTAATTTTACATATTTTAATGTAGAAAACGTTGTTAAAACGTTGAAATTTTTGCAAAGAAACGTGTGTTGCAATTTTAAACGCTGACAATAAAAAGAAATTGACAAAATTAAAAGGCGTTGTAAAAATTGAAAATATTTGGCAACGTAATTAAAGTTAGATGCTTTAAAACGTTTGTAAATTTTGAAATTTTTCAACGTTTTTCAACGTTTTTCAATCGTTATATCTTAAAAATTTGAAAAATTGCAAATTTTTCCTAATTTGATATAATTTAGGGAAGAAAACGTTGTTAAAACGTTGAAATTTTTGCAATGAAACTTGTTTTGCAATTTTAAATGTAAACAATTTTATAAAAATTGACAAAATTAAAAAGCGTTGTAAAAATTGAAAATATTTGGCAAAGTTTTTAAATGTAGTAGCTTTAAAACGTTTGTAAATTTCGAAATTTTTCAACGTTTTTCAACGTTTTTCAATTGTTATATCTCAAAATATTCAAAAATTGCAAATTTTTCCTAATTTGATATAATTTAGGGAAGAAAACGTTGTTAAAACGTTGAAATTTTTGCAAAAGAAACTTGTTTTGCAATTTTAAATGTAAACAATTTTTAAAAAAAATTGACAAAATTAAAAAGCGTTGTAAAAATTGAAAATATTTGGCAAAGTTTTTAAATGTAGAAGCTTTAAAACATTTGTAAATTTCGAAATTTTTCAACGTTTTTCAATCGTTAAATCTCAAAATATTCAAAAAATGCAAATTTCTCCTAATTTGACATATTTTAATGTGGAAAACGTTGTTAAAACGTTGAAATTTTGCAAAAAAAGTGTTTTGTAATTTTAAACGTTAAAGGCGTTAATATGTTTATAAATTTCTGAATTTTGCAACGTATTTCAACGTTTTGTTATTGTTAATATTCTAATTGTTTAAAAATTGCATAATTTTTCTAATGTGATATATTTTAATGCAAAAACGTTGTTAAAACGTTGAATTTTTTCTTTAAAAATGTTTTATTAAATTTATTTTTAATTTGCATTTAAATTTTTTCGTAATTTTTTTTTTAACATTTTTTTTTCTATTCTATTTTTTAATATATATATATATAGGTTCGTTGTATCCACAACTGTTAAAATTTGCCAGTTGAAAAATTTTTTCCGCCATTTCCTATATTATATAGAATTATATACAAAAAAAAAACAAAAATCATTTTTGCATTATGAAATACAAAAATTATTTAAAATCGCTTAAAAGCTTTTTTTTTAAAAAAAAAAACGACAAAAGTAAAAAAAAAAAAGAAAAACTTTGTCATTTAAAAAAAAGCACATAGACTTTTTAGATTGTCACCTAGAAATATCTTTCAATAAATAATTATTACTATTAAAAATAGCTTTCTTGCCTCTCTTCAAATATCGCATCGAATAGTTTTAATAATAAAAAAAATTTGCTAAACATGATTTTTTTTACCTCAAAAAAATCAAAACTTTTTATTTGAACAAATTTTATTATTTTTTCTTAGAA